TAGAATTTGTCCCTCTGGAACAGGTACGGGGCCCCCTCCCCGTGGCAGCGCTGCAGGAGCCCCTGCGGGGGCACCGCGGGGTTGGGAGGGGGGCTTGGAGACCCCCAGGGACAACCAGAGACACACAGGGACAACCAGAGACACCCAGAGACACCCAGGGACACCCAGAGACAACCAGAGACACCCAGGGACACCCAGGGACCACCCAGAGACACCCAGAGACCACCCAGAGACACCCAGAGACGCCCCAGGGACACCCAGAGACATCCAGAGACACCCAGGGACAACCAGAGACACCCAGAGACACCCAGGGACAACCAGAGACACCCAGGGACACCCAGAGACACCCAGGGACAACCAGAGACACCCAGAGACACCCAGGGACCAGCCAGGGACAACCAGAGACACACAGGGACATCCAGAGACACCCAGGGACATCCAGAGACACCCAGGGACACCCAGAGACACCCAGGGACAACCAGAGACACCCAGAGACACCCAGAGACACCCAGGGACACCCAGGGACACCCAGAGACACCCAGGAACCACCCAGGGACACCCAGGGACACCCAGGGACAACCAGAGACACCCAGGGACACCCCAGGGACCACGCACGGACACCCAGGGACCACCCAGGGACAACCAGAGACACCCAGGGACACCCAGGGACCACCCAGAGACACCCAGAGACACCCAGGGACACCCAGGGACAACCAGAGACACCCAGGGACCACCCAGGGACACCCAGGGACACCCAGAGACACCCAGGGACACCCAGGGACACCCAGAGACCCCCCAGGGACACCCAGGGACACCCAGGGACCCCCCAGGGACACCCAGAGACCCCCCAGGGACACCCAGGGACAACCAGAGACACCCAGGGACAACCAGAGACACCCAGAGACCCCCAGAGACCACCCAGGGACACCCAGGGACACCCAGGGACACCCAGAGACCACCCAGAGACACCCAGAGACACCCAGGGACACCCAGGGACCCCCCAAGGACACCCAGAGACACCCAGGGACAACCAGAGACCCCTGGAGCCAACTTGGGGAACCCAGACATCCCCAGAGACCCCCCCCGAGACACCCAGGGACCCCCCAGGGACACCCAGAGACACCCAGGGACCACCCAGAGATCCCCCAGGGACCAGCCAGAGACACCCAGGGACACCCAGAGACACCAGGGACACCCTGAGACCCTGAAGCCAACTTAGGGGAACCCAGACATCCCCAGAGACCCCCCCCGAGACACCCAGGGACCCCCCAGGGACACCCAGAGACACCCAGGGATATCCAGGGATATGCAAGGACCCCCAGAGACCCCTGGAGCCAACTCAGGGAACCCAGACATCCCCAGAGACCCCCCCGAGACACCCAGGGACACGCAGGGACCCCTCAGGGACAGCCAGAGATCCCCCACGGATCCTCAGAGACCCCCAGAGCCAACTTGGGGCACCCAGAGACCCCCAGAGATCCCCCAGGGATCCTCAGAGATCCCCAGAGACACTGAGGGACCCTCAGAGACCCCCCAGAGACACCCAGGAACACCCAGAGACCCCCCGAGCCCACCTGGGCCACCCCGGGATCATTTGGGGGGGCTCAGGGACTCCCAGAGACCCCCAGAGTCCCCCAGACACACCCAGAGTCCCCCAGAGACCCCCAGAGACACCCAGGAACACCCAGAGACCCCCCGAGCCCACCTGGGCCACCCCGGGATCATTTGGGGGGGCTCAGGGACTCCCAGAGACCCCCAGAGCCAACCCGGGGCACCCAGAGACACCCAGAGACCCCTCAGAGACACCCAGAGACCCCTGGAGCCAACCCAGGGCACCCAGAGACACCCAGAGACCCCCAGAGTCTCCCAGGGACCCCCAGAGGACACCCAGGGACCCCCCAGGGACCATCCAGAGACACCCAGAGACACCCAGGGACACCCAGAGACACCCAGGGACCACCCAGAGACCCCCAGAGGCCCCCCAGAGACCCCCCAGAGACACCCAGGACACCCAGGACCCCCAGAGATACCCAGGGATACCCAGGGATCCTCAGAGACCCCCAGAGCCAACTTGGGGCACCCAGAGACCTCCAGAGATCCCCGGAGATCCCCCAGGGATCCTCAGAGACACCCAGAGACCCCCCAGGGACTCTCAGGGACCCCCAGAGACCCCCCAGGGACTCTCAGGGACCCCCAGAGACCCCCAGAGCCAACCCAGGGACACCCAGAGACCCCTGTGGGGTCACGTACGGATCCGTCCCGCAGCAGGAAGGCCGAGCACTGCAGCCCCACCATCAGCAGCTTGTGGGGGTTCCACGTCACCGAATCGGCCCTGGAGGGGAGGGGGCCAAAAAGAGGGTTGGGGTCCCAAAACCTCCAGGGGGTGGGGGGAATTTGGAGGAGGGGGTTGGGGGTCCCACCTGTGGATCCCTCGAGGAGGTGCCGCAGTTTCGGGGACAGGAGGGCGCTGCCCCCACGCCGCCTGTGGGAATTTTGGGGAGGGTGGGAGGGTGGGAAAGGGTCAGATCCTCCAGGGGGTCCTGGGACCCCCAAAGCGGGGACGCCCCAGACTCACATCCACGTGCAGCCACAGCCCGTGGCGGGCGCAGATGGCGGCGATGGAGGGGAGGGGGTCGAACGCCCCAGGACGGTGGTGCCGCTGGTGGCACAGACGAAGAAAGGCTCCGAGCCCTGGGAGGGGTGATTTTTGGGGGGTTTGGGGAGGATTTGGGGGATTTTGGGGGTTTGGGGGATTGGGGGATTTAAGGGCCTTAGGGGGTTTGGGAGGGAGTCAAAGCCCCCAGGACGGTGGTGCCGCTGGTGGCACAGACGAAGAAAGGCTCCGAGCCCTGGGGGGTGGGGGGCTATTTTGGGGGTTTGAGGGGATTTTTGGGGGTCTGAGGGGATTGGGAGGGGTTTGAGGATTTTTAGGGGTTTGGAGGATTTGGGAGGGATTTTGGGGGCTTGGGGAATTTAGGGGTTTGGGAAGGGGTTTTGAGGGGTCGAACGCCCCAGGACGGTGGTGCCGCTAGTGGCACAGATGAAGAAAGGCTCCGAGCCCTGGGGGTGAGGGCGATTTTGGGGGTTTGAGGGGATTTGGAGGGATTTTGAGGGTTTGTATGGGATTTGGGGGATTGGAAGGGGTTTGGGGGGATTTTGGGGGTTGGGGGCGTTTAGGGGGTTTGGGAGGGGTCGAACGCCCCCAGGACGGTGGTAGCCGCTGGTGGCACAGATGAAGAAAGGTTCTGAGCCCTGGGGCGGGGAGCGATTTTGGGGGTTTGAGGGGATTTGGGGGGATTTTGGGAGTTCGGAGGTGAATTTGGGGGATTTTGGGGGGGTTTGGGGAGGGATTGGAAGGGGTTTGAGGGGATTTAGGGGGTTTGGGAGGAGGTCGAAGCTCCCAGGACGGTGGTGCCGCTGGTGGCACAGACGAAGAAAGGCTCCGAGCCCTGGGGGAGGGCGATTTTTGGGGGTTTGGGGAGGATTTAGGGGGTTGGGAGGATTTTGGGGGTTTGAGGTGTATTTGAAGTGTTTGGAGGGAATTTGAAAGGGGGTTTGAAGGAGTTTGGGGTGTCCTTGGAGAGATTTGGGGAGATGGGGGGGTTGTAGGGAGTTTTGGGGTGTTCAGAGGGATTTGGGAGAATTTTGGCAGAGATTTGGGGGGAATTTAAGGGGTTTTAAGAAGGTGGGGAATTAGAGGGCTTTGAGTGGGTTTGGAGGGGATTGGGAGGCTTTGGGGGTGGTTGGGAGGATTGGGGGGGATTTGAGGGGATTGGGGGGGATTTGGGGGTATATGCAGGGATTTGGGAACACTGGGGGGCTTTGGGGACACGGTGGGGCTTTGGGGACAATTTTGGGGGAGGTCTTTGGGGACATCGGGGGGTGCAGCCCCCCCACAACCTCAGCTTTGACCCTCTGGATCTCCTTCTCCAGCTCCTCCGGGATCATCTTCCCCCTGAGGGACAGCACAGGGATTGGGACAGGGATTGGGATTGGGACAGGGACAGGGACAGGGATTGGGATGGGACAGGGACAGGGGGGTGACAGGGCTGGGGGTCCCGGGGGGTCCCGCACCCACCGCTCATCCGTGGGCACGAGGTGAACGTTGTCGGTGCCGATTCCCAGGAAAGCGGCGCCTTTTAGGATCGAGTAGTGGCTCTGGGGGGAGGGGACACGGGCTCGGGGGGGACCCCAGGGATTGGGGGGACCCCGAGGATCAATCCTTGGGGTGACCTCAGGAATTGGACCTTGGGGTGAGCCAGGGATCAGTTTTGGGGTGTCCCCGAGGACCAGGTTTGGGACCAGATTTGGGATGTCCCCATCCCCATTTTTAGGGTGTCCCCAGCCCCATTTTGGGGGTGTCCCAGCCCCATTTTCCGGGAATCCCCAGCCCCATTTTCAGGGTGTCCCCATCCCCATTTTTAGGGTGTCCCCAGCCCCATTTTGGGGTGTCCCAGCCCCATTTTTGGGGTATCCCCAGACCCATTTTCAGAGTATCCCCAGCCCCATTTTGGAGGTGTCCCCCCAGCCCCATTTTGGGGGTGTCCCCATCCCCATTTTGGGGGTCTCCCAGCCCCATTTTCGGGGTACCCCCATTCCCATTTTCGGGGTGTCCCCAGCCCCATTTTCAGGATGTCCCAGCCCCATTTTGGGGGTGTCCCAGCCCCATTTTCGGGGTGTCCCCATCCCCATTTTCAGGGTATCCCCAACCCCATTTTTGGGGTGCCCCCATCCCCATTTTCAGGGTGTCCCCAGCCCCATTTTCGGAGTATCCCCAGCCCCATTTTCGGGGTGTCCCAGCCCCATTTTCGGGGTATCCCCAGCCCCATTTTGGGGGTGTCCCAGCCCCATTTCCGGGGTGTCCCAGCCCCATTTTCCAGGAATCCCCAAACCCCTTTTGGGGGTGCCCCCAGCCCCATTTTGGGGGTGTCCCAGCCCCATTTTGGGGGTGCCCCCTGTCCCACCTCCCTGGAGGCGAAGATCGCCAGGCTCGGGAGTTCGCGGCTCCCTCTGCTCCGGCTCTCCGGGAAGCGCCGGAACCGCGCCACGTTCATGGCCAGCATGTTGGACATGGAGCCCCCTGCCCCAAACAGGGGGGGTGTCAGGGACCCCCTGAACCACCCCCACACCTTGGAGAAGGGAGAGAAACCCCCAGGATTTGGGATTTGGGGATACCTGGAGCGAAGATGCCGTCGCCGTCGCTCCACCCCACGAGCTCGCGGAGCTTGGCCAGGACCTGCTCCTCCAGCAGCACCAGCACCGGGGCCACCTCGTACGTGTACCTGGGGGGATGGGGGGCAAGGAAGGGGTTTTGGGGGGTCCCCACCCCCTCCCTCGGCGTCTTCTGCACCCCAAAAACCTGCCCCTGACACCCCAAAATCGTCCCCCCTGCAACCGCAGCATCCCAAATCCCTCCGGCAGCACCAGCACCGGGGTCACCTCCCACGTGTACCTGGCGGGTAGGGGATGATTTTGGGGGGGTCCCCACCCCTCCCTCGGGGTCCTCTGCATGCCAAAATCAACCCCCTGGATCCTCTGAACCCCAAAATCAACCCCCGGGGTCCTCTGAACCCCAAAATCCTTCCCCCAACACTCCCTCCTTCAACAGCACCAGCACCGGGGCCACCTCCCACGAGTACCTGGGGGGGCACAGCAGGGATTTTGGGGGGTCCCCACCCCTCCCTCGGGGTCCTCTGAACCCCAAAACCTTCTCCTGAATCCCAAATTCCCCCTTGACACCCTAAAATCCTCCCCCTGGCAACCTCAGCGTCCCAAATCCTCCCCCAGCACCCCAAAAAACCTCGGCCAGCACCTCCCGCTCCCCCCACCCTGAGGGAGGTCTGGGGTGGGGGGGTCCCTCAGGTTTTTTGGGGGGGTCCCTCAGGTTTTTGGGGGGTCTCTCAGGTTTTTGGGGGTCCCTCAGGTTTTTTGGGGGTCCCCCAGCCCTAAAGGTTTTTTTGAGGGTCCCATCAGGTTTTTGGGGGTCCCTTCAGGTTTTTGGGTTCCCCCAGCCCAGCAGGATTTTTTGGGGGGTCCCTCAGGTTTTTTGGGGGGGGATCCCTCAGGTTTTTGGGGGGTCTGTCAGATTTGTAGGGGTCCCCAGCCCGGCAGGATTTTTGGGGGGTCCTCAGGTTTTTGGGGGTCCTATCAGGTTTTTTGGGGGTCCTCTCAGGTTTTTGGGGGTCCCCAGCCTAGGTTTTTGGGGGTCCCTTCAGGTTTTTTGGGGGGGTCCCTCAGGTTTTTGGGTTCCCCCAGCCCAGCAGGATTTTGAGGGGGGGTCCCTCAGGTTTTTGGAGGGGTCCCATCAGGTTTTGGGGGGTCCGTCAGGTTTTTGGGGTCCCTTCAGGTTTTTGGGTCCTCAGCCCGCAGGTTTTGGAGGGTCCCGGCAGGTTTTTGGGGGTCCCTCAGGTTTTTGGGGTCTCCCAGCCCAGCAAGTTTTTGGGGGTCCCTCAGGTTTTTGGGGGGGTCCCTCAGGTTTTTGGGGTCCCCAGCCCTAGCAGGTTTTTGGGGGGTCCCTCAGGTTTTTGGGGTCTCCCAGCCTGCAGGTTTTTGGGGGTCCCATCAGGTTTTTGAGGGGGTCCTCCAGGTTTTTAGGGGGTCCCTCAGGGTTTGGGGGTCTCTCAGGTTTTTGGGGTCTCGCTCAGGTTTTTGGGGGCTCCCTCAGGTTTTCGGGGGTCTCTCAGGTTTTGGGGGTCTGTGGGGCTGGGGGCTCACGGGCTCGTGTTGAGGGTCTCCGTGAGCAGCCGCCCCGCCAGGGCGTGGTGATCCAACCCCGAGAACAGCTGATTGAAGAGACCGAGGAGTGACCTGGGGACACTGGGGTCAGGGGACATTAGGGGTCCAGGGGACACGAAATAGTAGGACATTGGGGACATTAGGGGGTCAAGGGGACATTAAATAGTGACACCAAATAAAGACACTGTATCACAAATAGTATTACTGGGACATTAGGGGGCCAAGGGACATTGGGGGTCAGGAACACAAAATATATACCTGGCCAGTAATGTATCATTAAATGGGCGAATACTAAACAGAACACAAAATATGTATTACTGGGGGAATGTATCACAAATAGTACTTCAAAAAGACATCAGCTCAGAATGGGGTCAGTATCACCAAATAAAGTGACACAGTATCAGTCAGTATCAGTCAGTATCACTGGGGACACCGGGGGTCCTGTGTATCATCAAAGATCACTGGGGCTGAGGCAATAACTGTAAAGCAGGACACTAAAGAGGACATTGGGACACCAAATAGACATTGGGGGCAGTATCACTGGGGGGCCAGTAGACACCAAATAAAGACACTGGGGGACACAAATAGACACAAACAGACACTGGGGCCTGTGTGACATTGCATTGCATTGGGGTCAGTATTACTAGCACACAAATAGTATTTGTATCAGGGGACACAAATAGTAGACACTGTATCACTGTAAAATGGGGACACAAAATCAAATAAAATGGGGACACTGAGGACATTGGGGGCCTCAGACACTGTATCAGTATCACTGCATTACCAAATAGCATTACTGTATAGGATTACTGGGGGTCAGGGGACATTGGGGCCGGGACATGGAGGATTGGGGGTCAGGGGACATTGGGGGTCAGGGGGCAGGGGACATTGGGGGTCAGGGGGACATTGGGGGTCAGGGGACACTGAGGAGTCAGGGGACATAGTAGGGGACATGGAGGGTCAGATGGGGACCATGGGTAGATCAGATGGGGGACATGGGGGTCAGACAAGGGGACATGGGGGTCAGGGGACAACTGAGGGGGGCCAGGAGGATCAGGGAGTCACGGGGTACACTGGGGTATCAGTAGGATCATGGGGACACAGTGGGGTCCAGGGGACACTGAGGGGTCAGGAGGAACACTGGGGGTCAGAGGGACATTGGGGGTTCAGGAGGACATTGGGGGGTCAGGGGACATTGGGGGTGTCAGGGGACATTGGGGGTCAGGGGGACATTGAGGGTACATGGGGGACATTGGGGGATCAGGGGGGTACACTGGGGGTCAAGGGGACATTGGGGGGTCAGGGGACACAGGGGGTCAGGGAACATTGGGGAGCTAGGGGGATTGGGGGCTTCACAGGGGCATTGGGGTCACGGGGGGACACCAGGGGACACTGGTGGTCAGTGGGACACTGGCGTGGAGTCAGAGACATTGGCGGACACTGGGGGTCAGGGGACACTGGGGGACATTGGGAGTCAGGGGGACACAGGGGAGTCAGGGGACATTGGGGGACATTGGGGGTCATGGGGACATTGGGGTCAGGGGACATTGGGGGCACTGGGCTGCCCTGGGGAGCACTGGGGCTGCACTGGGGGCACTGGGGCTGCCCTGGGGGCACTGGGGCTGTACTGGTTTGCACTGGGGCTGTACTGGGCTGCACTGGGAGGCACTGGGGGGCACTGGGGCTGCCCTGGGGGGCACTGGGGCTGTACTGGTTTGCACTGGGGCTGTACTGGGGCTGCACTGGGGGGCACTGGGGCTGTACTGGGGCTGCCCTGGGGAGCACTGGGGCTGTACTGGGGGGCACTGGTGTGTACTGGGAGCGCACCGGTGCGGACGCTGAACCTCAGCACGTCCCGGCAGCGCCGCAGGAGCCGCTCCCGCCCCTCCCCCTCTTCCCGCAGCTCCAGGTCCAGCAATTCCCGCAGCTCCTGCGGCTCCTTCCACACACACACCTGGAATGGGATTGGGAATGGGAATGGGATCAGGAATGGGATTGGGACCCCCCCACACCTCATCCTTCCACACACACACCTGGAATGGGATTGGGAATGGGAATAGGATCAGGATCGGGACCCCCCCACACACCTCATCCTTCCACACACACACCTGGAATGGGATTGGGAATGGGAATGGCTGGGAATGGGACTGAGAATGGGACTGGGAATGGGGTTGGGAATGGGGCTGGGAATGGGGCTGGGAATGGGGCTGGGAATGGGGCTGGGAATGGCTGGGAATGGGACTGGGAATGGGGCTGGGAATGGCTGGGAATGGGGCTGGGACTGGGAATGACTGGGAATGGGGCTGAGAATGGGACTGGGAATGGGACTGGGAATGGTTGGGAATGGGGCTGGGAATGGGGTTGGGAATGGGGCTGGGAATGGGACTGGGAATGGCTGGGAATGTGGCTGGGAATGACTGGGAATGGGGCTGGGAATGACTGGGAATGGGACTGGGAATGGGGCTGGGAATGGGGTTGGGAATAGGACTGGTAATAGGACTGGTAATGGGGCTGGGAATGGGGCTGGGAATGGGGCTGGGAATAGGACTGGGAATGGGGCTGGGAATGGGGCTGGGAATGGGACTGGGAATGGGGCTGGGAATGGGACTGGGAATGGGGCTGGGAATGGGGCTGTGAATGGGGTTGGGAATGGGACTGGGAATGACTGGGAATGGGGGCTGGGAATGACTGGAAATGGGGTGGGAAGGGGTTGGGAATCACTGGGAATGGGGCTGGGAATGGGGCTGGGAATGGGGTTGGGAATGACTGGGAATGGGACTGGGAATGGGGCTGGGAATGGGGCTGGGAATCACTGGGAATGGGGCTGGGAATGGGGCTGGGAATGGGGACTGGGAATGGGGCTGGGAATGAGGCTGGGAATGGGGCTGGGAATGGGGCTGGGAATGATGGGAATGGCTGGGAATGGGGCTGGGAATGGGACTGGGAATGGCTGGGAATGGGGCTGGGAATGGGGCTGGGAATGGGGTTGGGAATGGGACTGGGAATGGCTGGGAATGGCTGGGAATGGGGCTGGGAATGACTGGGAATGGGGCTGGGAATGACTGGGAATGGGGCTGGGAATGGGGCTGGGAATGGGGCTGGGGGTCCCACCTTGCCCGTGACGTCGGTGCCGTTCCTCACCCCCTCCTCCAGCAGCACCTGGAACACTTCCTGCAGGAATTCCTCCCCCTGCCAGCGTTATCCAGGCCTGGCTCATCCAGAGGGATCCCCTCCCACATTCCAGAGGGATCAGCCATGGACACAGACGAGCCTCTCCAGGGACTGGGGAATCCTGGGATTGGGAGAGCCCGGAATTGGGTGCTCCTGGAATGAAGGGATCCCGGGATCAGCTTCTCCCTGGAATTAGAGGATCCTGGGATGAGCTTCTCCCTGGAATTAGAGGATCCTGGGATGAGCTTCTCCCTGGAATTAGGAGATCCTGGGATGAGTTTCTCTGGGATAAACTCCTGGAATGAGCTGCTCCTGGAACGAAGGGATTTGGGGATGAGGCTCTCCCAGGATAAGCTGATCCCAGAATTCGATGATCTCAGGATAAAATCCCCCCCAGGACGAGTTTCTCCCAGGAGGAGGCGATTCCAGAGGTTCTCCCGGTTTTGTGGGATGAGGATTTCCCAGGAGCTCCCGGCTCCTCAGGCTGGAATTTTCCAGGCTCGGGTGCTCCCAGGACAAGGTTCCCCTGGGACAAAGTTCCCCTGGGATGAGGTGATCCCAGGATAAGCTGATCCCAGAATCAGGAGCTCCCAGGATCAGAGTCTCTCATCTCCTCGGGCTGGAATTTTCCAGGCTCGGGTATTCCCAGGATAAGGTTCCACTGGGATGAGGTGATCCCAGAATTAGGATCTCCTAGGATCAGGTTTTCCAAGATCAGGCTCTCCTGGCTCCTCCTCCCCCTCTCCAGGCTGGAATTCTTTGAGATTGGGCTCTCCCAGGCTGGAATTCTTAGGATCAGGTTGGAATTCTCAGAATCCAGATGGAATTCTCTGGGATCAGGCTGGAATTCTCAGAGATCAGGCTGGAATTCTCAGGGATCTGGATGGAATTCTCAGGGATCAGGCTCTCCTGACTCCTCTCTCCCCTCCCCAGGCTGGAATTCTCCAGGATCTGGATGGAATTCTCTGGGATCCAGATGGAATTCTCCAAGATGAGGCTCTCCCCACTCCTCTCCAGGCTCTCCTGGGCTCGGGCTGAATTCCCACGCTGGAATTCTCCAGGATCGGCCCCTCCCAGCTCCTCTCCCTCCCTCCCTCCCTCCCTCCCTCCCCGGGCTGGAATTTTCCTCGGCCGAAGGGACAAAGTCCGGGAGCCGGGAAGGGGCCCCGGGGGGTCCCTGGGGACGTGACCCCCCCCCCGGGGGAGGGGCTGGGAGCAGGGGAGGATCCTCCCCATTCCCAGTATCCCCCATTCCCAGTGTCCCCCCCAATCCCAGTATCCCCATTCCCAGTGTATTCATTCCTAGTGTTCCCATTCCCAGTGTCCCCCCCATTCCCACTGTTCCCATTCCCAGTATTCCCCAGGCCCATTATCCTCATTCCCAGTGTCCCTCATTCCCAATATCCCCCATTCTCAGTGTCTCTCCCATTCCCAATATCCCCATTCCCAATATCCCCCCATTCCCATTCCCAATATTCCCCATTCCCAGTGTTCCCATTCCCGGTGTTCCCCCCATTCCCAGCATCCCCCATTCCCAGTGTTCCCCCCATTCCCAGTGTTCCCATTCCCAATAACCCCCATTCCCAGTATCCCCCCCATTCCCATTATCCCCATTCCCAGCATCCCCCCAATCCCATTATCCCATTCCCATTATCCCCATTCCCAGCATCCCCCATTCCCTCTTTCCCCTCCCCCCCTCCCCCTCACGTGCTCAGCACAAACACCAAAATCTTCGCTTTTCTCCCCAAAACAGCAACGTCCCCCCTCCCCTCCCCCTCCCCCAATTATTCCTTTATTCTCCGATTTTCCATAATTCAATCCGGGTCTGGAATTCCGGGCGGGATCAGCTCCCACCTGCACACACCTGGGGGAGGCACCAGGTGGGGGAACACCTGAGGGGGGGCAGCCAGGGAGGGGCACCTGGGGGGGTCACCTGGGACACACCTGGGGGTCACCTGGGACACACCTGGGGGTCACCTGGGGCTGGGAGAGCCAGGGAATGGCACCTGGGACACACCTGGGACACACCTGGACAGGGACAACCAGGGAAGGGCACCTGGGACACACCTGGGACACACCTGGGACACACCTGGGATAGGGACAGCCAGGTAACAACATCTGGGACACATCTGGGACACACCTGGGGGCACCGGACACCTGGGACACCGGGACACACCTGGACAGGGACAGCCAGGGGCACCTGGGACACACCTGGGAGTCACCTGGACAGGACAGCCAGGAAGGGCACCTGGGACACACCTGGGACACACCTGGGATAGGGACAGCCAGGGAGGGGCACCTGGGACACACCTGGGACACACCTGGGGGGTCACCTGGACAGGGACAGCCAGGGAATGGCACCTGGGACACACCTGGACAGGGACAACCAGGTAACAACATCTGGGACAGGGACAGCCAGGTAACCTCACCTGGGGTCACCTGGGACAGTCACAGCCAGGTAACCACACCTGGGACAGTCACAGCCAGGTGACCTCACCTGGGACACACCTGGGACAGGCACAGCCAGGTAACCACACCTGGGACAGATCTGGGATAGGGACAGCCAGGGAATGACACCTGGGACACACCTGGGACAGGGACAGCCAGGGAATGGCACCTGGGACACACCTGGACAGGGACAGCCTGGTAACAACATCTGGGACACACCTGGACAGGGACAGCCAGGAGGCACCTGGGTACCTGACGGGACAACCAGGGAATGGCACCTGGGACACATCTGGGATAGGGACATCCAGGTAACCACACCTGGATAGGGACATCCAGGTAACCTCACCTGGGGTCACCTGGGACAGGCACAGCCAGGTAACCACACCAGGGACAGTCACAGCCAGGTAACCACACCTGGGACACATCTGGACAGGCACAGCCAGGTAACCACACCAGGGACACATCTGGGATAGGGACATCCAGGTAACCACACCTGGGACAGATCTGGGACAGGGACATCCAGGTAACCTCACCTGGGACACATCTGGGATAGGCACAGCCAGGTAACCACACCTGGGGGCTCCCAGGTGTTCCCAGCTCTCTGTCCATGTCCTTGTGCTGGGAGTGGGGGTTGTCCCCCAAGTTCTCCAGGTGTCCCAGCTGCTCCAGGTATCCCAGGTTCTCCATGTTCTCCAGGTATTCCAAGTTCTCCAGGTGCTCCAGGTGTCCCAGGTGTTCCAAGTTCTCCAGGTGCTCCAGGTGTTCCAAGTTCTCCAGGTGTCCCAGGTGCATCAGGTTCTCCAGGTATTCCAAGTTCTCCAGGTGTTCCAGATGTCCCAGCTGCTCCAAGTGCTCCATGTTCTCCAGCTGTTCCATGTTCTCCAGGTGTTCCATGTTCTCCAGGTGTCCCAGGTTCTCCAAGTGTTCCATGTTCTCCAGGTGTCCCATGTTCTCCAGGTGTCCCAGGTGCTCCAGGTTCTCCAGGTGTCCCAGGTTCTCCAGGTGTTCCATGTTCTCCAGGTATCCCAGGTGTTCCAAGTTCTCCAGGTGTTCCAGATTCTCCAGGTGTTCCAGGTGTTCCATGTTCTCCAGGTGTTCCCCTATTTGAGGATGACGTGGTAGCTGTCGCTGCTTTCGGCTGCAAGGAGGGCACAGGTGAGCCCGGGGCAGGTGGGGGGCCGTGCCCCAGGTGGGCCCCTCCCCCCCCCAGGTGCTCACACACCTTTCATGGTGTCCAGCACGAAGCAGGATTCGTCCGGGAAGTTCTGGATCATCTGGGAAAGGAACCGGAACAGAGGGGTGGGGGGGGATTGGGGGGCCAAAGGGGCCCAGCTGGGAGCTCAGGTGGGAGCTCAGGTGGGAACTCAGGTGTGTCCCACGTGTTCCCTGCCCAGGTGTGCCCAGGTGTGCCCAGGGTGTCCCAGGTATATCCCAAGTGTATCCCAGGTGTATCCCAAGTGTCTCCAGGTGTGCTCCAGGTGTTTCCCAGATGTATCCCAGGTGAGCCCCAGGTGTCTCCAGGTGTATCCTAGGTGTACCCTGCATGTATCCCAGGTGTATCCCAGGTGTATCCCAAGTGTATCCCTGGAATATCCAGGTGTATCCCAGGTATTTCCAGGTGTATCCCAGGTGTCTCCAGGTGTATCCCAAGTGTATCCCTGGAATATCCAGGTGCATCCCAGGTATATCCAGGTGTATCCCAGGTGTGCCCTGGGTGTGTCCAGCTGTATCCCAGGTGTGTCCCAGGTATTTCCAGGTGTATCCCAGGTGTGCCCTGGGTGTCCCAGGTATATCCCAAGTGTATCCCAAGTGTGCCCAGGTGAGTCCAGGTGTCTCCCAGGTGTCTCCCAGGTGTATCCCAGGTATATCCCAGGTGTGCCCTGGGTGTCCCAGGAATATCCCAGGTGTATCCCAGGTGTATCCCAGATATGTCCAGGTGTACCCAGGTGTACCCCAGGTGCCCCCAGGTGTATCCAGGTGTCTCCCAGGTGTTCCCAGGTGTCTCTAGCTGTATCCCAGGTATATCCAGGTGTCCCCAGGTGTGCCCCAAGTATATCCCAGGTATATCCAGGGGTATCCCAGTTGTGTCCCAGGTGTTCCCAGCTGTATCCCAGGTGTGCCCTGTGTGTGTCCAGGTGTGTCCCAAGTGTATCCCAGGCATGTCCAGGTGTCTCCCATGTGTCCCCAGATGTATCCCAGGTGTGCCCAGGTGAGTCCAGGTGTCTCCCAGGTGCCCCCAGGCATGTCCAGGCGTGCCCAGGTGTCTCCCAGGTGTATCCAGATGTGTCCCACGTGCCCCCAGGTGTGCCCAGGTGTCTCCCAGGTGCCCCCAGGTATGTCCAGGTGTGCCCAGGTATCTCCCAGGTGTATCCCAAGTGTGCCCAGGTGAGTCCAGGTGTCTCCCAGGTGTGTCCAGGTGTATCCCAAGTGTGCCTAGGTGAGTCCAGGTGTCTCCCAGGTGCCCCCAGGCATGTCCAGGTGCCCCCAGGTGCCCCCAGGTGTGCCCAGGTGCCCCCAGGTGCGCTACCTCGTCGCTGACCAGGACGTGGATGCCGGTGGGTCCCTGTTTGTAGATGTGCTGGATCTGGTGTGCGGGGACGCGGAACAGCTGCGCCAGCTTCTCGGACAGCTCGGCCGCCGTCAGCTCCTCCAGGTACACCGCGTGGTACACTGGGGACAGGGGACGCAGCTGACACACCTGAGCCCCCCCAGGTGAGCCCCACCTGCCCCAGGTGAGCCCCACCTGCCCCAGGTGTGGCCTCTCCATCCCCCCCCTCACCGAAGAAGGTCCCGGCGCCGCCGTCGCCCTCGTCGGGCTCGTGCTGGGGGTCCCTCACCTGCTGCGACTCCTGACACACGTAGATGGTCAGGCGGGGCCTCACCAGCCTGGACAGGTGAGGGACAGGTGAGAGGGGACAGGGAAGGGACATTTCCCACCTCATTGATCCAAAAAAACCCTCCGCGTTTCCCACCTTTCCTTTTGGCGTTTTCCACCCCAAATCCAACATTTCCTCATCTCCTTTCCCCAAAAAAACACCCCTTTCCCACCTGGGTCACCCCTCCCATCTCCCCTCCTTCCCCAGGAATTCCCGGATTTTCCAGGAATCGAGGGCAGGGATCCCGAATTCCCGCTGAGTTCCGGCCGTACCTGCCCTTGAGGGCGTTGAAGAGGCGGATCCCGTCGGCGGGGCCGCAGATCTGGATCACGTCGTCCCTGCTCAGCTTCAGCAGATCGGCCCCTGAGCACCCCAAAAAAGGTGGGTTTTGGCCCAAAACTGGCATTTTTTCGGCCCCAAATCGGTACTTTTTCAGCCCCAAAATTGGCTTTTTTCAGCCCCAAAATTGGCACTTTTTCGGCCCCAAAAATCGGCATTTTTCAGCCCCAAAATTGATATTTTTCAGCCCCGTTATCAACGTTTTCCGGTCCCAAAATTGGCATTTTTCGCCTCCCAAAATCGGCCTTTTTTCAGCCCCCAAAATCTGCACTTTTAAGCTGAAAAACCAGTCATTTTCCAACCCCCAAATCTGCCATTTCTTTCCCCCAAAAATCTGCACTTTTCAGCTCCCAAATCAGCATTTTTTTTTCCCCTAAACTGTCATTTTTCGGGCCCCAAATCCTCATTTTTCAGCCCCCAAATCCATGTTTTTCTTCCCCAAAAATCCATATTTTTCAGCCCCAAAACTGGCATTGAGGGGTGACAACTGTGCCAAGTGAGGGGTGACACCTGTACCAGGTAAGAAGGTGGCACCTGTGCCAGGTAAGAGGTGGCACCTGTGCCAGGTAAGAGGAGCTGAGGCCTCACCTGAGAAGTTCCTGAAGAGCCGGGAGAAGGTGGAGAAGCGGTTCCGGTGCAGCCACTGCTGGGCCTCCTGCGGTGTCCAGGTGGGCAGCAGGGTCTGGGGGGCACAGGTGAGCTCAGGTGACCTGGCAGCGTGCCCAGGTGACCCAGGACTGTGCCCAGGTGACCTGGCAGTGTTTTCACCGAGGGAGGGGCTCAGGTGAGCTCAGGGGGGGCAATCCCAGGTGGGCACAGAAGCACCGTGGCCTCCCAGGTGTCCCAGGGTGGATCCCCCCTCCCAGGTGTCCCTGGGCAGGTAAATGGACAGGTAGGTGGGCAAGTAAATGGACAGGTAAATGGACAGGTAAATGGACAGGTAGATGGGCAGGTGGGCAGGTAAATGGACAGGTAGGTGGGCAGGTAAATGGACAGGTAGGTGGGCAGGTAAATGGAGAGGTAAATGGCCAGGTAGATGGGCAGGTAAATGGACAGGTAGATGGACAGGTAGGTGGGCAAGTAAATGGACAGGTAGATGGGCAGGTGGGCAGGTAAATGGACAGGTAGGTGGGCAGGTAGGTGAGCAGTACTTACATCAGCCAGGGGCGCAGGGGGGTCGGGCTGGTGGCTCGGGGATCCACTGCTGGGGACACGGGGACACTGTCACACACTGGGGACACTGGGGACACACTGGGGACACTGTCACACACTGGGGACACTGTTACACACTGGGGGGTGGCACAGCAGTCCCCTCCCAGCATTCCCAGTCCATCCCAGCACTCCCAGTCCCTCCCAGCACTCCCAGTCCACCCCGGAGTTTCCAGTCCATCCTGGTGTTCCCAGTCCATCCCAGCACTCCCAGTCCACCCCAGTGTTCCCAGTCCATCCTGGTGTTCCCAGTCCCCTCCCAGCACTGCCAGTCCTTCCCAGCGTTTCCAGTCCATCCCAGCATTCCCAGTCCCTTCCCAGCATTCCCAGTGCCTCCCATCATTCCCAGTCCCTCCCATCGTTCCCAGTCCATCCCAGCACTCCCAGTCCACCCCGGAGTTCCCAGTCCATCTCAGTGTTCCCAGTCCCTCCCAGCATTCCCAGTCCCATCATTCCCAGTCCACTCCACCATTCCCAGTCCCTCCCATCGTTCCCAGTCCCTCCCAGCACTCCCAGTCCCTGTAAGCATTCCCAGTCCATCCCAGCACTCCCAGTCCACCCCAGTGTTCCCAGTCCCTCCTATCATTCCCAGTCCATCCCAGCCCCTCCCAGCATTCCCAGTCCCATCATTCCCAGTGCCTCCCATCATTCCCAGTCCCTCCCAGTGCCTCCCAGTCCGTCCCAGTTCCTCACCCGTCCCCCAGGGAGAAGCCGCTGTGGGAGTTGTTGAAGCCCGGGGAGGGCGCGGGGGGGACGTACGAGACCTCGGGCCAGGGGGAGCACTGCGGGACAGGCGGGCACAGGTGGGCACGGGGGCACCTGGGCACACCTGCACACACACACACCTGGCACCGGCATGCATCTGGGCACACCTGCCCCTGCCCCAGGTGTGCCAGGTGAGCTCACCTAACCCTGACCTGCCCCAGGTGTGCCAGGTGAGCTCACCTCGGTCAGGATGGTGGTCTCGTAGGAGGGCTGGCACTGACCCTGCCCCAGGTGTGCCAGGTGCCCCAGGTGAGCTCACCTGACCCTGTCCTGCCCCAGGTGTGCCAGGTGAGCTCACCCGACCCTGACCTGCCCCACGTGCCCCAGGTGAGCTCACCTCGGTCAGGATGGTGGTCTCACAGGTGTGCCAGGTGCCCCAGGTGAGCTCACCTCAGTCAGGATGGTGGTCTCGTAGGAGGGCTGGTATTTCTCCTTCTCGTGGGGCGTTCTCTTCTCCATCTTCTCCCGGTCCGTTTTCTGCTTCCGGTCGGCACCTTTGGGCTGGGACGGGCACACGGCACAGGTGTGGGCACAGGTGTGGGCACAGGTGTGGGCACAGGTGGCTCAGGTGTGCCCCAGGTGTGCCCCACCTGTGCTCAGGTGTGTGCTCAGGTAGCTCAGGTGGCTCAGCCCTCCTGGTGCTTCAAGGACCAAAAGGGAGCATTTTTTGGGGGGTCCCAGGACACCCCAGGACACCCCAGGAGATCCCAGGTGAGCCCAGGAGATCCAGGGTGATCCCAGGGTATCCTGGGTCATCATGGGTGACTCCAGGAGATCTCAGGTGATCTTGGTAGATCCCAAGTGATCCCAGGAAATCCTGGGTGACCCCAGGAGATCCCAGATGATCCTGGGAGATCCCAGGTGACCCCAGAACATCCCAGGAAGTCCCAGGACACCCCAGGAGATCCCAGGTGACCCCAGGTGATCCCAGATGACCCCAGGAGATCCTGGGAGATCTCAGGTGGTCTCAGGACACCCCAGGAGATCCAGGGTGACACTAGATGATCCCAGGTGACCCCAGGAGATCCAGGGTGACCCCAGGTGATTCCAGGTGATCCCAGATGATGCTGGGTGACCCTAGGTATCCCCAGGAGATCCCAGATGATCCTGGGAGATCCCAGGTAACCCCCAGAACACCCCAGGTGATCCTAGATGATCCCAGGAGATCCCAGGAGACCCCAGGGCGACACCAGGTTATCCCAGATGACCCCAGGTGATCCCAGGAGATCCAGGGTGACACCAGGCTATCCCAGGTGACCCCAGGAGATCCAAGGTGACTCCAGGCTATCCCAGGTGACCCCAGGAGATCCAAGGTGACTCCAGGACACCCCAGGTTATCCCAGATGACCCCAGGTGATCCCCCAGGTGACCCCAGGTGACCCCAGGAGGTCCCAAGTGTCCCAGATGATCCCAGGTGACCCCAGGACACCCCAGGTTATCCCAGATGACCCCAGGAGATCCCAGGTGACCCCAGGTTATCCCAGGTGACCCCAGGAGATCCAGGGTGACCCCAGGAGATCCAGGGTGACCCCAGGTGTCCCCAGATGACCAAGGTGACCCCAGGCTATCCCAGGTGACCCCAGGAGATCCAGGGTGATCCCAGATGACCCCAGGACACCCCGTGCACCCCCGGGGGGGCGGGGCAGCACCTTGAACACCTTGATCTGGCAGCTGGCCGAGTGCAGGTGCTCGGTGTAGTCGCCGCTGTCGCTCTCGCGGAAGGTGTCGATCTGCACGCGGAACGGGACCCCCTTCTCGCCGCCGTGCTTGCGCAGCGTGAACTCCGTGCTGATGCAGTGCACCTGCACCAGGTGGGCACAGGTGAGGGCACAGGGCAGGGGACAGCTGGGAACAGGTGAGGGGACACCTGGGACAGGTGGGCACACGGGTGAGGGGCCAGGGGACACCTGGGGGCAGGGAATGCCTGTGCTCACCTGGATGAGGAGCAGAGCCCACCTGTCCCTCACCTGGCTGATGGGCAGATCCCACCTGCACTCACCTGGCTGAGGGACAGACCCCACCTGTCCCTCAGAGCCCACCTGTCCCTCAGAGCCCACCTGTGCTCACCTGGATGAGGAGTAGACCCCACCTGTCCCTCAGATCCCACTTGCACTCACCTGGATGAAGGGCAGACCTCACCTGTCCCTCAGAGCCCACCTGACCCTCAGAGCCCTCCTGACCTCAGAGCCCACCTGTGCTCACCTGGATAAAGGGCAGATCTCACCTGTCCCTCAGAGCCCACCTGTGCTCACCTGGCTGATGGGCAGACCCCACCTGTCCTTCACCTGGCTGATGGGCAGACCCCACCTGTGCTCACCTGGATGAAGGGCAGATCTCACCTGTCCCTCAGACCCCACCTGTGCTCACCTGGATGAGGAGCAGACCCCACCTGTGCTCACCTGGCTGATGGGCAGACCCTACCTGTCCCTCAGAGCTCACCTGTCCCTCAGAGCCCACCTGTCCCTCAGATCTCACCTGTCCCTCAGATCCCATCTGTGCTCACCTGGCTGAGGGACAGACCCTACCTGTACCTCAGAGCCCACCTGTGCTCACCTGGATGAGGAGCAGACCCCATCTGTGCTCACCTGGATGAAGGGCAGATCTCACCTGTCCCTCAGACCCCACCTGACCCTCAGAGCCCTCCTGACCTCAGAGCCCACCTGTGCTCACCTGGATGAGAAGCAGACCCCACCTGTGCTCACCTGCTGAGGGACAGACCCCACCTGTCCCTCAGAGCCCACCTGTCCCTCAGACCCCACCTGTGCTCACCTGGATGAAGGGCAGACCCCACCTGTCCCTCAGAGCCCACCTGACCCTCAGAGCCCACCTGTGCTCACCTGGATGAGGAGTAGACCCCACCTGCACTCACCTGGCTGATGGGCAGACCCTACCTGTCCCTCAGATCTCACCTGTCCCTCAGACCCCACCTGTGCTCACTTGTCCGATGGGCAGACCCCACCCGTGCTCACCTGGATGAGGAGCAGACCCCACCTGCACTCACCTGGCCGATGGGCAGAGCCCACCTGCGCTCACCTGGCTGAGGAGCAGATCTCACCTGTCCCTCAGAGCCCACCTGTGCTCACCTGGATGAAGGGCAGACCCCACCTGTCCCTCAGACCCCACCTGTGCTCACCTGGCTGATGGGCAGACTCCACCTGTCCCTCAGAGCCCACCTGTCCCTCAGAGCCCTCCTGACCTCAGAGCCCACCTGTGCTCACCTGGATAAAGGGCAGATCTCACCTGTCCCTCAGAGCCCACCTGTGCTCACCTGGCTGATGGGCAGACCCCACCTGTCCTTCACCTGGCTGATGGGCAGATCCCACCTGCGCTCACCTGGATGAAGGGCAGATCTCACCTGTCCCTCAGAGCCCACCTGACCCTCAGAGCCCACCTGTGCTCACCTGGATGAGGAGTAGACCCCACCTGCACTCACCTGGCTGATGGGCAGACCCTACCTGTCCCTCAGATCTCACCTGTCCCTCAGACCCCACCTGTGCTCACTTGTCCGATGGGCAGACCCCACCCGTGCTCACCTGGATGAGGAGCAGACCCCACCTGTCCCTCAGCAGACCCCACCTGTGCTCACCTGGATGAGGAGCAGAGCCCACCTGTCCTTCACCTGGCTGATGGGCAGACCCCACCTGCACTCACCTGGCTGATGGAGCAGACCCCACCTGCACTCACCTGGCTGAGAGACAGACCCCACCTGTCCCTCAGACCCCACCTGCACTCACCTGGCTGAGGAGCAGACCCCACCTGCGCTCACCTGGCTGATGGGCAGACCCCACCTGTGCTCACCTGGATGAGGAGCAGACCCCACCTGTGCTCACCTGGATGAAGAGCAGACCCCACCTGTCCCTCAGAGCCCACCTGCGCTCACCTGGCTGATGGGCAGACCCCACCTGTGCTCACCTGGATGAAGACCGAGGTCCTCTTGGCGGGGTCCCACAGGAACTCCACGGTGTTGAGCTGGGTGGGGTTGGCGCGGGGGTCGATGATCCCCACGGACATCGGGATATCTGTGGGGGGGGGAGATGGGCGTGTCACCAGGTGAGGGGTGTCCCCCCCACACCCCCCCCAGCCCCACCTGGCCGGCCAGGTGAGCTCACCGATGTCCAGGATCCTGTCCCCGGGCCTGTTCCACCTCCAGCCCTCCAGCTGCTGGTGCTCCGTGTACTGGAGCCGCCGGTCGTGGAAAACCACCCGGAAAATGCTCTGGGGGTGGAGATGGGGGGGGGTTAAAGTCACCTGTACCTGCCCTGGCACACCTGGGCAGGTGCCCCCTCGCTCACCTTGACCAGCTTGCCGTTGATCTCCGGCAGCTCCCCCAGTTTCCTGTTGTCCAACATCCGGATCTCGTAGGACTGACCTGGGGGGGGAGGGTTACCTGGAATCACCTGGCACGCACCTGGAATCACCTGGCACACACCTGGAACCACCCTGAACACACCTGGAACCAGCTTACACACACCTGGAACCACCCTGAACACACCTGGAACCAGCTTACACACACCTGGAACCACCCTGAACACACCTGGAACCATCCTGAATACACCTGGGACCACCCTGAACACACCTGGGACCAGCTTACACACACCTGGGACCATCCTGACACACACCTGGGACCAGCTTACACACACCTGGAACCACCTTGGCACACACCTGGGACCAGCTTATACACACCTGGAACCAGCTTACACACACCTGGAACCATCCTGCACACACCTGGGACCATCCTGAACACACCTGGGACCAGCTTACACACACCTGGAATCACCTGGCACACACCTGGGACCAGCTTACACACACCTGGGACCAGCTTACACACACCTGGGACCAGCTTACACACACCTGGGACCATCCTGCACACACCTGGGACCATCCTGAACACACCTGGGACCACCCTGAACACACCTTGATCACCCTGAACACACCTGTGACCACCCAGAACACACCTGGAACCACCGTGAACACACCTGGGACCACCCAGAACACACCTGGGACCAGCCTTACACACACCTGGGACCAACCTGAACACACCTGGAACCACCCTGAACACACCTGGGACCAGCTTACACACACCTGGGACCACCCTGAACACACCTGGAACCATCCTGAACACACCTGGGACCATCCTGCACACACCTGGGACCATCCTGAACACACCTGGGACCATCCTGAACACACCTGGGACCATCCTGAACACACCTGGAACCACCTTACACACACCTGGGACCACCCTGAACACACCTGGGACCATCCTGAACACACCTGGAACCAGCTTACACACACCTGGGACCACCCAGAACACACCTGGGACCACCTTACACACACCTGGAACCATCCTGCACCCACCTGCAACCACCTGACACACACCTGGAACCACCCTGAACACATCTGCTGAACCACCTGACACACACCTGGGACCACCTGGGACCTACACCAGAACACACCTGGGACCACCCAGGACACACCTGTGACCCCCCCACCCCCCTGGGGCAGGTGAGCCCACCTTGGTTGAGGTAGGTGAGGGTCTCGTCGTGCAGTTTGACGGCGGGGGAGGTGGCGGCGCAGAGCACGTACTGGAAGGGCAGCACCTTGTCCTGCCCCTCGGGGGGCAAACTCGACTCCTCCTGCTTGAAGATGGGCAGGGCCAGCACGTCACTGTGGGGGGAGGGGGGGGACACACCTGAGGCAGGTGAGGACACACTTGAGGCAGGTGAGGGTGGGGTTGGGGATCCTTGGTGGAACCTGGGGAGAGACCCCCCACCCCCACCTGGCTCCCACCCCTGGACGTTCTGAGGGTCCCCCCTGGTATTTTGGGGTCCCCCCTGGTAATTTTGGAGTCCCCCCTGGACATTTTGGGGGTCCCCTTCAGATATTTTGAGGATTTTGGGGTCTCCTGGGACCTCATCCCATCAGTGCCATCCCCCAATGCCCTCAACCCCCACCCAGCGCATTTGGGGCTTCCCATCCCACTGCCCCACCCCTGCCCCCTGGGACATTTTGGGTCCCCCTGGGATATTCTGGGGTCCCCCGAACATTCTGAGGGTCCCCCAGATATTTTGGGGATTTTGGGGTCTCCTGGGACCTCATCCAATCAGCGCCAGCCCCCGACTCCCTCAACCCCCACCCAGCATATTTTGGGGTTCCCCATCCCCTTCTGCCTTCCCCTGACATTCTGGTGTACCCCTGGATATTCTGGGGTCCCCCCCAGATATTTTGAGGATTTTGGGGTCTCCTGACACCTCATCCCATCAGCGCCAGCCCCCGACGCCCTCAACCCCCACCCAGCACATTTGGGGTTTCCCCACCCCCTGCAGATATTTTGGGGTCCCCCCCGGGCCATTTTGGGGTCCCCCCGACATTTTGGGGGGCGGGTACCTCATGCTGTAGGCTCCAGCCCCCAACTCCTGCCCGATGCCCGACAGGCTGGCGTCGAAATCCTGCACCAGCCCCGACTCGATCACCTCGTCCGCCAGCGGCAGCTTCAGCGCCCACGCCATGGCCCCCCAAAAACGGGCCGGGGGGACCCCAAAAACGGGGGGGAGAACCCCCAAAATGGGGGGAGGGAACCCCAAAAATAGGGGGAGAGTCGGGGTTACCCCTAAAAGTGGGGGTGGCTCAAAGCCGGGGGTTCAAGGGCACCCCAAAAAATGGGGGTGTTGGGGGCACCCCAAAAATTGGGGGGCTCAGGGGAAACCCCAAAAATAGGGGTGGTGGGGAATCCCCTAAAAACAGGGGGGCTTTGGGGTTGCCCCCAAAATTTGGGGGGGGGTTTTCAGGGGCACCACCAAAACGGGGGGTCTTGGGGTTACCTCAAAATGGGGGTCTCAGGGTCACCCAAAATGGTCCGGATCCCCAAACGCAGGGGACCCTCAGGGGCACCCCCAAAATCAGGGGCACCCCCAAAATCAGGGGCTCCCAAAATGTGGGTTCTGGGGTGCCCCCAAAAATGGGGGTTCTCAGGGTTACCCCCTCTCTGGGGGTCCAAACCCCCAAAACCCTTTGGGGACCCCAAACCCAACGACCCCCCCGAGGCTGCTGCCCCCCCTTAGAAGGGGGGTCCTGAACACCCCGAGGGGAACCCCCCCAAACCCCTGGGGGACCCCCTAAAATCCTACACCCCACCCCCAGGGGCTTCCCCTTGTGGGGATCCCCCAAAAATGGGACCCCCCCCCAAGAACAGGGGACCCCCCGAAATCCTAAACGTGTCCCCCTCTAATCCGGGCTGGGACCCCCCAAACAAGGCTGGGACCCCCCGATTTGAGGGGGGACCCCCCAATCCGGGTTGGGACTCCCCTAAATCCGAAATGTGACCCCGAATCCGGGCTGGGACCCCCTAAACACGGCTGGGACCCCCCAATCCGGGTTGGGATCCCCCTAAATCCGAAATGGGACCCCTGATCCGGGTTGGGACCCCCCGATCCGGGCTGGGACCCCCCGATTTGAGGGGGGACCCCCCAAACACGGCTGGGACCCCCTAAATCCGAAATGTGACCCCGAATCCGGGCTGGGACCCCCCAAACAAGGCTGGGACCCCCCAAACACGGCTGGGACCCCCTAAATCCGAAATGGGACCCCTGATCCGGGCTGGGACCCCCCAATCCGGGTTGGGACCCCCGATCACGGCTGGGACCCCCGATCCGAGTTTGGGACCCCCGATGCGGGCAGAGCGCCCCCACTCCCAGCTGAGCCCCCCTCAATCCGGGCTGGGATCGCCCACTCCGTGCCGGATCCCCCCTCCCCAATCCTGTCCCTCCCCCTCCCCCAAAACTCCCGGCCGGGACCCCCCGAGCGGGGCCGGGACCCCCCAAACCCTCCGCGCCGCCAAGATGGAGGCGGCGGGCAGGCCCCGCCCCTCTTCCGCCTCAGCCAATGGGCGTGCGCCCCGCCGAGTGACGGGCGGGACAATCACCCAATAAGAACGCCGCGCGCCGGGGATGCCGCTCGGTGATTGGCCAAAGGGAGGCGGTGGGAGGGGCTTGGGGTGCGGAGGGGCTCTCAGTGGGTCGCCGGTTCGAGTCCCGGTCCCGCCTCGCGTGGGGTGGGGGGACCCCCAAAAATTCGGGAAAAAAAGGGAAAAAGGCAAAGAAAAAAGAAAAATACCGTTTATTTCACGCCACTACATCAAGTGCATCGGTCAATCTGCCGTGTTCCCCACCCCAAAACCACCCCTCCCCTCCTCCCCACATCACCCCGGCTGGGAAGGGGGCTGCTCCCTTTGGGGGTCCTCCCACCCCCACCCCCGAACGTCACGGTGTGCAGGAATGTCCCCAAAATGCCACCCCACGGGAGGGTGGGTGAGGTCACCCCCAAAAGCCACTCGCGAGGTGGGGATCCCCAAAATCAGCGCGTGGGGAGGGGGCAAGAATTGGGTCACCCCCACCCCGGGAGACTCAGAAAGGTGGGAAAAGGGAAAAAAACACGGGAAAAATGGAATCACTGATTTTGGGGGCGTGGGGGGCGTGTCTGTCACCACGCGTGTCACGGGTGGGGGGAAGGGGGACCCACGGGGATGGGGGAGGGGGACGAAACAGAATTGGTGGCCAAAGGGACAAAAGAGGTGGCCAAAGTGCTGCTGGGGGGAGGGGAGGGGAGGGGACACGCGGGGGGGTCACGGCACGTGGAAAGGTGTGGAGGGGGGACAGGGGGTCACAGGTGAGGGACAGACACGGACACGGGTGACACGGACACGGGTGACAGGGGGGCTGGGGTTAATGGGGGGGGGGCTCCCAGTGCTCCCAGTTCAGGGCAGGTGGGAGATGATGGGTGGGGATGGACACGGGTGGGGATGGACACGGGTGGGGATGGACACGGGTGGGCACAGGTGACAGGGGGACAATCCCAGTGACCGAAACGCTGCTGTCAGGGGGTCAGGTGGGACATACTGGGGATGCTCCCAGTGCTCCCAGTTCAGGGCACGAGGGAGATGATGGGTGGGGATGGACACAGTGGGGATGGACACGGGTGGGGACAGACATGGGTGGGGATGGACACAGGTGGGCACAGGTGACAGGGGGACAATCCCAGAGGCCAAAGCGCTGCTGGGGGAGGGGGGAGGATCCCAGTGCTCCCAGTTCAGGGCAGGTGGGAGATGATGGGTGGGGTGGGCACATGTGGGAATGGACACGGGTGAGGATGGACACGGGTGGGTACAGGTGACAGGGGGACAATCCCAGTGACCAAAGTGCTGCTGGCAGGGGGTCAGAGGGGACACAGAGGATGCTCCCAGTGCTCCCAGTTCAGGGCACGTGGGAGATGATGGGTGGGGATGGACACGGGTGGGGACACACACGGGGGTGACAGGGGGACAACCTCAGCGGCCACAGCGCTGCCGTCAGGGGGTCAGAGGGGACACAGAGGAGGCTCCCATCGCTCCCAGCTCAGGGCACGTGGAAGACGTTGAGCTTGCTGGTGTTCTTGAGCGTCTGGCGGCGGTTGCAGAACCACACCCGCACCACCTCGCGGTCGTAGCGCAGCTCCTGCGCGATGCGCGTGATCTCGGGGCCCGTGGGCAGCGCGTTGCGCTCGAAGTGGGCGTTGAGCGCCTCCAGGGCCTGGGGGGTGAAGGACGTGCGGCGCTTGCGCTTCTTGCCCGGCTCGCCCCCCACGAAGTCGAGCAGGCGCTGCTGCCCCTCCCGCTGCCGCTGCTCGGCCTCGCGCAGCCACTTCTCCAGCACCGGCTTCAGCTTCTGAGCGCTCTTGGGGGTGATGTCCAGCTTCTCGAACCTGGGGGGACACGAGGGGACATGAGGGGACAATCAGGGATGTCCAGCTTCTCGAACCTGCGGGGATAATCAGGGACAGGGACAATCAGGGACAATCAGGGACAATCAGGGGACAATCAGGGACAATCAGGGGTGATGTCCAGCTTCTCGAACCTGGGGGGACATGAGGGGACATGAGGGGACAATCAGGGGTGATGTCCAGCTTCTCGAACCTGCGGGGACATGAGGGGACAATCAGGGACAATCAGGGACAATCAGGGATGTCCAGCTCCTCGAACCTGCAGGGACAATCAAGGGACAATCAAGGGACAATCAGGGACACTCAGGGGGATGTTCAGCTTCTCGAACCTGAGGGGACAATCAGGGACAATCAGGGACAATCAGGGACAATCAGGGATGATGTCAGGGATGTCCAGCTTCTCGAACCTGGGGGGACATGAGGGGACAATTAGGGACAATCAGGGGACAATCAGGGGGGACAATCAGGGACAATCAGGGGTGATGTCCAGCTTCTCGAACCTGTGGGGACACGGGGGGACAATCAGGGACAATCAGGGACAATCAGGGGTGATGTCCAGCTTCTCGAACCTGCGGGGACAATCAGGGGGGACAATCAATCAGGGACAATCAGGGACACTCAGGGACAATCAGGGATGTCCAGCTCCTCGAACCTGCAGGGACAATCAGGGGACAATCAGGGGACAATCAGGGACAATCAGGGATGTGCAGCTTCTTGAACCTGGGGGGACAATCAGGGACAATCAGGGACAATCAGAGATGATGTCCTGCTTCTTGAACCTGCGGGGACAATCAAGGGACAATCAGGGACACTCAGGGGGATGTCCAGCTTCTCGAACCTGGGGGACATGAGGGGACAATCAGGGACAATCAGGGACATTCGGGGGGATGTCCAGCTTCTCGAACCTGGGGGGACAATCAGGGGACAATCAGGGACAATCAGGGGGGACAATCAGGGGGACAATCAGGGATGTCCAGCTTCTCGAACCTGCGGGGACAATCAGGGGACAATCAGGGACAATCAGGGTGATGTCCAGCTTCTCAAACCTGGAGGGGACAATCAGGGACAATCAGAGAGGATGTCCAGCTTCTCGAACCTGTGAGGACACGAGGGGACACTCAATCAGGGACAATCAGGGACAATCAGGGGGGATGTCCAGTGGACACCGAGGGGACTGGGGACAATCAGGGATGTCCACCTTCTCGAACCTGGGGGGACAATCAGGGGGGACACTCAGTCAGGGGTGATGTCCAGCTTCTCGAACCTGGGGGGACAATCAGGGACAATCAGGGACAATCAGGGGTGATGTCCAGCTTCTCGAACCTGGGGGGACAATCAGGGGACAATCAGGGACAATCAGAGACAATCAGGGACAATCAGGGACAATCAGGGACACTCAGGGGACACTCAATCAGGGGTGATGTCCCGCTTCTCCAACCTGCAGGGACAATCAGGGGACAATCAGGGACAATCAGGGTGATGTCCAGCTTCTCCAACCTGCAGGGACAATCAGGGGACACTCAGGGGGGACACTCAGGGACAATCAGGAATGTGCAGCTTCTCGAACCTGGGGGGACATGAGGGGGGGACAATCAGGGACAATCAGGGATAATCAGGGGTGATGTCCAGCTTCTCGAACCTGCGGGGACACGGGGGGATGCTCAGGGGGGATGTGCAGCTTCTCGAACCTGGGGGGCACACAAGGTCCCTGTACCTGTCCTAGGTGTGTCCCTGTACCTGTCCTAGGTGTGTGTTATCTGTCCCAGGTAAATACCTGCAGATGGCAGACTGGCTGTAGGTGGTCACCTGTGCCAGGTGTGTTACCTGCAGATGGCAGACTGGCTGTAGATGGTTACCTGTCCAGGTAAATACCTGCAGATGGCAGACTGGCTGTAGGCAGGTCCCTCGGTGGCCGTCAGTGCCTGCCCCACCTGTGTCTGGGTCAGGCCCAGCGAGAGGCGCCGCAGTTTGAAGTTCTTGGCGAATTCCCGGATTTCCTCCAGGTTGATCCCGTCCTCCTCCGCGCCGGGGGGCGGGGGGCTCTGGGGGACACGGGGGGGGTGGCACCGGGATCCCCCTGCCCAGGGACCCCAGAGCCCCCAGACCCCTGCCCAGGGACCCCAGAGTCCTGCCCAGTGCTCCCAGTCCCTGCTATCCCTCTCCCAGTCCTCCCAGTCCCTGTCCCAGTGCTCCCAGTCCCCATTATCTGTCCCAGTGCTCCCAGTCCCTGTTACCCCAGTCCCAGTGATCCCAGTGCTCCCAATGCCCCTCTCTCAGTAATCCCAGTCCCCACTCCCCCTCTCCCAGTGCTCCCAGTCCCCATTATCCCTCTCCCAGTGCTCCCAGTCCCCCCAGACCCCTGCCCAGTGCTCCCAGTCCCTGCTATCCCTGTCCCAGTGCTCCCAGTCCCTGCTATCCCTGTCCCAGTGCTCCCAGTCCCCCCAGACCCCTGCCCAGTGCTCCCAGTCCCTGTCCCAGAGCTCCCAGTCCCTGCTATCCCTCTCCCAGTCCCTGTCCCAGTGCTCCCAGTCCCCGTTATCCCTGTCCCAGTGCTCCCAGTCCCCATTATCCCTGTCCCAGTGCTCCCAGTCCCTGTCCCAGTGCTCCCAGTCCCCGTTATCCCTCTCCCAGTCCCCCCAGACCCCTGCCCAGAGCCCCCAGACCCCTGCCCAGAACTCCCAGTCCCCACAATCCCTGTCCCAGTGCTCCCAGTCCCTGTCCCAGTGCTCCCAGTCCCCCAGATCCCTGCCCAGTGACCCCAGAGCTCCCCAGACCCCTGCCCAGTGCTCCCAGTCCCCACAATCCCTGTCCCAGTGCTCCCAGTCCCTGTCCCAGTGCTCCCAGTCCCTGTAATCCCTGTCCCAGAGCCCCCAGACCCCTGCCCAGAGCTCCCAGTCCCTGCTATCCCTCTCCCAGTCCTCCCAGTCCCTGTCCCAGTGCTCCCAGTCCCCTCTATCCCTCTCCCAGTGCTCCCAGTCCCTGTAATCCCTCTCCCAGCCCCTCTCCCAGTCCCCCCAGACCCCTGCCCAGAGCTCCCAGTCCCCGTTATCCCTGTCCCAGTGCTCCCAGTCCCCCCAGACCCCTGCCCAGAGCTCCCAGTCCCTGCTATCCCTGTCCCAGTGCTCCCAGTGCCCCCAGACCCCTGCCCAGAGCTCCCAGTCCCCACAATCCCTGTCCCAGTGCTCCCAGTCCCTGTCCCAGTGCTCCCAGTCCCCACAATCCCTGTCCCAGTGCTCCCAGTCCCCATTATCCCTGTCCCAGTGCTCCCAGTCCCTGTCCCAGTGCTCCCAGTGCCCCTCTCCCAGAGCTCCCAGTCCCCGTTATCCCTGTCTCTGTCCCCACTGCCCCTGTCCCAGCGCTCCCAGTGCTCCCAGTGCTCCCACTCCCCCTGTCCCAGTGCTCCCAGCGCTCCCAGTGCTCCCAGTGCTCCCACTCCCCCTGTCCCAGTGCTCCCAGCGCTCCCAGTGCTCCCAGTGCTCCCACTCCCCCTGTCCCAGCTCTCCCAGTGCTCCCAGTACGGATGACTCACTGGTGACCAGCTGGTTGACCGTGGGGGTCTCGGGGCCGGGGCCGGGCGGGGGGTTCGGGGTCACCCCGGGGCTCAAACCCCCCCCGGGGGGCGCCGGCTGGATGGGCTGGACCTGGGGGGACACCAAACTGGGACCAAACTGGGGCCAAACTGGGGCCAAACTGGGACCAAACTGGGGCCAAACTGGGACCAAACTGGGAGCCAAACTGGGACCAAAACTGGGACTAAACTGGGGCCAAACTGGGACCAAACTGGGACCAAACTGGGGCCAAACTGGGACCAAACTGGGACCAAACTGGGAGGGACACCAAACTGGGACCCCAAACTGGGACCAAACTGGGGCCAAACTGGGACCAAACTGGGACCAAACTGGGGCCAAACTGGGACCAAACTGGGACCAAACTGGGAATCAAACTGGGAATCAAACTGGGAATCAAACTGGGAATCCAAACTGGGGCCAAACTGGGGCCAAACTGGGGACAAACTGGGGCCAAACTGGGACCAAACTGGGGCCAAACTGGGGCTAAACTGGGAATCAAACTGGGAGTCCAAACTGGGACTAAACTGGGAATAAACTGGGGTCAAACTGGGGCCAAACTGGGACCAAACTGGGACCAAACTGGGAGGGACACCAAACTGGGACCCAAACTGGGACCAAACTGGGGCCAAACTGGGACCAAACTGGGACCAAACTGGGGCCAAACTGGGGCCACACTGGGACCAAACTGGGACCAAACTGGGACCAAACTGGGACACGCCAAACTGGGACACCCCAAACTGGGGCCAAACTGGGGCCAAACTGGGGCCAAACTGGGGCCAAACTGGGGCCAAACTGGGAGGCCAAACTGGGGTCCAAACTGGGATTAAACTGGGGCCAAACTGGGGTCAAACTGGGAATAAACTGGGGTCAAACTGGGACTAAACTGGGGCCAAACTGGGGCCAAACTGGGACCAAACTGGGGCCAAACTGGGACCAAACTGGGGCCACACTGGGACCCCAAACTGGGACCAAACTGGGGCCAAACTGGGACCAAACTGGGACCAAACTGGGACCAAACTGGGACACGCCAAACTGGGACACCCCAAACTGGGGCCAAACTGGGGCCAAACTGGGACCAAACTGGGGCCAAACTGGGGCCAAACTGGGACACCCCAAACTGGGACCAAACTGGGACCAAACTGGGACCAAACTGGGACCCAAACTGGGACCACACTGGGACCAAACTGGGGCAAAACTGGGATAACCCCAAACTGGGATAACCCCAAACTGGGACCAAACTGGGACCCAAACTGGGACCAAACTGGGACCAAACTGGGGCCAAACTGGGACCAAACTGGGACCAAACTGGGGCCAAACTGGGACCCAAACTGGGACCCCCAAACTGGGACCCAAACTGGGACCCCAAACTGGGATAACCCCAAACTGGGATAACCCCAAACTGGGACCCCAAACTGGGGGGGACACCCCAAACTGGGACCCAAACTGGGACCAAACTGGGGCCAAACTGGGACCCAAACTGGGACCCCGAACTGGGACCCCAAACTGGGACCCCGAACTGGGACCCCAAACTGGGACAGCCCCAAACTGGGACCCCAAACTGGGACCCCAAACCGGGACCCCGAACTGGGACAGCCACGAACTGGGACCTCCAAACTGGGACCCCCCCAAACTGGGGGGACAACCCCCAACTGGGACCCCAAACTGGGACAGCCCCTCACTGGGGTTGGGGGTTCCAAACTGGGGACTCCCCAAAAATGGCCTCAGGGGGCTCAGGGGGTCTCGGGGCCTCGGGGGTCTAGGGGGGCTCAGGGGTCTCAGGGATACTCAGGTGGGGTCTCAGGGCTCACCTCGCTCTTGACGGGGGTCTCGGGGATCTCAGGGGCTCTCGGGGCCTCAGGGATCTCGGGGGTCTCAGGGGGCTCCAGGGGGTCTCAGGGGGTCTCTGGGTTACTCAGGGGGTACTCAGGGGGTCTCAGTGCTCACCTCGCTCTTGACGGGGGTCTCGGGGGGCCCGCTCTTCTTGGCGGGCGTGGCGGGGGGCAGGGCGGCCCCACCCGTGGCCAGCGTGGCGATCACCTGGCCCTGCGCGTTCAGCAGCAGCTGCGGCGTCACGGCTGTCACCGCCGTCACCTGTGCCACCCCCGGGGTCACCTGTGCCACCCCTGTCGTCACCTGTGCCACCCCTGGTGTCACCTGTGTCACCCCTGGTGCCACCCCTGGTGTCACCGCTGTCACCTGCAGGCTCGGCGGGGCCGGCGCGGGGGGGGCCACGACCCACGGCAGCGTCCCGATCACCTGTGGGGGGTGGGGGGGACACACGGACATGAGGGGGGGCGCAGGAAACCCCCACCCCCCTCCTCCTCAAAGCCCACCCCGCGGGTGACGCAACGCTGGGGGGGGGGGGTGGGGACAGGTGACAACCCCCCCACGACACCCCCACGCGGGACGTCCTGGATGGTGGGAGGGGGTGCTGAGACCACCCGGGGGGGCACGAGGGGTAGTGGGACCCCACAATGGGGCACGAGGGGCACTGGGACCCCCCCAGTGGGGCACAAGGGGCACTGGGACCACCCAGGGGGGGCACGAGGGGTACTGGGACCCCACAATGGGGTACGAGGGGTACTGGGACCCTCCCTAATGGGGCACTGGGACCCCCACAATGGGGCACGAGGGCACACCCCTGAGGGGGCACAAGGGACACTGGGACCCCCCCTAATGGAGCACTGGGACCCCCCAATGGGGCATGAGGGGCACTGGGACCCCCAGATGGGGCACAAGGGGCACTGGGACCTCCAGGATGGAACTCGGGGGGTACTGGGACCCCCTCAATGGGGCAATGAGGGGCACTGGGACCCCCCTAATGGGGCACTGGGACCCCACCTAATGGGGCACAAGGGGCACTGGGACCCCCACAATGGGGCATGAGGGGTATTAGGACCCCTCAGACGGGGCACGAGGGGCACTGGGACCTCCCTAATGGGGGGCACTGGGACCCCCCCAGAGGGGGCACGAGGGGTACTGGGACTCCCCCACTCAATGGGGCACAAGGGGCACTGGGACCCCCTAATGGGGCACGAGGGGTATTAGGACCCCTCAGATGGGGTACAAGGGGCACTGGGACCCTCCCAGAGGGGGCAACGAGGGGTACTGGGACCACCCCTAATGGGGCACTGGGACCCTCCAGTGGGGCATGAGGGGCACTGGGACCCCCCTAATGGGGCATGAGGGGCACTGGGACCCCCACAATGGGGCACGAGGGGCACTGGGACCCCTCAATGGGGCACTGGGACCCCCACAATGGGGTACAAGAGGCACTGGGACACCCCCAGAGGAGGTACGAGGGGTATTGGGACCCCCCTAATGGGGCACTGGGACCCCACAATGGGGTACAAAGGGTACTGGGACCCCCCCAGTGGGGCATGAGGGGCACTGGGACCCCCTGGAGGGGGCAACGAGGGGCACTGGGACCCTCCAGTGGGGCACAAAGGGTACTGGGACCCCCTCAGTGAGGCATGAGGGGTACTGGGACCCCTCAATGGGGGCAATGAGGGGCACTGGGACACCCTTAATGGGGCACTGGGACCCCCTCAGAGGGGGCAACGAGGGGCACTGGGAGCCCCTGGAGGGGGCAATGAGGGGCACTGAGACTCCCCTAATGGGACACTGGGACCCCCACAATGGGGCACAAGGGGCACTGGGACCCCCTGGAGGGGGCACAAGGGGCACTGGGACCCCCCCCAGTGGGACACAAGGGGTACTGGGACCCCCCAATGGGGCACAAGGGGTACTGGGACCCCCCAGAGGGGGCAATGAGGGGCACTGGGACCCCTCAATGGGGCACAAGGGGCACTGGGACCCCCCTAATGGGGCACTGGGACCCCCCAGTGGGGCACGAGGGGCACTGAGAGCCCCCCAGTGAGGCATGAGGGGTACTGGGTGCCCCCTAATGGGGCACAAGGGGCACTGGGACCCCCTGGAGGGGGCACTGGGACCCCCCAGAGGGGACACGAGGGGTACTGGGAGCCCCCAGTGGGGGCACGAGGGGCACTGGAACCTCCCTAATGGGGCACTGGGACCCCCCAGTGGGGCACGAGGGGCACTGGGACCCCCCAGAGGGGACACGAGGGGTATTGGGACCCTCCAGTGGGGCATGAGGGGCACTGGGACCCCACAATGGGGGCACGAGGGGCACTGGGACCCCTCAATGGGGCACAAAGGGTACTGGAACCCCCCAGTGGGGCACAAGGGGCACTGGGCAGGGATTGTGTCCAGGGAAACTGAGGCTGGAATCTTTTCCAGGGACACTGAGGCTGAAATCCTGCCTGGGGGAATTGAGGCTGGAATCTTGTGTGGGGAAACTGAGGCTGGAATATTGTCCAGGGACACTGAGCCTGGAATATTGTCCAAGGACACCAAGGCTGGAATGTTATCCAGGGACAATGAGCCTGGAATCTTTTCCTGGGACACTGAGGATGGAATCCTGCCTAGGAAAACTGAGTTTGGAATCTTATCCAGGGAAACTGAGGCTGAAATCCTGCTTGGGGGAATTGAGGCTGGAATCTTGTGTGGGGAAACTGAGGCTGGAATGTTATCCAGGGACAATGAGCCTGGAATCTTTTCCTGGGACACTGAGGCTGGAATCTTATCCAGGGAAACTGAGGCTGGAATCTTGTGTGGGGAAACTGAGGCTGGAATGTTATCCAGGGAAACTGAGGCTGGAATCTTTTCCTGGGACACTGAGCTTGGAATCTTGTCCAGGGAAAGTGAGGTTGGAACCTTGTCCAGGGACAATGAGCCTGGAATATTGTCCAGGGAAACTGAGGCTGGAATATTGTCCAGGGAAACTGAGGCTGGAATGTTTTCCTGGGACACTGAGCTTGGAATCTTGTCCAGGGACAATGAGGCTGGAACCTTGTGTGGGGAAACTGAGGCTGGAATGTTATCCAGGGAAACTGAGGCTGGAATCTTTTCCAGGGACACTGAGGCTGAAATCCTGACTGGGGGAATTGAGGCTGGAATCTTGTGTGGGGAAACTGAGGCTGGAATATTATCCAGGGAAACTGAGGCTGGAATCCTGCCTAGGAAAACTGAGGCTGGAACCTTTTCCAGGGAAACTGAGGCTGGAATATTATCCAGGGAAACTGAGGCTGGAATATTATCCAGGGAAACTGAGGCTGGAATCCTGCCTAGGAAAACTGAGGCTGGAACCTTTTCCAGGGAAACTGAGGCTGGAATGTTTTCCTGGGACACTGAGCTTGGAATCTTGTCCAGGGACAATGAGGCTGGAACCTTGTGTGGGGAAACTGAGGCTGGAATGTTATCCAGGGAAACTGAGGCTGGAATCTTTTCCTGGGACACTGAGGCTGAAATCCTGCCTGGGGGAATTGAGGCTGGAATCTTGTGTGGGGAAACTGAGGCTGGAATATTATCCAGGGAAACTGAGGCTGGAATGTTATCCAGGGGACAATGAGCCTGGAATATTGTCCAAGGACAATGAGGCTGGAATGTTATCCAGGGAAACTGAGGCTGGAATCCTGCCTAGGAAAACTGAGCTTGGAATCTTATCCAGGGACACTGAAACCTTATCCAGGGAAACTGAGGCTGGAATCTTTTCCAGGGACACCAAGGCTGGAATGTTATCCCGGGACAATGAGCTTGGAATCTTGTCCAGGGAAACTGAGGCTGGAATGTTATCCAGGGACACCAAGGCTGGAATCCCGCCCGCTGTTGGGTGGGGGAGGGGGGACACAAGCAGGACGAGGCCCAGGGAAGGTGACTCCGGGACGTGTCCCCTCCGTTCCCACGACCCCCCCGCGCCCCTCCCCCTCCCCAAACCCCCCCAATCCCCTCCCCCATCCTTACAATGCCAGGATTAAAAGCCAGCCCCGCCAGCTGGGGCTGCACGGCCAGGGGGCTGCACGGCCAGGGGGGCTGCACGGCCAGGGGGCTGCCCGGGGCTCTGCCCACCCACGGGGGGCTCCTTGGGGGGCGTGGGCGCCGCCGGGGGCTGCGGCAGCAGCGGGGGCTGCCCGGGGAGGGGCTGGGGGGGTGCCCGGGACGCCGGGATGGTCGGGATGGCCGGGATGGGGCTCAGCACGGCGGCGGCGGCGGCGGCGGCTGCGGAGACAGAGAGGGACACGACGTCACCAAGGGAGGGGTTGTTTTTTGGGGGGGGACACGCCCCTGAACCGCCCACCCCTCAGCCCGCTCGGAGCGCCCGCTCCGCGACTGAACGCGGGGGGGAACCCAAATCTACACCTGGAGCCCCGAATCTACACCAGGTACCACACCTAGAACCCCAAATCTACACCTGGAACCCCGAATCTACATCAGGGGGTCACAGCTGGAGCCCCAAATCTACACCTGGAGTCCTGAATTCACACCCGGAGCCCCGAATTCACACCTGGAACCCCCAATCTACACCAGGTACCACACCTAGAACCCCAAATCTACACCTGGAACCTCAAATCTACACCTGGAACCCCGAATCTACATCAGGGGTTCACACCTGGAGCCCCAAATCTACACCTGGAGCCCCGAATTCACACCTGGAACCCCGAATCTGTGCTGGGGGTCACAGCTGGAGCCCCAAATCTACACCTGGAATCCCAAATCTGTGCTGGGGGTCACAGCTGGAGCCCCAAATCTACACCTGGAGCCCCAAATCTACACCAGGTACCACACCTGGAACCCCAAATCTACACCTGGAACCCCAAATCTACATCTGGAACCCCGAAACTACATCAGGGGGTCACAGCTGGAGCCCCAAATCTACACCTGGAACCCCAAACCTACACCTGGAGCCCCGAATTCACACCTGGAGCCCCGAATCTATACTGGGGGTCCCAGCTGGAGCCTCAAATCTACACCTGGAGCCCCAAATCTACACCTGGAACCCCAAATCTACACCTGGAACCCAGAATCTGTGCTGGGGGTCACAGCTGGAGCCCCAAATCTACACCTGGAACCCCAAATCTACACCCTTTGTACTCCAACTCCCCAAATTCAGGACCTCTCTGCATTGAGGTGCCACTCCTGGAGCCCCAAATCTACATCATGTGCCACATCTGGAGCCCTAAATTTACATCATGTGCCACATCTGGAGCCCTAAATCTACAGCAGGTCCTGCACTTGGAACCCCAAACCTGGAGCCCCAAATCTCCAGCCCCAGATCTCCACAAGGTCCTGCACTTGGAACCCCAAATCTCCAGATCCTCCACCTGGATCCCCAAATCTCTGGCAGATCCTCCACCTGGAGCCCCAAACTTTGAGCCCCAGGGGCCACCCCTGGAGCTCCAAATCTTGAGCTCAAAATCTCCAGCAGGTCCTGCATTTAGAGCCCCAAATCTCTGGCAGGTCCTCCACCTGGAGCCCCAAATCTCTGGCAGATCCTCCACCTGGAGCCCCAAATCTTGAGCCCCAAATCTCTGGCAGGTCCTGCACTTGGAACCCCAAATCTACCCCTTCTGCCACCCCTGGAGCCCCCAGACCTCAAGCTCCCAAATCTCTGGCAGATCCTCCACCTGGAGCTCCAAATCTATCCCTTCTGCCACACCTGGAGTCCCCAAACCTCAAGCCCCAGGGGCCACCCCTGGAGCCCCAAATCTACCCCTTCTGCCACACCTGTAGCCTCAAATCTCGAGCCCCCAAATCTCTGGCAGATCCTCCACCTGGAGCCCCAAATCTATCCCTTCTGCCACACCTGGAGCCCCAAACCTCGAGCTCCCCAAATCTACACCACTCACTCCACCTGGAGCCCTGAATCTCTGGCAGGTCCTGCACTTGGAACCCCAAAATTCCAGCAGATTCTGCACCTGGAGCCCCAAACCTGGAGCCCCAAATCTCCGGCAGATCCTCCACCTGGAGCCTCAAATCTCGAGCCCCAAATCTCCAGATCCTCCACCTGGAGCCTCAAATCTCGAGCCCCCAAATCTCTGGCAGATCCTGCACTTGTAGCCCCAAATCTACCCCTTCTACCACCCCTGGAGCCCCAAATCTCCCCCTTGTGCCACCCCCGAACCCCCAGACCTCGATGCCCGGGTGCCGTGCCGGTGGTCGCAGCGGCAGCCCCGCGGCGTTACCTGCCAGGTTGCCGACGGGCGGTTTGTAAATCGCCGCCGGCGCCGCCGCCGTCAGTGCCGGGATGGCTGTGGGGATTGTCACCACCAGCGCGGGCTGGGCTGGCACCGGCCCCGCCACCTGACCTGCAACACTGATGGGGATAAGAAGAGGTTGAGTAACTGTCCCTGCCGGGACCATTACTCCTGTCACACCCGTGGCTAAGCTTTCCTGAGCCAACACCTGCGGAGATAAATGAGAGTTGAAAAGAGAAAACAAGAGGGAATCAACGCCCGGGCAGAAAGGCACGAGGGGTGCAGCCCCCCCTCCTCCCATCCCACCCCCAAAACCCCAAACTCCCGTCTTCCACTCCCAAGCCCCCAAAAATTAGGGGTTTGCCCTTTCTCCACCCCTCACCCCCCCAACCCTGGGGATGGGGGAACCTCGCTGTGAATTGGGGAGGGATAAAGGGGTCCCTCTGAGCTGGTGGGGGTTCACCCTCATCTGGAGACCCCTCTGTGTGGGAGATGGGGGGACACAAAGGGGGCTCCCCTGAGCTGGGGGGAATAAAAGGGGGGTCACACTTATATGGAGACCCCCTCTCTATGGGGGACACAAAGGGGGACCCCCTGAGCTGGGGGGGGATAAAGACCCCTTCTCTGTGGGGAGATGGGGGGGACACAAAGGGGGTCCCCCTGCCTTGTTGTGGGGGGTTCACCCTCATCTGGAGACCCCCTCTCTATGGGGAGATGGGGGGGACACAAAGGGGGACCCCTGATTTGGGGGGATAAAGTCCCCTTCTCTGTGGGGGACACAAAGGGGGTCCCCCTGACTTGGTGGGGGGGGTTCACCCTCATCTGGAGACCCCCTTTCTGTGGGGAGATGGGGGGGACACAAAGGGGGTCTCCTTGAGCTGGTGTGGGGGGTTCACCCTCATCTGGGACCCCCTTTCTATGGGGAGATGGGGGGGACACAAAGGGGGTCCCCCTGATTTGGGGAGGGGGGATAAAGACCCCTTCTCTATGGGGAGATGGGGGGGACACAAAGGGGATCTCCTTGAACTGGAGGGGGGGATAAAAGGGGGTCACACTTATCTGGGACCCCCTCTCTGTGGGGAGATGGGGGGGACACAAAGGGGGTCCCCCTGCCTTGCTGTGGGGGGTTCACCCTCATCTGGGACCCCCTCTCTGTGGGGAGATGGGGGGGGACAAGCAGGGATCCCCCCCTGAGCCGGTGAACCCCTTTTTGGGGGAAATAAATGGGAGCCCCCCCCCCTGACCCGGTGAACCCCTCTCTGTGGGGAGATGGGGGGGGATCCCCCCTTTACCTGCTGACCCCCCCACCCTCCCGGGGGTCCCCCCTGCGCCCCGGGGGGGGTGTTACCTGTGGGGTGGCCGGCAGGGCCAGGTGGGTGACGGGGGCTGGCCCGGGGGCGGCTCGAGGACAGCGGGGGGCGACGCCGCTTGGCCTTACCTGGGGAGGGAGGGGACACACAGGGGGGGGTGAGAGGGGTGGGGGGCACCCAAATTCTGCCCCCCACCCCCTCCCAGGGGTGCCCCACGTGGTGGGAGCTGTGGGGTGAGTGGGAACGGCCGGGAGGGATCCCAACCCCACCCCCACCCCCCCGATCCCGGGAATGGGGAGGGGACATGGGAAGGGTTGGGGGGGGAAGTGGGGGAGGAACTGGGATGGGACTGGGATGGGACTGGGATGGAACTGGGATGGAAGTGCAGGAGGAACTGGGATGGAACTGGGATGGAACTGTGGAAGGAACTGGGATGGAAGTGCAAGAGGAACTGGGATGGAATTGGGATGGAACTGGAGGAGGAACTGGGATGGAACTGCAGGAGGAATTGGGATGGAAGTGCGGGAGGAACTGGGATGGAACTGGGATGGGACTGGGATGAGACTGTGGAAGTAACTGGGATGGAACTGGGATGGGACTGGGATGGAACTGGGATGGAAGTGCAGGAGGAACTGGGATGAAATTGCAGGAGGAACTGGGATGGGACTGGGATGGAACTGGGATGGGACTGGGATGGAACTGGGATGGAAGTGCAGGAGGAACTGGAGGAGGAACTGGGATGGAAGTGCAGGAGGAACTGGGATGGAACTGTGGAAGGAACTGGGATGGAACTGGAGGAGGAACTGGGATGGGACTGGGATGGAACTGGAGGAGGAACTGGGATGGAAGTGCGGGAGGAACTGGGATGGAAATGCAGGAGGAACTGGGATGGAACTGGGATGGAACTGGGATGGAACTGGGATGGAAGTGCAGGAGGAACTGGAGGAGGAACTGGGATGGAACTGGGATGGAATTGGGATGGAAGTGCAGGAGGAACTGGGATGGAACTGGGATGGGACTGGGATGGGACTGGGATGGGACTGTGGAAGTAACTGGGATGGAACTGGAATGGAACTGGGATGGAACTGGGATGGAACTGGGATGGAACTGGAGGAGGAACTGGGATGGAACTGGAGGAGGAACTGGGATGGAAGTGAGGGAGGAACTGGGATGGAACTGGGATGGAACTGTAGAAGGAACTGGGATGGAACTGGGATGGAACTGTGGAAGGAACTGGGATGGAAATGCAGGAGGAACTGGGATGGAACTGGGATGGAACTGGGATGGAACTGGGATGGAACTGGGATGGAAGTGCAGGAGGAACTGGAAGAGGAACTGGGATGGAACCGGGATGGAACTGTGGAAGGAACTGGGATGGAAATGCAGGAGGAACTGGGATGGAACTGGGATGGAACTGGGATGGAAGTGCAGGAGGAACTGGAGGAGGAACTGGGATGGAACTGGGATGGAACTGGGATGGAACTGTGGGAGGAACTGGGATGGAACTGGGATGGAACTGGGATGGAACTGGGATGGAACTGGAGGAGGAACTGGGATGGAACTGGGATGGAAGTGCAGGAGGAACTGGGATGGATCTGGGATGGAACTGGGACTGACCTGGGAAGGCCAATCCAGGGCCATCCCCAGGGAATGACCCCAGGAATGGGGGGGGGTCTCTCACCTGCCACCTCCCCTCCTGATGAATTTGGGGTGCTGGGGGGCCCCTCCTCCACCCCTGGGGGGCCCCCCTGTCCCGGGGACCCCCCTGCCCCCTCCCCGGAGCTTTTGGGGTCCCCCTCGGGTGGGAGGGGGGTGTCAACCCCCACCTCCAGCACCCGGATGGTCTCATGGCTGGACATGACGATCACCTGTGGAGAGAGCCCAAAATCAGCCCCAGGAACCCCAAAATCAGCCCCAGGAACCCCCAAAATCAGCTCAATGAGACCCCAAAATTAGCCCCAAGAGACCCCAAAATCAACCCCAGGAGACCCCAAAATCAGCTCCAGGAAACCCCAAAATCAGCCCCAGGAACCCCCAAAATCAGCTCAATGAGACCCCAAAATTAGCCCCAAGAGACCCCAAAATCAGCCCCAAGAGACCCCAAAATCAGCAACACGAGACCCCAAAATCAGCTCAATGAGACCCCAAAATCAGCTCCAGGAGACCCCAAAATCAGCTCAATGAGACCCCAAAATCAGCTCAATGAGACCCCAAAATCAGCTCAATGAGACCCCAAAATCAGCCCCAGGAGACCCCAAAATCAGCCCCAGGAGACCCCAAAATCAGCCCCAGGAGACCCCAAAATCAGCCCCAGGAGACCCCAAAATCAACTCCAGGGGGGTAAAACAGGGCCAGGACCCCCAAAATTAGTGCCTGTACCCCCAAAAATCAGTGCCTGTACCCCAAAATCAATGCCTGTAACCCCAAAATCAGTGCCTGTACCCCAAAACAGGGCTGGTACCCCCAAAATCAATGCCTGTAACCCCAAAATCAGTGCCTGTACCCCCAAAATCAATGCCTGTACCCCAAAATCAGTGCCTGTACCCCCAAAAACGTGCCTGGTTCCCCCAAAACAGGGCTGGTACCCCAAAAACAGTGCCTGTACCCCCAAAATCAATGCCTGTACCCCCAAAATCAATGCCTGTACCCCAAAATCAGTGCCTGTACCCCAAAATCAATGCCTGTACCCCCAAAATCAGTGCCTGTACCCCCAAAATCAGTGCCTGTACCCCCAAAATCAGTGCCTGTACCCCAAAATCAGTGCCTGTACCCCCAAAATCAGTGCCTGTACCCCCAAAACCAGTGCCTGTACCCCCAAAATCAATGCCTGTACCCCCAAAACAGGGCCTGTACCCCAAAATCAATGCCTGTACCCCCCAAAATCAATGCCTGTACCCCCAAAACAGTGCCTGTACCCCCAAAACAGTGCCTGTAACCCCAAAAATCAGTGCCTGTACCCCCAAAATCAATGCCTGTACCCCCAAAATCAGTGCCTGTACCCCCAAAAACAGGGCTGGTACCCCCAAACTCAGTGCCTGTACCCCCAAAACCAGGACCTGCACCCCAAAAACAGGGCTGGTACCCCCAAAAAAGGACCTATACCCCCAAAATCAGTGCCTGTACCCCCAAAATCAGTGCCTGTACCCCCAAACCAACCCCCCCCCAAAAAAGGCTGCCACCCCCCAAAATTTCCTGTGGCAGTTCCAGCCCCTTCCAAGGGTCCCCTCCCCCACTCCCAGCAGTTTTTTTTGGGGGGCAGGAGGGGGGACCCCCCCTTTACCTGCTCATTGACCGTCAGCAGGGCCTCCTGGGGGGGCTCCATCCTGGGCTGGCACGGGGGGGGCACGGGTCACGCCTGCCACATCCTGCCAGGGGACAGGGACAGGCTGTGACACCCTGGGGACAGCTCAGAGACACCCCAGGGACACCCCAGGGACACCAAAGGGTACCCCAGGGACAGAGGGGACACCCCAGGGACACCTCAGAGACACCCCAGGGACACCCCAGGGACAACACAGGGACACCCCAGGGACAGAGGGGACATTCCCAGGGACACCCCAGGGACATGGGGGGGGCACGGGTCACCCCTGCCACATCCTGCCAGGGGACAGGGACACGATGTGACACCCTGGGGACATCACAGGGACACCCCAAGGACACCACAGGGACATCCCAGGACACCCCAGGGACACAGGGGGGACACCCCAGGGACACCCCAGGGACATGGGGGGGGCACGGGTCACTCCTGCCACATCCTGCCAGGGGACAAGGACACGATGTGACACCCTGGGGACATCACAGGGACACCAAAGGGTACCCCAGGGTACCCCAGGGACACCCCAGGGACACCCCAGGGACATCCCAGGGACACCCCAGGGACAGAGGGGACACCCCAGGGACACCCCAGGGACACGGGGGGGGCACAGGTCACGCCTGTCACATCCTGCCAGGGGACAAGGACACGATGTGACACCCTGGGGACAGCACAGGGACACCCCAGGGACACCCCAGGGTACCCCAGGGACACCCCAGGGACAGAGGGGACACCCCAGGGACACCCCAGGGACAGAAGGGACACCCCAGGGACACCCCAGGGACACCCCAGGGAGAGAGGGGACACCTCAGAGCACCTCAGGGACACCCCAGGGACACTGTGGGGACATCCCAGGGACAGAGGGGACACCCCAGGGACAGAGGGGACATCCCAGGACACCCCAGGGACATGGGGGGGCACAGGTCACTCCTGCCACATCCTGCCAGGGGACAAGGACAGGCTGTGACACCACAGGGACAACACAGGGACACCCCAGGGACACCCCAGGGACAGAGGGGACATCCCAGGGACAGAGGGGACACCCCAGGACACCCCAGGGACATGGGGGGGGCACGGGTCACTCCTGCCACATCCTGCCAGGGGACAGGGACACGATGTCACACCCCAGGGACACCCCAGGGACAGAGGGGACACCCCAGGGACATCTCAGGGACAGAGGGGACACCCCAGGGACATGGGGGGGGCACAGGTCACGCCTGCCACATCCTGCCAAGGGACAAGGACAGGCTGTGACACCCTGGGGACAACACAGGGACACCACAGGGACAGAGGGGACACCCCAGGGACACAGAGGGGACACCCCAGGGACAGAAGGGACATCCCAGGGACACAGAGGGGACATTCCAGAGCACCCTGAGGACACTGTGGGGACACCCCAGGGACAGAGGGGACACCCCAGGGACAGAGGGGACACCCCAGGGACACCCCAGGGACACGGGGGGGGCACAGGGGGGGCACGGGTCACTCCTGCCACATCCTGCCAGGGGACAAGGACACGATGTCACACCCTGGGGACAGCTCAGGGACACCCCAGGGACAGAGGGGACACCCTGGGGACAGGACAACAAAGGGACACCCCAGGGACACCCCAGGGACAGAGGGGACACCCTGGGGACACAGAGGGGACACCCCAGGGACACGGGGGGGGCACAGGTCACTCCTGCCACATCCTGCCAGGGGACAGGGACAGGCTGTGACACCCTGGGGACATCACAGGGACACCCCAGGGACACCCCAGGGACACCCCAGGACACCCTGGGGACAGAGGGGACACCACAGGGACACCCCAGGGACACCCCAGGGACAGAGGGGACACCACAGGGACACCCCAGGGACACCCCAGGGACATGGGGGGGGGCACAGGTCACTCCTGCCACATCCTGCCAGGGGACAAGGACACGATGTCACACCCTGGGGACATCACAGGGATAGAGGGGACACCCCAGGGACACCTCAGGGACACCCCAGGGACAGAAGGGACATCCCAGGGACACCCCAGGGACACCCCAGGGACACCCCAGGGACAGAGGGGACACCCTGGGGACACCCCAGGGACACCCCAGGGACACCCCAGGGACACGGGGGGGGCACAGGTCACTCCTGCCACATCCTGCCAGGGGACAGGGACAGGATGTGACACCCCAGGGACACCCCAGGGATGGAGGGGGGGGCACGGGTCACGCCTGCCACATCCTGCCAGGGGACAAGGACACGATGTGACACCCTGGGGACATCACAGGGACACCCCAGGGACACCAAAGGGTACCCCAGGGACAGAGGGGACACCCCAGGAATTTTGTGGGGACACCCCAGGGACACCCCTGTCACACGGGGGAGGGAGTCATTAGGGCAGGGTTTGGGACCCCAAACTGGGACCCCAAATGGGAACTGGGACCCCAAACTGAGACTGGGACCCCAAACTGGGACCCCAAACTGGGACTGGGACCCCAAACTGGGACTGGGACCCCAAACTGGGACCCCAAATGGGAACTGGGACCCCAAACTGAGACTGGGACCCCAAACTGGGACTGGGACCCCAAACCGGGACTGGGACCCCAAACCAGGACTGGGACCCCAAACTGGGACCCCAAACCAGAACTGGGACCCCAAACTGAGACTGGGACCCCAAATGGGAACTGGGACCCCAAACTGGGACTGGGACCCCAAACCAGAACTGGGACCCCAAATCGAGACTGGGACCCCAAACTGGGACTGGGACCCCAAATGGGAACTGGGACCCCAAACTGGGACCCCAAACTGGGACTGGGACCCCAAATGGGAACTGGGACCCCAAACTGGGACTGGGACCCCAAATGGGAACTGGGACCCCAAACTGAGACTGGGACCCCAAACTGGGACTGGGACTCCAAACCAGGACTGGGACCCCAAACCGGGACTGGTACCCCAAACTGGGACCCCAAACTGAGACTGGACGAACTGGGACTGGACCCAAACCAGGACTGGGACCCCAAACTGGGACTGGGACCCCAAACCAGGACTGGGACCCCAAACCGGGACTGGTACCCCAAATGGGAACTGGGACCCCAAACTGGGACCCCAAACTGAGACTGGGACCTCAAACTGGGACCCCAAACTGAGACTGGGACCCCAAACTGGGACCCCAAACTGGGACTGGGACCCCAAATGGGAACTGGGACCCCAAACTGAATGGGGACTGGGACCCCAAACTGGGACCCCAAACTGGGACTGGGACCTCAAACTGGGACTGGGACCCCAAACAGGAACTGGGACCCCAAACTGGGATTGGGACCCCAAACTGGGACTGGGACCCCAAACTGGGCAGGGAAAGGGGGAAAAGGAAGGGAATCCCGTGGGATTTGGGGGTGCCAGGGACTCACCCCCTGTTTGCTCCTGCAGGACTCGGGGCTGGACGTGGCTCTGGGTGGAAATCCCTGGATTTTGGGGCTTCCCAAGTTTTTGGGGTTCTGGATTTCTGGGATTCCAGGCTCTGGCTCTCTGGATTTTGGGGTTCCCAGATTTTTGGGATACCCAGGTTTCAGAGTTCCCAAATTTCAGGATTTTAGGGATTCTGAGCCTCAGCTCTCTGGATTTTGGGATTCCCAGGTTTTTGGGGCTCCAACTCTCCAGGTTTTTGGGGATTCTGGCTTTATGGGATTCCAGGCTCTGGTTCTTGGGGTTTCAGAGTTCCAGGTTTCAGGGCTCCATCTCTAGGGAATTCTGGGCTCCAGCTCTCCAGGTTTTGGGGTTCTGGCCCCTTCTCTTCGGGTTTTGGGGCTCCCAGGTCTTGGTATTTGGGTTTTATGGGATCCCAGGCTCTGGATCTCTTGGTTTTGGGGTTCTGGGCCCCAACTTTCCAGGTTTCAGGGCTCCAGTTCTCCAGATTTTGGGGTTCTGGTCCCTTCTCTCTGGGTTTTGGGGTTTCCAGGTCTTGGTATTCCGATTTTATGGGATTTCAAGCTCTGTCTCTCCACCTTTTGGGGTTTCGGGCTCTGTCTCTCCAGGTTTTGGGGTTCCCAGGTCTCGGTGTCCCAGTTTTATGGGATTCCAGGCTCTGTCTCTCCAGGTTTTGGGGTTCCCAGGTTTCAGTGTTCTGGTTTTATGGGATTTCAAGCTCTGTCTCTCCAGATTTTGGGGTTCCCACGTCTGGTTTTGGGGTTCCCAGGTCTTGGTGTCCCAGTTTTATGGGATTTCAAGCTCTGTCTCTCCAGATTTTGGGGTTCCTGGGCTCTGTCTCTTCAGGTTTTGGGGTTCCCAGGTCTTGGTATTCCGGTTTTATGGGATTCCAAGCTCTGTCTCTCCAGGTTTTGGGGTTCCTGGTCACGTCTCTCCAGGTTTTGGGGTTCCCAGGTTTCAATGTCCCAGTTTTATGGGATTTCGAGCTCTGTCTCTCCACCTTTTGGGGTTTCTGGGCTCTGTCTCTCCAGATTTTGGGGTTTCCAGGTCTTGGTATTCTGGTTTTATGGGATTTCAGGCTCTGTCTCTCCGGGTTTTGGGGTTCCCAGGTCTGGTTTTGAGGTTCCCAGGTCTTGATATTCCGGTTTTATGGGATTTCAAGCTCTGTCTCTCCAAGTTTTGGGGTTCCCAGGTCTCGGTGTCCCAGTTTTATGGGATCCCAGGTTCTGTCTCTCCAGATTTTGGGGTTCCCAGGTCTTGATATTCTGGTTTTATGGGATTTCAGGCTCTGTCTCTCCAAGTTTTGAGGTTCCCAGGTCTGGTTTTGGGGTTCCCAGGTTTCAATGTCCCAGTTTTATGGGATTTCAAGCTCTGTCTCTCCACCTTTTGGGGTTTCTGGTCTCTGTCTCTCCACCTTTTGGGGTTTCTGGGTTCTGTCTCTCCAGGTTTTGGGGTTTCTGAGTTCCAGCTCTCCCAAATTCTCTCCTGTTTTTAGGATTTCTGAGTTTTTGGGGCTGCGGCTCCTCCGAGTTTTGGGGGGTTTGACCTTTGACCTGGAGGGAAGGAAACAAATCCAAGCTCCAACCTCAGCCCTGCACCCCAAAACCCACGAGGAGAGGGGGGAAAAGCCTGGGATTTGTGGGATTCCCTTTGGAATTTGTGGGGAAAAAAAGGAAAAAAAAAAAGGAAAAGAAAAGGAAAAAAAAGGGAAAAAAAGGAAAAAAGGGAAAAGAAAAGGGGAAAAAAAGGAAAAAAAGGAAAAAGGAAAAAAAGAGGGAAAAAAAGAGAAGAAAGGAAAAAGAGAAAAAGAAAAAGGAAAAAAAAAGGGGAAAAAAAGAAGAAAAAGGGAAAAAGAGGAAAAAAAGGAAAAGGGAAAAAAAGGGAAAAAAAGGAAAAAGGGAAAAAAGAAAAAGAAAAAATGGGGGAAAAAAGGGGAAAAAAAGGGGGGGAAAAAGGAAAAAAAAAGGGGAAAAAAAAGGGGAAAATTTTATAATTTTGAAGGTTTTTTTTGGTGTTTGTTCCAGGGAATTATAATATATAAGGAATTTGAGGGGGAAATTGGGGTTGGGGTGAAATTGGGAGGAGAAATTGGGATTGGGGGGTAAAATTTGGGATTTAGGGGGAGAGAAATTGGGGTTTAGGGAGAAATTGGAGTTTGGGGATGAAATTGGGGTTTGGGGGTAGAAATTGAGTTTGAAGGGGAGAGAATTGGAGTTTGGGGGAGAAATTGGAGGTTGGAGGGGTGAAAATTCGGGTTGGGGGAGAAATTTGGGGTCAAAATTGTAGGTTTGGAGGGAGAAATTGGGGTTTGGGGGTGAAAATTCAGGGTTGGGGGAGAAATTGGGGTTGAAATTGGGGTTGGGGGAAATTTGGGATTTAGGGGAGAGATATTGGGGTTTGGGGGAGAAATTTGGGGTTTAAAGGAGAAATTGGAGTTTGGGTGTGAAATTGGGGTTTTGGGGGTGAAAATTCGGGTTGAGGGAGAAATTGGGGGTCGAATTGAGGTTTCGGGGAGAAGTTGTGGATTGGGGAGAAGTGGGATTGGGGGTGGAATTGGGGATTGGGGGTGAAATTTGAGGTCGAGGGGTGAAATTTGGGGTTTGGGGGGGAGAAATTTGGGGTTTGGGGGTGAAATTGGGGTTTGGGGAGAAATTTGGGTCGAAATTGGGGTTTTGGGGGGGTGAAATTGGGGGTTGGGGGGAGAAATTTGGTTTTGGGGAAGACAAATTGGGGTTTGGGGGAGAGAAATTGGGGGTTTGGGGGTGAAATTTGGGGTTTGGGGGAGAAATTGGGGCTTGGGAGGTGAAATTGGGGGTTGGGGGAGAAATTGGGGGTCAAAATTGGAGGTTTGGGGGAGAGATTGGGGATTGGGGGAGAAATTGGGGATATGGGGGTGAAATTTGGGAGCTTGGGGGTGAAATTTGGGGTTGGGGGAGAGAAATTGGGGTTTGGGGGAGAGAAATTGGGGTTTGGGGGTGAAATTGGGGTTTAGGGGGTGAATTTGGGGTTGGGGGAAGAAATGGGGGTTTGGGGGTAGAAATTTGGGGTTTGGGGGGAGAAATTGGGGATTAGGGGTCGAAATTGGAGGTTTGGGGGTGAGAATTGGGGTTTGGGAGGAAATTTGGCTTTGGGGAAGACAAATTGGGGTTTAGGGGAAAAATTGGGGTTGGGGGTGAAATCAGGGTTTGGGGGTCCATGTGATGACACAGCCCCCTTAACAAAAAGTGGGGACCTCCCCACCCCAAAACACCAACCCGGGGAGCTGCCCTGGGGCAACAACACCCCAAAACCCCCAAACCCTCCCAGCACCCCCCTACACCCCAAAATGCCCTTGAGACCCCCTAAAAATCCTGGGGTTCCCCCAAAACCCCTCTCGGACCCCCAAATTCCTCCTGCGCCCCTCCCAACAACCCCCCTTCCCTACCCCATTCTCCTTTTCCCTCCTTTTTTGGACCCCCCTTTTTGGACCCCCCTTTTTTGGACCCCCTTATTTTTGGACCCCCCTTTTTCTGGACCCCTCCCCAAATCCCAGACCACCCCAACCCCCCTCATTCCCACGCGTGTCCCCCTAACCCAACCCCCTTTCCCCCCAAAAAAACTCCCCACGCCCCCAAAAACACCCTCCCCTTTTTTCCCCCTTTTTTTCCCCCTTTCCCTCTTCAACCCCCAAAAATCTCTCCCCGCGCCGTTTTTGCACCGCTCTTTATCATAAATATATAAATTATGCTAATGACGCCATTGCATATTCACCGCGCCGGGCCCTGCACTCACCCGCCCGGCAGGAGGAGGAGGAGGAGGATGAATTTTGGGGTCCTCCCCTAATTTGGGGGTCGAACCCTGGAGGTCTCCCCGGCGCTGTCGCCGCTGCCGCGATCGCTCCCACTCGCGACGGCGGCACAAAAGGGGAGGGGTGGAGGGGGAGGAGGTCCCAGGACCCTCGTGGTGGGTGGGGGAGAGGAAAGGGGAGTTTTTTTGGGGGAGGTAAAAAAAAGGGGTGCGGTGGAAGGAGGGGGTGAAATGAGGGGTGGGTTATGGGGTGGAGGGTCCCCTGCGGGGCTTTCGGGGCCCCGGCGGGGTTTGGGGCTGCTGCGTCATGAACATAATTTATGCGCAGGCCGCCGCCGCACGGAGGGGAGGGAGGGAGGGGAGGGGAGGGGGAGGGAGGGAGGGAGGGACAGGGAGGGGACAGGGAGAGGGAGAGGCCGCTGGGGGCGCTGCGGAGAACACGCACACACAGCCCCCCCCCACGCAGAGACAGGGAGAGACCCCCACTCACACTCACAGCCGGGACAGGGACCACCCCACCCACAGGACCCCCGGGACAGGGACCATCCCCACGCGAGACAGGGAGAGACCCCTCAGTCACAGCCAGGACAAGGACCACCCCACTCAGGGACCCCCTCGGGACAGGACCACCCCCACGCGAGAGAGGGAGAGACCCCCACTCACACTCACAGGACCAGGACCACCCAGGGAACACCCACTCGGGATCAGAAACACCCCCACGACAGGGAGAGACCCCCCACTCACGGGACAGGGACCACCCCACCCCGGGATCAGAGACACCCCCACGCACGACAGGGAGAGACCCCCACTCACCACCCGGGACAGGGACCACCCCCCTCAGGACACCCCAGGGCCAGAGACCCCCAACCCCCAAAATCCACCCCCGAAGTGCCAGGACCCCCCAAAACCTCAGCACACCCCAATGCCAACCCCCCAAATCCCAGACCCCCCAAAGCTCCAGAGCCCAAATCCCAGAGCCCCCAAAACTGAGACCCCCAAACCAGCCCCCAATCTCAGACCCCTAAACCTGGGACCCCCAATCTCAGACCCCCAATCTCGGACCCCCAAACCTGGGACCCCCAATCTCAGACCCCCAAAACCAACCCCCAAATTTTAGACCCCCCAAACCAACCCCCAATCTCAGACCCCCAAAACCAACCCCCAATCTCAGACCCCCAAACCAGACCCCCAATTTCAGACCCCCCAAACCTGGGACCCCCAATCTCAGACCCCCAAAATCAACCCCCAATCTCAGACCCCCCAAAACCAGCCCCCAATTTTAGACCCCCAAACCGACCCCCAATCTCAGACCCCCAATCTCAGACCCCCAATCTCAGACCCCTCCCAAACCTGGGACCCCCAATCTCAGACCCCCCAATCTTGGACCCCCAAACCAACTCCCCAATCTCAGACCCCCCCAAACCAAGCCCCCAATTTTAGACCCCCCAAAACCAGCCCCCAGTCTCAGACCCCCAAACCGACCCCCCAATTTTAGACCCCTCCCAAACCAGCCCCCAGCTCAGATCCCCAATCTCGGACCCCCAAAACCGAGACCCCCAATCTCAAACCCCTAAACCTGAGACCCCCCAATCTCAGACTCCCCAATCTCGGAACCCCAAAACCGAACCCCCAAAACTGAACCCCCAAAGCCAGACCCCAATCTCAAACCTGAGACCCCCAATCTCAGACCCTCAAACCTGGGACCCCAATCTCAGACCCCCAAACCTAGGACCCCCAAATCTTAGACCCCCAAACCAGCCCCCAATCTCAGACCCCCAAAACCTGAGACCCCAATCTCAGACCCCCAAAAACTGACCCCAATCTCAGACCCCTCAAACCAACCCCTCAATCTCAGACCCCTCCAAAACCTGAGACCCCCAATCTCAGACCCCCAAACCAGAACCCCCAATTTTAGACCCCCTCAATCTCAGCCCCCTCCCCAAACCCCCCCAAAGTGCCAAGAACCCCCAAATCCCCAATCCGGCCCCCAAAACGAGGCCCCAAATTAACGATCCCTGCTCATTAACAACCATTAATATTCATTATTAATATGCTAATTAACCCCTGCCCGCTGCCGCCGGGCTCATTTGCATACGCGCGGCGTGATTATGAATATTTAATGAGAGTGGAGGGTCGTTAAACACGGCCGGGTAAATTCCGGCCTCATTTGCATAAATTTGCATCGCGCGCTTGACGGGGTGGGGGAGGGGTTTAATTAATTAACAAAGACTCGGCCTGGGGGATGGGAGGGTCTGAGGGGTTTAGAGGGTCTGGGGGCTTTAGGGGGTGCCTGAGAGGGATTTGGGGGGGTCTGAAGACTCTACGGGGGTCCTGAGGGGATTTGGGGGCCTGGGGAGGCTTTTGGGGGATTTGAGGGGTCTGGAAGGCCTTTGGGGGGTCCTGAGGGGGATTTGGGGGGTCTGGAAGGGCTTCTGGGGGGTCCTGAGAGGGGATTTGGGGGGGTCTGGGAGCCTTTTGAGGGGTCCTGAGGGGGATTTGGGGGGGTCTGAGGGGCTTTGGGGGCCCTGAGGGGGATCCTGGGGGAGTCTGGGGCTTTTGGGGATCCTGGAGGGATCTGGGGCCTTTTGGGGGATCCTGAGAGGGGATTTTGGGGGTCTGGGGCCTATTTGGGGGGTCTGCTGGGGGCTTTGGGGGTCCTGAGAGGGATTTGAGGGGCTCAGGAGGCCTATTGGGGGTCTGGGGGGTCTCTAGGTGGTCCGGGGGTCTTTTGGAGAGGGTTGGGATCCCAATTTTAAGGTAAATGTTATTTTTTATCCCCTTTTTGAGCGATTTGAAGGTGGGAAAAAAAAACACCAGGCCCTAAAAATTTAAAAAATGGCTCCCCTCATGAATTATTCATGATCCCGAGGCTCATTTGCATATTCATGAGGCGCCCGCTGCATTATTCATGAGCGGCGCGTTAAATACGGGTTCAAAAATATATAAAAAAATATATTAAATATATTAAATATATTTAAAAAACCAGGGATTTGGGAATTGCGAGGGTTGGGAAAGGGGGGAAAAGAGGTTTGATTCCTGGGATGAGGAGAGAGGGAAAAATCACCAAAAAAAGAGGGAATTTTTAGGCTTTTATGGGGAATTTTTACGCCCTAAGGGGGAGCTTTAATGAGATATTGGAATAATATATTGATTTAGGCGTTATTTATATATGGTTTTATAGATAGATAATACCAGAAATATATAAAATATAATAAAAATATTTTATGTATTGGAGGTTCTCTTATTTTATTCGCCATTTTTGCTGTATTTTGTACATTTATATCAACATTTATTGGTAGATATTTGCACCTTATGCTGTTATCTCTTACATATTTTTATATAAATATATCTTATTATCAGTTCTTTCCTATTAAAAAATTATTTCATTAATTACTGTGATGTTTTATTAATCATCTTATTAATATTTATTATTATACATTATTAACATTAATATTAATATTTATTATTATACATTATACTAATATAAGATATACTTTTATCACTTCATTAATATTTCCTGGTGTTACATATTCCGTTATTATTTCAAATATATATTTTTATCAATCAATAAATGTTTTATTGCTGCCTTAATGTGTAGCAATTTATTAATACATTATTAATGTAAAATATGGTTGTATGTATTGCAGTTGCATATGCTGTGTGTGGTTTTAGATATAATTTATAATTTAATTATATCTAATATTATAATTATTATAATATTAATATTATATATTATGTATTATATATAATATAATATATTTATAGATTATAAATTATATATTATATAATATATTTCATATATTATATATATTTTATATATATTTTTATATAAATATATATAGAAAAATAAAATTATATGTACTATATATTTTATATTATAATACATTATCTATTTTTATATTGTGTTATATTTATATTAAATTTATATTATATATTAGTAATATATAATATAATATATGTAGTATTTATATTCTATGCTGTTAATATATAATATATAGTATATATTATATATCAATATATTAATATATTAGTATATATTATATTAATTTATTGTTATATTAATATATTATTTATTAATATATTAATATATAGTATATATTATATATTACATTTGAATTAGACTTTATAGAATATATAATTATATAACACATTCCATATAATATATAATATATTAATATATATTATATAATAATAGAATTATAGAATTACATAATTTATATCACATATAACTACAATTTACGTTATTTTTACTATAAAATATTATATATTAAATTATATTATATATTATATGTACAGACCCCGCCCCCCCAGCCCTCCCTCCTGTCCCCCAGACCCCCATAGAGACCCCCCAGGCCCCCAAATTTCCCTCGGCCCCTTTAAGAGCTCATGGCCCTCCTCCCGTGACGTCACCTCGCTCTCCTCCCGCCCCGCCCCCTCCTCTTGCTCCTCCCCTTCCGGTGTCCCCGCGCCCCGGAGGAGCCGCCGCCACACCGGGGCCAAGGCAGGGCCTGGGGGGCCGAGGGGGGTTGGGGGTGGGTGGGGGTCGCCCCTCCCTTTTACCCCCTCCCCCACCCCCATCCCCCCATTTCGGGGACGCGGCGCCTTTAAGGGAGAGCGAGGGCGAGGGGCGGGGCCAGGGCCGACCCAGCCAATGGGAGCGCTGAGGGGGCAGGGTCAGGGCTAGACCAGCCAATGGGAGCGCGGGGCGGGGCGTTGCCATGGAGACGGGCGGGGGCATCGCTTTAACCCCCAATTCCCTTCCCAGAGGGAAAATTCCCTTCCCAGAGGGAAAATCCCCTTCCCAGAGGGAAAATTCCCTTTCCCAGACTGAAAATCCCCTTCCCAGAGGGCAAAATCCCCTTCCCAGAAGGAAAATGCAGGGGACAAAGGTGGGGGTTTGTCAATGGGTTTGTCAATGGATTGTTTATCAATGGGTTTGTCAATGGGTTTGTCAATGGGTTTATCAATGGGTTGTTTATCAATGGGTTTGTCAATGGGTTTGTTTATCAATGGGTTTATCAATGGGTTTGTCAATGGGTTTATCAATGGATGGTTTATCAATAGTCAATGGGTTTATCAATGGGTTTGTCAATGGGTTTGTCAATGGGTTCTTCAATGGGCTTATCAATAGATTTGTCAATGGGTTTGTCAATGGGCAGTTTATCAATGGGCTTTTATGAATGGGATGTTTGTAAATTGGTTCATCAATGGGTTCATTGATGGGTTTATCGATGGGTTTATCAATGGGTTTGTCAGTGGATCTATAGATGGGTTTATAAATGGATTTATAGATGCATTTATAGATAGGGTTTATCAATGGATTTATTGATGGGTTGATCAATGGGTTTATTGATGGGTTTACCAATTGATTTATTGATGTGTTTATAAATATATTGATGTATTTATAGGTTTATGGATGGGTTGATCAATGGGTTTATTGATGGGTTGACCAATGGATTTAAGGATGGATAAATTTATCAATGGATTTATCAATGGCTTTGTCAATGAGTTTATCAATTACTTTATCAATGACTCATTTCTTTACTGATAACCAAAACCTCCATGAGCCTAAGAAGAACATTTCAGGGCTGTTTGATATTTTTTGGGGGGATTTTTCTCCTTTTTCAGTCATTTATTTGAGGAAGAAAAAGCTCAAATTCCACTCCATTTTATCCCTATTTATTGACCCCCCCACCCCCAAATATCCCCCACTTTGTCCTGCACTGAACTTGGGGACTTTTTATCCTGAAAACACCCAAAAAGAGAATAAAAGACTATTTTAAAAAACTGAATAAAGTGACAAATTCCCTGCTTGGCTTCACAAATTGGGAGGGAAAAAAAAAAATTCCTTAAAAAAAAAATTCCTTAAAAAAAAAATTCCTTAAAAGAAAAGTTCCTTAAAAAAAAAAAGAGCAGCTCAACCCTAAGGTAGATCCTCAAACCCAGGGAATTCAGGCAGATTCCCAGGGAATTTTAGGTGGGTCCCGAAGCTCCAGGAGGTTTGGGTAGAACCCTCAGCTCCAGGGAATTCAGGTAGAGCCTCTCAAATCCAGGGAATTCAGGTAGAGCCTCTCAAATCCAGGGAATTCAGGTAGAGCCTCTTAAATCCAGGGAATTCAGGCAGAGCCCCTAAAATCCATGGAATTCAGGTAGAGCCTCTTAAATCCAGGGAATTCAGGCAGACCCCCAACTCCAGGGAATTTAGGTAAACCCCCAACTCCAGGGAATTCAGGTAGAGCCCCCAAATCCAGGGAATTCAGGTAGACCCCAAATCCAGGGAATTCAGGCAGGTATCCCCAACTCCAGGGAATTCAGGCACATCCCAAAATCCAAGAAATTCAGGCAGATAACCCCAACTCCAGGGAATTCAGACACATCCCAAAATCCAAGAAATTCAGGCAGATAACCCCAACTCCAGGGAATTTAGGTAGAGCCCCCAAATCCAGGGAATTTAAGCAGATCTCCACCTCCAGGGAATTTAGGCAGATCTCCAAATCCAAGAAATTCAGGCAGACCCCCCAGCTCCAGGGAATTCAGACAGAGCCCCCAAATCCAGGGAATTCAGGTAAAGCCCCCAAATCCAGGGAATTTAGGCAGATCCCCAACTCCAGGAAATTTAGGTAGACCCCCAACTCCAGGAAATTCAGGCAGAGCCCCAAAATCCGGGGAATTCAGGTAAAGACCCCAAATCCAGGTTATTTAGGCAGATACCCACAACTCCAGGGAATTCAGGCACATCCCAAAATCCAAGAAATTCGGGCAGATATCCCCAACTCCAGGGAATTTAGGTAGAGCCCCCAAATCCAGGAAATTTAGGTAGAGCCCCCAAATCCAGGGAATTTAAGCAGATCTCCACCTCCAGGGAATTTTGGCAGATCCCCAAATCCAAGAAATTCAGGCAGACCCCCCAGCTCCAGGGAATTCAGACAGAGCCCCCAAATCCAGGGAATTCAGGTAAAGCCCCCAAATCCAGGGAATTTAGGTAAAGCCCCCAAATCCAGGGAATTCAGGCAGATATCCCCAAATCCAGGGAATTCAGGCACATCCCAAAATCCAAGAAATTCAGGCAGATATCCCCAAATCCAGGGAATTCAGACAGAGCCCCCAAATCCAGGGAATTCCAGGCAGACTCCCAACTCCAGGAAATTTAGGTAGAGCCCCCAAATCCAGGATATTTAGGCAGGTGTCCCCAACTCCAGGGAATTCAGGCAGACCCCAAAATCCAAGAAATTCAGGCAGACTCCCCAGCTCCAGGGAATTCAGGCAGAACCCCCAAATCCAGGATATTTAGGCAGGTGTCCCCAACTCCAGGGAATTTAGGCAGATGCCAAAAATCCAAGGAATTCAGGCAGATATCCCCCAACTCCAGGGAATTCATCCCCAAACCTCCGGGATATTCAGGCATGCTCCCAACTCCGAGCGATTCAAGCAGACCCCCAAAATCCAAGGAATTCAAGCAGAACCCCTAACTCTGGGCAATCCAGGCAGACATCCCCCCAGAAAAAATTTAAAATGCCGGGAATTCCCTGTCCTCAGATAAAATATTCCTCCTTTTCCTTGGCCGGGGGTTCCTCCTCGGCCGGGGCCGGGTGGGGGTCGGGCTGCTCGTAGGTGTGGTAGGTGCCCCTGTTTCGGTACAGGTAGATCCCAATCACCACCAGCGCCGTCAGCAGGGTGAGGAACACCAGGGTGATGGTCACTGCGGGGGGAGGAAAAGAGGATTTAGTGGGATTTAGTGGGATTTAGTGGGATTTGGTGGGATTTAGGGGGATTTGAGCCCTGGAATCGCCTCACCTGCGATGATCGCCGTGTCGGCGTCCTCGTGGCCGCGCGGGGTGAGCGCCTTCCTGAGGGCCGGGGTGGTCACATCTTCCTCGGGAAAACCAACATAAATTAAATAAAAATAAAAAGAAAAGAAAGGGGAAGGTCGGGAAGGGCCTAAAGAGGGGTCTGAGCTCGGGGGAGACCCCCGGGATATGGGGAGATAAAAACTCACCTGAGCTCAGGTGAGGACGAGCTCCTTCCATGCCTTCCAAGAGCAGGGTCGGGAGCCGGCGGGGCTGCCAAAAACAGGGATAAAAGGGGTGAATTCCCGCCCCTTACCCCGTCAGCCGCGCTCGGGTGGGAGCGAATTCCCTGCTGGGATGGGCGCCCTTCCAGAGATACCGAAAATAGGGGGATAAAAGGGGATGAATGGGCGAGAAACGCCCTGAAAGGCGGGGCGGGACAGCCCCCAGTAAGGCACTGGTGTTACTGGGGCTGCACTGGTGTTACTGGGGATGAAGGGGGGAAGAAGGAGCAGCCCCCCTGCCTGGTTTCGCTCCTGAATTTGGAGCTTCCAACGCCCCCCGGGAAATGCCCCCAAAATCGCCCCAAAATCGCCCCAAAACCAGAAGGTTGAGTGGCCGCACCCACCTCGGCTCTGCCCCACGGGGGATCCCCCCCCCACAGCCCCCCAAAAACGATCCCCGCGGTGGCTCCGGGACTCTTCGGTGACTCAGCGGAGTCGGGAGAGGATCAAATTTAATTGTTTATTTATTAAAAAAAGAAAAAACAAAACCAAAAAACCAAACCCAAAGAGGAAATGGAGCGGCGGGAGCTCGGCCCGGGGGGTGGAGAGGGGGTGGCCACGGGCCAAGCGCGACGAGCCGGGAATTTGGGGCCGAGGGAAGAGCAGGAATTCCCAAATTTCCCCTAGAAAAAAGTTCTTTTTCCCCCTCTCCCAGCAGCGGGAACCACGAGGTTCCGGCAGCTCCTCCCCCGGGGCAGGAAAATCCTTCCCCCCGCCTTCCACCCCAGCTTGGGCTCGTTAAACTCGGTTTGACTTAAAACCAGCTGTGATTTAACCCCCATTTTTTCTTTAAACCCGGTTTTGATTTAAGCCCCGCTCTGCTTTAAACCTGGTTTTGCTTTGCAGCCAGCTTTGCAATAAATTAAATTTAATTCGGTTTTTAATTTGTTCGCTTTAAAACCCGGTTTTTTTTTTTTTTGCTTTAAACGCCGTCCTGCTTTAAACCCGACTTCTCTTTTCAAAGAAATTAAACCTGATTTTATTTCCATCCCTGTTTTCCTTGAAGCCTGGCCCTTTAAACCTGGTTTTGCTTTCAGCCCGTTTTGCTTTAAACCCAGTTCCGCTTCGAGTCCAGCCTTTCATTAAACCAAACTCTGAATTAAACCCGATTATTTTGGCTTTAAAACCGGCTTTCCTTTAAGTCCGCTTTGCTTTAATCCCAGCTTTGCTTTAAACCCAGCTTTGAATTAAACTGAATTCTGCTTTAAAGCCGGGGGGTGACTCATTCCCAGCGGGAATTCCCGAGGGATCCCGACGGATTTCCACGTGTTTTTAAAGGAGGGTCGTGAAGAACCCTCGCCTTCCTCATTCCCGAGCGGCTCCAGAGCCATTCCCAAGGTTTCCCCTCCCTGTTCCGCTGCTCTGATCCCGAAATTCCTTCGGGGAGCATCGGGGATGCAGCCCCCTTATCCCGTCCCCCATTCCCGTTCCCATTCCAGCAGGGTGGGACGAGCGAACCACCCCCACGAGCCGCTTTTTGGGACCGGCAGCACCTTCCCAGCCTCCCTCCTTCCCCTTCATTCCCATTCCCATTCCCGGCAGGAGCTGCTCCCCCTCATTCCTTCCCCCTCCTCCTCGGGATGATCCCCCTGGGATCAGCACTTTTTGCCTCCCTTCCCGTTCTCCCCCACACACATTTTCAGCTTTCCTGCCGGATTTCCCGCTTCCCGCGCCACGATCCGACCTTTTCCCTTCCTTCCCCTCTCCAAATCCAGCTGGGAAAACACGCGAGGTCGCGGCTTCACCTCCCCACGCCCCCCCAGAAAAAACCCCATTCCTTCAAATCCCCGCTCCCTCCGCGACCACCCGCTCCAAAATCCCCCAAATCCTCCGGGAAGAATTTTGGGGGCCTCCCGGGATCCCCGTTTTCCTCCTTACCTGCCGGCACCACGAGCGGGCGTGGCGCAGGTGAGGGCGTGGCCCTTTCCCGGCCTCACCTTTCCAGTCGGGCTGGTTAATTGGGATCAACCCCCTCCCGCCCATCCTTCCCCCTCCCCCGTTAACCCCTCACTGGCTGCGTGGGGGACTGGAAATGGGAAAAACACCCCCACTTCCCGATCCCAGACGGAGATTTGGGGGATTTGGGGGCGTTTTCCACTTTTATTTCGGATGGGAAAGGGGAGGGGGTGCGGGAGGTGGGGGAGGGGTGTGGGAAGGGCACGGCGAGGAAGGAATTTGGGGGAGACGCCCCGTTTGGCCGCGGGCTCACGGGGTGCTGAGGGGCTCGGGGGGGTCCTGCGTGGGGGATTCACCGCGTGGGGTGTCCCGGCTCGTGTCCTGCTCCTCGGGTGTCCCGGGACAGCCCTGGGGGAGACACGGGACCAAGAATTAATCCCCCACCCCGGGTGGGGGCGGTTCAGGTCACCCTCCCTCCAGCCCCCCCCTTCAGCAGCGTCACCCCGGGTTGGGTTTGTCCCCTGGACCCCCACCATCCCCGCGTCCCACTGTCCCCGTGTCCCCACGTCTCTACCGGGTGCCCCCCCAAAAAAAACCGGGAATCCCCCTCGGGGGCGTCTCCCGGAACTTTCTCACGCGAGTTCTGCTCACCTGTGGCTCGAAATCCGCGCTGTCCGCGCCCTCCCCGCGCTCCGGGGGACACGGGACGGCATCGCGGGGGACACCGGGGCTTGGGGACACGCAGGTCCCTTCGCCGCCCTCCCCGCGGGTGACCGCGGCTGTCCCCGGCTCCGGGGCCGCGGGGCCGGCGGCCTGGGCGATGGCCTCGGACAAAATCAGCGACGCCAGCGAGGTGGCGACGCCCTCGGGGTCCCCCCGCGCCCCGCTGTCACCCCCCTGGGTGTCACCCGCGTCCCCTGCCCCGCGGGGGTCGCGCTGTGGGGTGTCCTCCTCTCCGGACACTGACGGTGTCCCCTGGGCGGGGTCCCCCTCCGGGGTGTCCTCTCCGGACACCGCCGCTGTCCCCGCTGTCCCCTGGGCGGGGTCCCCCTCCGGGGTGTCCTCGCTGGACACCGAGCCCGTGTCCAGGGACCCCTCGCTGGCCGGAGAGGCGGGGGGCGGCCCGGGGGACACGGCGCCCAGGTCGCCGTTGGCGGTGGTGGCCTCAGCGGTGGCGCTGTCACCCCCGGGCGGTGTCACCGGTGTCACCGGTGTGTCCGGGCAGGGGAACATCGCCGGGGGGCTCACGGGAGACGAGATGATCAGCGAGCGCCGGTTGCTGGGAGGGGGTGTGGGGACAAAGGGGGGGGTTCAGCCCCCAGCCATCCCTGGGGGACACGCGTGGTGGCACCGCGGTGTCACCGTCCCCGCTTGCCGGTGTCGCTTTTCCCCACCCAGAGGGACCCGAAGGAATCAGCCCAGCACCTCCAAAATGCCTTTGGGAGACGCTCCCCCCTCCCCCGCTGGAGGAGGGGGAGGTCCTTCACCTTTTTAGGAGGGTTTTGGGGGGTGATTTGTCCCCTTGGAGTCCCCCTGCCCCCCCCTCCCCCCAAGGTGTTACCTGGGCACGCCTTTGATGATGAACACCTTGCTCGAGTGCTGCTTCTCCAGTTTGCTCATCACCTCGTAGAGATCCCTGTTCAGCTGGGGGGAGGGGGGGGAGGCACAAAAACACCTCAGGGGGATCCCTCCAGGTCCCCCCCATCACCTGGGGGTTCAGAGGGTCCCCCCCATCACTTGGGGACACCCCAAATGGGCTCAAGGTGCCCTAAATTAATGAATTAAATGAAAAGCGAAGGCGAGGGGGAAGAGGGGAGAGGGAACACCAGCCACCAGGGGACACTTGGGGACACTTTGGGACACTTGGGGACAGTTGGGGACTGCAGGGGGGGGCTGAGGGAGGTGTTTTGGGCGCTCCCCACCCCACCTTGCTCATCTCCTTGTAGAAGACGTCGCGGAGGTTGGAGATGTTCTGGAACACGGTCACGTAGCAGGCGATGCGGCTGGGGGACACGGGGAAGGGTTTGGGGCCTGAGGGGCTCGGGGGTCCCACCCAGTGATGATCTCACATCCCACAGTGTCCCCAGCCCCCAATGTCCCCCAGCCCCATCAATGTCCCCCCAGCCCCCCAGCACCTCAGTGTCCCCAGCCCCTTGATGTCCCTCAACCCCAGTGTCCCCCAGGATCACAATGTCCCTTAACCCCAATGTCCCCAGCCCCCAATATCCCCCACTCCCATGATCCCATGATGATCCCCCACCCCACAGTGTCCCCATCCCACAATGTCCCCACCCCCACAGTGTCCCCACCCCACAGTGTCTCCCCATCCCACAGTGTCCCCAGCCCAATGATGATCCCCCATCCTACAATGTCCCCCATCCCACAGTGTCCCCATCCCACAATGTCCCCCAGTCCCCCAATATCCCCCAGCCCCATGATGATCCCCCATCCTACAATGTCCCCAGCCCCCTGCAGTGTCCCGCAGTGTCCCCACCCCACAGTGTCCCCCAGCCCCACAGTGTCCCCATTCCACAGCGTCCTCCATCCCACATTGTCCCCAACCCCATGATGATCTCCCACCCTCAGTATCCCCCATCCCACAGTGTCCCCAGGTCCCCAATATCCCCCATCCCACAATGTCCCCATCCCACAATGTCCCTCGACCCCACAGTGTCCCCCACCCCACAATGTCCCCATCCCACAATGTCCCCGACCCCCACAATGTCCCCCGACCCCACAGTGTCCCCACCCCACAGTGTCCCCCAGCCCCTGCAGTGTCCCCCCATCTCCCCAATATCCCCATCCCACAATGTCCTCACCCCACAGTGTCCCCCACCCCTCCCGCTGCCCCCATCCCACAGTGTCCCCCAGGTCTCCAATATCCTCCACCCCACAGTGTCCCCCAGCCCAATGATGACCTCCCATCCTACAATGTCCCCCATCCCACAGTGTCCCTCAGCCCCCAGTGTCCCCCCATCCCACAATGTCCCCAGCCCCCAATATCCCCACTCCCATGATCCCATGATGATCCCCATCCCACAGTGTCCCCAGGTCCCAATATCCCCCATCCCACAGTGTCCCCATCCCACAATGTCCCCACCCCACAGTGTCCCTCATCCCACAGTGTCCCTCAGCCCAATGATGATCCCCATCCTACAATGTCCCCCATCCCACAGTGTCCCCATCCCACAGTGTCCCTCAGCCCCCAATATCCCCACTCCCATGATGATCCCCATCCTACAATGTCCCCTAGCCCCCTGCAGGGTCCCCCATCCCACAATGTCCCCCAGCCCAATGATGATCCCCACCCCACAATGTCCCCCATCCCACAATGTCCCCAGCCCCCAATATCCCCAGCCCCCCAATATCCCCACCCCCATGATGATCTCCCCACCCCACAGTGTCCCCAGGTCCCCATATCCCCCATCCCACAGTGTCCCCCATCCCCCTGATGTCCCCCATCCCTGCAGTGTCCCCAGCCCCCAATATCCCCCATCCCACAATGTCCCCATCCCACAGTGTCCCCCATCCCACAGCATCCTCCATCCCACATTGTCCCCCACCCCATGATGATCCCCCATCCCACAGTGTCCCCCAGGTCCCCAATGTCCCCCAGCCCAATGATGATCTCCATCCCACAATGTCCCCATCCCACAGTGTCCCTCAGCCCCACAGTGTCCCCTCATCCTACAATGTCCCCAGCCCAATGATGATCCCCCATCCTACAATGTCCCCAGCCCTCCTGCAGTGTCCCCCACCCCACAGTGTCCCCCATCCCACAGCTGCCCTCCATCCCACATTGTCCCCACCCCCATGATGATCTCCCACCCCACAGTGTCCCCCATCCCAATGATGACCTCCCATCCTACAATGTCCCCACCCCACAGTGTCCTCAGCCCCACAATATCCCCCCACCCCCATGATGATCCCCCATCCTACAATGTCCTCCAGCCCCCTGCAGTGTCCCCAGCCCCTGCAGTGTCCCACAGTGTCCTGTGTCCCACAGTGTCCCCACCCACAGTGTCCCCCAGGTCCCCAATATCCCCACCCCACAGTGTCCCCATCCCTGCAGTGTCCCCCCATCCCCCTGTCCCCATCCTACAATGTCCCCACTCCCTGCTGTCTCTCACCCCACAGTGTCCCCCATCCCACAGCGTCCTCCATCCACAATGTCCCTGACCCCACGGTGTCTCCCATCCCACAGTGTCCCCCAGGTCCCCAATGTCCCCCATCCCACAGTGCCCCCATCCCACAATGTCCCCATCCCACAGCGTCCTCCATCCCACATTGCTCCCCACCCCCATGATGATCTCCCACCCCACAGTGTCCCCAGGTCCCCAATATCTCCCACCCCACAGTGTCCCCCATCCCACAATGTCCCCCATCTCCCTGCTGTCCCCCACCCCACAGTGCCCCCACCCCCTGCTGCCCCCCGTCCCCTGTCCCCCCATCTCCCGGTACCTGCCGTAGAGGAGGGGCAGCTCCTCCCTCAGCTCCCTGTTCAGATCCTCAAACACCGCCTGGGCTTTGTTAAACTCCTCCTCGGCCTTTCCGGAGGGGACAAGGACGGGACGGGGGTCTTCCCATCCTGTCCCCCCGTGCCATAGGGGTGTGAGGGGAATATTTGGGGGGAGGGGGGTGTCCCCAAACCTTGGCGATTTTGGCCTCGTCCCTTTTCCTGGCGCCCTGCAGCGCTTCCAGGTGGTGCCGGGCGCTGTCGTAGTCCACCAATTTACGGCCCCTCTTGGCGATGCGCTCCTGGGGGGGGGGGGACACACACACAGGGGTGAGCCAGGACCACCCCCCGCGTCCCCCCAAACCCCTCCCCTGCTCACCTTGAAGTCCCCGAACTGCGCCAGGTAGTTCTCCATCAGCCGCAGGGCTTGGTCGCACAGCTTGGCCTCGTAATCGTCCCACAGGAGGTCGTTACTCTGGAGTGGGGTGTGGGACACAAAATAAAGGGGTGAGACCCCGAAATCGCCCCCCAAAATGCCACCCCCGAGGGGGTGGTGGGAAAAGGGACGCTTTTGGGGCGGGGGGCTCACGGCGGCGATGTCGCGCAGCTCCTCGTGCCCGTCCCACGCGGGGCTGTAAATGTCCCGCAGCGTCTCGGCCACGCGCCGCGAGCTCTCGTGCATGGCTGCGGGCGCGGGGTGATTAACGGCGCGTTAATTGCTCGTTCTTGGTTTACTGAGGCCGTTTGCCATTGTTTGGCAGCCCCGGGGGTGCGGTTTTTAGGTATTTATTACCTATTTATTACCCCATCGATAGTATCTATTTATTTGTTTATTATGTTTTTATTATCCCATTTATAGTATATATATTTAGTTATTTATGAACTATTTCTTATCCCATTGATAGAATATCTATTTTATTTATTACCTATTTATTATCCCATCTACAGTATATATATTTATTTATGAACTATTTATTGTCCCCTTGACAGAATATATATATTTATTTATGAACTATTTATTATCCCATCGATAGTATATATCAATTTATTTATTATGTTTTTATTATCCCATTTATAGTATATATATCTAGTTATTTATGATCTATTTATTATCCCATCGATAGAATATATATTTATTTATGATCTATATTTATTATCCCATCGATAGTATATGTATTTATTTATTTGGTTATATACAGGTGATATGGGATAATAAATAGGTAATAATTGTTTTTATAGGTTAATGATATATTTATACATGTTATATATATCATCATTTACTATTATGTATTATATGTTTTATACATATTACATATATTATATAATTATATGTAATTATATGCATAATATGTTATATAATTATATATCATTATATATGATATATAATTCTTTATTATATATAATTATATGTGATATAATTATTATGCATATTATATACAACATATAATGCTATATATAATATTGCATATTATATTTTATATAACATAGAATATATAATATAAATAATATAATATATATACATGTAATATATATTTTATATAACATATAATATATATATTATATATAATTATATAAAAATATATATTAAATTATATGTGTTATATATTTATACATGAGTTATAAAGCTAAAAACTTGTATTATAAATTATACCTAACATGAATAATAAAAATATTTTATTTCTATTTTATTTCATTTATAATAAGTTATAAATTAAAAATATGTGTGCTATAGATGGGGGTTGATAAATCGATATTAAACAGCTAATAAGTAGTAATTATTAATTAATTAATTAATTCATAATCCCATAGATAATAGATATCCCTGGTTTATATCCATTATATAATAGATATAACGGAACATTCCCGAACATTCCCGAGCCATTCCCGCCATTCCCGGACATTCCCGAGCCATTCCCGGACATTCCTGAGCCATTCCCGAACATTCCTGAGCCATTCCCACCATTCCCGAGCCATTCCCGCCATTCCCAAACCATTTCTGCCATTCCCGAACATTCCCGAACATTCCTGAGCCATTCCCGCCATTCCTGGACATTCCTGAGCCATTCCCGAACATTCCCGAGCCATTCCCGAACATTCCTGAGCCATTCCTGCCATTCCCGAGCCATTCCCGCGATTCCCGAACATTCCTGAGCCATTCCCGAACATTCCCAAGCCATTCCCGAACATTCCCGAGCCATTCCCGAACCATTCCCGAGCCATTCCCGCTGTTCCCGCACCTCTCACGGCCCCCACGAATCCCTTCAGGTCCTTGTAGAGTTTGTGCCCCTCGGTCTGCGAAGACACCGCGGGGAGGGGACGGTGACGGGGACGGGGACGGGGACAGGGACCCCCCGGGGGTGTCCTGGGGTGTCCCCAGTGCCACCCCGGTGTCCCCCAATGTCCCCAGTGCCCCCCCAGTGTCCCCAGTGTCCCCATTGTCCCCCACTGTCCCCAGTGCCCCCCCAGTGTCCCTCAATGTCCTCAGTGTCCCCTAGTGATCCCCAGTGTCCCCAGTGTCCCCCAGTGTCCCCCAGTGTCCCTCCAATGTCCCCAGTGTCCCTCAGTGCCCCCAATGTCCCCCAGTGTCACCTCAATGTGTCCCCCAGTGTCCCCAGTGTCCCCCAGTGTCCCAATGTCCCCAGTGTCCCCTAATGTCCCCAGTGTCCCCCAATGTCCCCAGTGTCCCTCAATGTCCCCAGTGTCCTCCCAGTGTCCCCAGTGTCCCCAGTGTCCCCAGTGTCCCCCCAGTGTCCTCAGTGTCCCCAGTGTCCCCAGTGTCCCCAGTGTCCCCAGTGTCCCCCAGTGTCCCCAGTGTCCCCAGTGTCCCTCCCAGTGTCCCCAGTGTCCCCAGTGTCCCCAGTGTCCCCCAATGTCCTCAGTGTCCCTCAGTGTCCCCAGTGTCCCCAGTGTCCCCCAGTGTCCCCAGTGTCCCCCAGTGTCCCCAATGTCCCCCAGTGTCCCCCAGTGTCCCCAGTGTCCCCAGTGTCCCCCAGTGTCCCCCAGTGTCCCCCAGTGTCCCCTCAATGTCCCCAGTGTCCCCAGTGTCCCCAATGTCCCCAGTGCTCCCCAGTGTCCCCTAGTGTCCCCAGTGTCCCCAGTGTCCCTCAGTGTCCCCAGTGTCCCTCAGTGTCCCCAGTGTCCCCCAGTGTCCCCAGTGTCCTCAGTGTCCCCCAGTGTCCCCAGTGCCCTCTAGTGTCCCCCAGTGTCCCCCAGTGTCCCCAGTGTCCCTCAGTGTCCCCTAGTGTCCCTCAGTGCCCCCTGATGCCCCCCAGTGTCCTCAGTGTCCCCTGACGTGTCCCCAGTGTCCCCAGTGTCCCCTAGTGTCCCCTAGTGTCCCCCAGTGTCCCTCAGTGTCCCCCAGTGTCCCCAGTGTCCCCCAGTGTCCCCAGTGTCCCCAGTGCCCCCTAGTGTCCCCAGTGTCCTCCAGTGTCCCCAGTGTCCTCCAGTGTCCCCCAGTGCCCCCAGATGCCTCCCCAGTGTCCCTCAATGTCCCCAGTGTCCCCAGTGCCCCCAGTGTCCCCAGTGTCCCCAGTGTCCCCTCAGTGTCCCCAGTGTCCCCAGTGTCCCCAGTGTCCCCAGTGTCCCCAGTGTCCCCCCAGTGTCCCCAGTGTCCCCCAGTGTCCCCAGTGCCCCCCATTGTCCCCAGTATCCCCAGTATCCCCAGTGTCCCCAGTGTCCCCAGTGCCACCTGCTGCAGGTGGAAGTTGTAGGCGCTCTGCTCGAACTGCTCGTCTTTGGTTTCCACCGTTTTGCCCAATTTTTGCAAAACCTGGGGTGGGAAAGCACAGGAAAGGGTCCCGCCCCCAAAACACCCCCAAAACACCCCAAACCCCTCAAAGACCCCAAAACACCCCAAACACCCCAAAACACTCAAAACACCCCCAAACACCCCAAAACACCCAAACCACACAAACCCACCCCAAAACACCCCAAACCCACCCCAAAACACCCAAACCCCCAGAACACCCCAAAACACCCCAAGCACCCCCAAAACCACCCCCAAAACACCCCAAAACACCCCTAAAAAACCCTAAAACTCCTGCCTGGGGGTGAGGATGGGGAGGGTCCATGGGGCTGGGGGTGGTGGAGGTGTAGAGGAAATTTGGGGGTCCAAGGAGAGGTTGATCCCCCTGGGAAGAGTCTGGGAGGAGGCACGAAGGAGTTTTGGGATATCCAGGAAGAGTTTGGAACCCCCAGGAAGAGGCAAAGGGCATTTTGAGGTGCCCAGGAAGTTTGGAACCCCCAGGGAAGAGGAAAAGGGAACTTTGGGGTGCCCAGGAAGAGTTTGGGACCCCCAGGAAGAGGCAAAGGGAATTTTGGGGTGTCCAGGAAGAGTTTGGGATCCCCAGGAAGAGGCAAAGGGAACTTTGGGGTGCCCAGGAAGAGTTTGGGACCCCCAGGAAGAGGCAAAGGGAATCTTTGGGGTGCCCAGGAAGAGTTTGGGACCCCCAGGAAGAGGCAAAGGGGAATTTTGGGGTGTCCAGGGAGAGTTTGGGACCCCCAGGAAGAGCCAAAGGGAACTTTGGGGTGCCCAGGGAGAGTTTGGGACCCCCAGGAAGAGGCAAAGGGAACTTTGGGGTGCCCAGGATGAGTTTGGAACCCCCAGGAAGAGGCAAAGAGAACTTTGGGGTGTCCAAGAAGAGCTTGACCCACCCCCAAACCCAGGAAGAGGCAAAGGGAACTTTGGGGTGTCATGAAGAGTTTGAGCTCCTCAGGAAGACCCTGGTGGGGGTGGGAGGGAGATTTGGGGTGTCAGGAAGAGTTTGGGACCCCCAGGGAGAGCCAAAGGGGATCTTTGGGGTGCCCAGGAAGAGTTTGAGCTCCTCAGGAAGACCCTGGTGGGGGGCTGGGAGGGAGATTTGGGGTGTCCAGGAAGAGCTTGACCCACCCCCAAACCCAGGAAGAGGCAAAGAGAACTTTGGGGTGCCCAGGGAGAGTTTGGGACCCCCAGGAAGAGGTTGGGGCTGGGTGGAAGATTTGGGGTGCCCAGGAAGAGTTTGGGATGCCCAGGGAAGAGGCAAAGGGAACTTTGGGGTGTCCAGGATGAGTTTGGAACCCCCAGGAAGAGGCAAAGGGAACTTTGGGGTGCCCAGGACGAGTTTGGAACCCCCAGGAAGAGGCAAAGGGAACTTTGGGGTGTCCAGGATGAGTTTGGGACCCCCAGGGAGAGGCAAAGGGGAACTTTGGGGTGCCCAGGATGAGTTTGAGCTCCTCAGGAAGACCCTGGTGGGGGGTTGGGAGGGAGATTTGGGGTGTCCAGGAAGCAGCAGGAGCCTGGGCTGGGCTGATAGGGCTGAATTTATCCCCGAGCCCTGACCAGGAAACCCACGAGTGGGGAGGGAAGGGGGATTTGGGGGGAGGGAAAGGAGGGTGGGGGTGTCTTTGTGTCACCCCAAAACGGGAGCTGCTCTTTTTTGGGGAAGAGAAAGGCAAAGGGACACCCCAAACCTGCCCCGGAGCAGCCGAGAATCGCCCGTTTCCGCAGCCCTTCCCCCTCCTTCCTGCGGGGCCCACGCCCCATCCCATTCCTAGGACCACCCCCGGCCCTGGGGGACCACCCAACCCCTCCCCACCCCCCCTCATCCAGAGCACCCCGTGCCACCCCCTTCCATCCCCTCTACCCCACCCACAACCCCCAGGGGGCTTTTTTGGGGTGGAAAACTCCACTTTTAGGCCACCCAAAAATGACCCGGGGGGAATTGGGAGGAAACCCTGAGGAGATGCCACCACCCCAAACCCCTCAGGGGCGACGACCCCAAATTCCCATCCCCACCCCCGAACACCCAAAACCACCGAGGTTTTTTGGGGGGTAAAAAAAGGAGGGATCCAAGACCCAGGCGGGGTTTTGGGAGCGGGCAAAGCCTCCCTTACCTTCTCCTGGGCCCTGCTGAGGTGCTTCTGGACCTGCTTGGCGAAGAGGCCGGCGCTGCCACCGCCACCCCTGCCCTCGGCCATGGCCGTGACTCGCTCGTCCCTCCCTCCCCCCGGGGCCCCGCGGGGGTTTTTGGTGGCGGAGGAAGTCGGAGGCCACCCCGCGGCATCCGCCGCACCCCGGCACCCCCGGAAAGGAGCCCCTGGCACGGCGGGGAGGGCGGGCAGAGAGAGGGGAATCTCCGGAGATGGGAAGGGATCGGCCGGGTCCGGCTCTTGGAATCCGCTCGATCCGAAATCCCGGTGTCGGAGATGGTTGTGGGGAAGCTCCCTGGCTCTGGAGTCATCTGGAGTTGGATCATGGGATAACCAGGGTGGGAAAGGTGGGAAGAGACCAAAAAGGGTCATGGGATAACCAGGGTGAGAAGGGACCCAAGGATCATCGGATCAGGTGGGTGGCACCTGCAGGATCAAGGGATCGCAGGAGTGAGAAGGGACCCAAAGTCATCGGGATCATGGGATAACCAGAGTGGGAAGAGACCCAAAAGGATTGTGGGATAACCAGAGTGGGAAGGGACCAAAAAGGGTCATGGGATAACCGGAGTGGGAAGGGATCCAGAGAGGATGGATCATGGGATAACCGGAGTGGGAAGGGATCCACAGGGATCATGGGATAACCGGAGTGGGAAGGGACCAAAAAGGGTCATGGAATAACCAGAGTGGGAAGGGATCCACAGGGATCATGGGATAAGCAGAGTGGGAAGGGACCAAAAAGGATCATCGAGATCAGTTCTTGGCCCTCCAAAGGACGAGCCCAGGAATCCGCTCGATCCGAAATCCCGGTGTCGGAGATGGTTGTGGGGAAGGTCCCTGGCTCTGGAGTCATCTGGAGTTGGATCATGGGATAACCAGGGTGGGAAGGGACCAAAAAGGGTCATGGGATAACCAGAGTGGGACGGGACCAAAAAGGGTCGTGGGATAACTGGAGTGGGAAGGGACCAAAAAGGGTCATGGGATAAGCAGAGTGGGAAGGGACCCAAAAGGATCATGGGATAAGCAGAGTGGGAAAGGACCCAAAAGGATCATCGAGATCAGTTGTTGGTTGGCCCTGCAAAGGACAAGCCCAGGAATCTGCTCGTGCCAAAATCCCAGTGTTGAAGATGGTTGTGGGGAAGGTCCCTGGGTCTGGAGTCATCTGGAGTTGGATCATGGGATAACCAGGGTGGGAAAGGACCAAAAAGGGTCATGGGATAAGCAGAGTGGGAAGGGACCCAAAAGGATCATGGGATAACCAGAGTGGGAAGGGATCCACAGGGATCATGGGATAAGCAGAGTGGGAAGGGACCCACAGGGTCATGGGATAAGCAGAGTGGGAAGGGACCCAAAAGGATCATCGAGATCAGTTGTTGGTTGGCCCTGCAAAGGATGAGCCCAGGAATCTGCTCGATCCGAAATCCCGGTGTCGGAGATGGTTGTGGGGAAGGTCCCTGGGTCTGGAGTCATCTGGAGTTGGATCATGGGATAACCAGGGTGGGAAAGGTGGGAAGAGACCAAAAAGGGTCATGGGATAACCAGAGTGGGAAGGGACCAAAAAGGGTCATGGGATAACCAGGGTGAGGAAGGGTACCCAAAAGGATTGTGGGATAACCGGAGTGGGAAGGCACTCACAGGGATCATGGGATAAGCAGTGGGAAGGGACCCAAAAGGGTCATGGGATAAGCGGAGTGGGAAGGGACCCAAAAGGGTCATGGGATAACCAGAGTGGGAAGGGACCAACAGGGATCATGGGATAACCAGAGTGGGAAGGGACTCAAAAGGATCATCGAGATCAGTTGTTGGTTGGCCCTGCAAAGGACAACCCCAGGAATCTGCTCGTGCCAAAATCCCAGTGTTGAAGACGGTTGTGGAAACGCTCCCTGGCTCTGGAGTCATCTGGAGTTGGATCATGGGATAAGCAGAGTGGGAAGGGATCAAAAGGGATCATGGGATAACCAGGGTGGGAAGGGACCCACAGGGATCATGGAATAACCAGAGTGGGAAGGGACCCACAGGGATCATGGGATAACCAGAGCAGGAAGGGACCCACAGGGATCATGGGATAAGCAGAGTGGGAAGGGACCCAAAAGGATCATCGAGATCAGTTCTTGGCCCTTCAAAGGATGAGCCCAGGAATCTGCTTGTGCCAAAATCCCAGTGTTGAAGACGGTTGTGGAAACGCTCCCTGGCTCTGGAGTCATCTGGAGTTGGATCATGGGATAACCAGGGTGGGAAAGGACCAAAAAGGTTCATGGGATAACCAGGGTGGGAAAGGACCCAAAAGGGTCATCAAGGTCAGTTCTTGGCCCTGGGAAGGACAACCCCAAAAATGCCTCCAATCCCCAAATCCCAACATCTCGGGGCATTATCCAAACATTCCTTGACCACATGGAATTGTGGGATACCCGGAGTCGCAAAGGACACACAAGGATCGAGGTCAACTCTTGGTTCTGCAAAGGACAAACCCCCAAACCCCCCCAAATCCCAATGTCCAAGGGTGGTGTCCAAGTGTTCCCTGAACCTCTGGGATCATGGAATTGTGGGATATCCCGAGTTAGGAGGGACCCACAAGGATCACAGGATCTTGGAACATCCAGTGGGGACCCACAAAGATCACCCAGTGCAACTCCCGGCCCTGCACAGGAACAACCCCCAAAAAACCCACCTTAATCCCCAAATCCCACCTCTTTAGCCCCAAAAGCGGGTTCAAAGCCCTTTGTGTCCCGTTTTGGGGGGGTTCATTTGGGTCTGGGTGTCCCTGGGTGGGACCCTTTGCTCCCGCCCCTCCCCGGGTGCCGAGAAAACAAACCCAGCTGGTGGGGAGATCATCGTGTTCCCTGGGAAATCTCCTGTTTTCCTTGGAGATAAGGGCAGAACTGCAGCAGCTGCTTTGGGATCCCGGGGGTTCTGTTGGCCTGGGGGGAACCTGTGGGGCCGAAAGTTCCCCCCAAAACAGCCCCAGCCGGGAGCTGAAGGGGTGGAAAATGACACAGTTCTGGCCCCCAAAATCCTGGGGTTTATTCCAAACCCTCTCAGGGTTTCATTTGTCCCCAAAATAAAGAGGCCCTGCCCGGCCCCTGCCCCAGCCCTGGCCCTGCTGGGGGCTTTGGGGAGGGGGTGAAGGTCGTGCCCTTTGTTTGCCTCCACTTCTCCATCCCCACGTGGCACCTTCAGGTGTTGGATCCAACCCTTTGGGACCATCCCCCAAATCCAGGCCATGGATGAGCCAGAGCCGGAGAATCCCAGGGATAAGGGGGGCTGAGACCGGGACAAACTTGTGCAGACCCGGGGGGTACTCGGGGGGTTTCAGAATCCAGAACTGGGGGCACTTGGGGTGTCCCAGAATCCAGACCTGGGGGGGCACTCGGGGTGTCCCAGAATCGAGACCCAGGGGGGCACTCGGGGTGTCCCCGGACCCAGACCTGGGGGGCACTCGGGGTGTCCCAGAATCCAGAACTGGAGGCACTCGGGGGGTGTCAGAGATTCAGAGCTGGGGGGCACTCGGGGTGTCAGAATCCAGACCCAGGGGGGCACTCGGGGTGTCAGAATCCAGACCCAGGGGGCACTCGGGGTGTCCCAGAATCCAGACCCAGGGGGGCACTCAGGGTGTCCCCGGACCCAGAGCCCCTCGGGTGAGCCCGGGCCGCCCCAGCCTTGCCCCCGGGGCCCTGTGTGCTCTGGCAGAGGCTCCAAGGCCGCCCGGGGGGGCCGCGGCACCTGCTTTCCTTCCCGCCCCTCCCTGGCCGGCCCCGTTAAAGCGGCCGCGCCGCAGCCCCCGCTCCCGCCGCCTTCGCCGCGCCCCAGCACGACCACCACGATGCTGCCGCAGCTCCTGCTCCTCGCCGCCCTCGCCCTCTGCGGTGGGTCCTTCCCCCGGAGCCTTCGGCCTCGGCCCCCCCAGCCCCCTCCCAGCCCCCCCGGGCGGCACTGACCCCGTGCCTCTGTCCCCAGGGCGCTGCTCCGAGCCGGCTCTCGAGGGCACCCAGCGCGTGGTCGGGGGCACCGAGGCGAGCTCGCACGCCTGGCCCTCCCAGGTGGGTCCTGACGGGGCTGCCCCGGCCCCGCCCGGGGCTCTCCCGGCCCCGGGACCCGCCGCTCACCCCCCACCAACCCCCTCCGTGTCCCCTTCCCCCTGTCCCAGATCTCCCTCCAGTATTCCTCCGGGGGCAGCTGGCACCACACCTGCGGGGGCTCCCTCATCCAGAGGAACTGGGTGATGACGGCAGCCCACTGCGTCACCAGGTCAGTGCCCACCGCGCCCTCCTCCCCTCGGAAAAAACCCTTTTCTCCCCCCAAATCAAAAACCTTCCCGAGGGGGAACTCCGGCTGCCCCACCCGTGGGGGCCTTTGGGGCTCCTTCACTCGTGGGGGGCTCCAGGGACCGTCCCCGGGAGCGTCCTCTCCTCGCTCCGGCCCTGCCGTGTCATTCCAGCCGGGAATGACCCCCCTGTGGGGCTGAGCCCGGGGCTTTCCCACCTGCCCCCAGCAACCTGAACTTCCGCGTGGTGGCCGGGGAGCACAACCTGAACGCCAACGACGGCAGCGAGCAGGTCTTCAGCGTCAGCAGGATCATCATCCACCCCTACTATAACGCCAACAACGTGGCCGCAGGGTAACGCCCGCGGGAGGGGGCTCGGGGAGGGGCCCGCCCGCCACTTTTGGGGGGGGGTGGTCCCTGCAACATCCTCTGCCTCCCCCCGGCAGCTACGACATCGCCCTGCTGCGCCTGGGCAGCTACGCCACCCTCAACAACTACGTGCAGCTGGCCGTGCTGCCCCAGGAGGGCACCATCCTGCCCAACAACTACCCCTGCTACATCACGGGCTGGGGCCGCACCCGCAGTGAGTCACGGGGGTCCCCCCGCGCCCCAAATCGCCCCCGATCGCCCTCAAATCGTGGGGAGCTGAGGGAGCTTTGGGAGCCCTTGGCCGTCCCAAAGGCATCGCGGGCGGCTTCGCTCGGGGCGTGCAGGGGCCGGGTGGGGCCGTGCCGGGCTTTGGGGGGAGGGTTTTGGGGGCAAAGGGGCTGGGAGGGGGCTCTGGGCTGTGCTTTGGTGACGGGGGGGCCGCGGGGGCCGCGGGTCGGGGTTGGTGCTGATGGCACTGACGGCTCCGTGCAGCCAACGGGCAGCTCTCCAGCGTCCTGCTGCAGGCCTACCTGCCCACCGTGGACTACCAGACCTGCTCCAGCTCGTCCTACTGGGGCTCCACCGTCAAGAACACCATGGTCTGTGCCGGCGGGGACGGCGTGCGCTCCGGCTGCCAGGTACGGCCCCGCCTTGGCTGGGCACCCCCGGGCACCTCCGGCACCTCTGCTATGGCTGCCAGCCCTCTCTGTGCCCCCCTGGGCACTCCGGTACCTCTGCTATGGCTGACCCCTCTCTGTGTCCCCCCGGGCACCCCCAGCACCCCCACTATTGCTGACCCCTCTCTGTGCCCCCTTGGGCAACTCTGGCACCCCTGCTCCCCCCGGCCCCTCTCTGTGCCTCCCCATGCACCTCCAGCACCCCCTCTTGCTGACCCCTCTCTGTGCCCCCCCAGGTAACTCTAACCCGGCCCCTCGGTCGGAGCCCCCAGGAACCCCCTTTCCCCTGGCTCAGCCTCCCTACTTCTGCCCCACCCTGTCATCCCCCCACACACCCTGGCTCACCCACCCCTCTCTCTGACCCCCTGCCACCCCCAGATCACCCACTCCTCTCTCTGACCCCCTGGCACCCCGGATCACCCACCCTCTCTCTGACCCCCGATCAGATCACCGACCCCTCTCTGTGCCCCCCGGCTCCCCCGCACCCCTTCATGTCCCGGCTCAGCCCCTCTCCCGCAGGGCGATTCTGGCGGTCCCCTCCACTGCGCCATCAACGGCCAGTACCAGGTGCACGGCGTCACCAGCTTCGTGTCCAGCCAGGGCTGCAACGTGGCCCGCAAGCCCACCGTGTTCACGCGCGTCTCCGCCTACATCTCCTGGATCAACAGCGTAAGGCCCGGCCCGGGCTCGGCCCCGCCGCTCCCCGGCCCCGCCCCGGCCCCGCCGGCTCAGCCGCCGCCTTTCTGCCTTCCAGGTCATCGCCCAGAACTGAGCCGAGCCCCCCGACCCGCCCGGCCCGGCCCCTGCCCCCGGGGCTCCCCGCGCCTCTCACACCCCGAGCCCGCGCTCCCAATAAAAGCTCTTTCCCAGCTCCCCGACTCGCTGCGTGCTCTGTCCCGCGCCCGGACAACCCTTCCCCATCCCGCCCGCGCCTTCCTCCTCCCCTCCCGGCTGCCACAGCGGGGCCCGTGGCCCTCCTCTTCCTCACTCACACCTCAGGCAGGATCCTTCGGGAACAGCCCCCGGCTCGGAGCTGTGGGGGCAGCGGGAACATCCCTGGGGTGATGGAAAAGGGGGAATCGCTGCAAATCCCCTTCCCGGGCAGCACCACAGCCCCCTGGGGACACGGGGGGGACACAGAAGGACACGTGGGGGACACAGATGGACACGGGGAGGACACAGATGGACACAGGAGGGACACAGAAGGACATGGGGTGGACACAGAAGGACACAGGGGGGGACACAGAAGGACCCAGGGGAGACACAGAAGGACACAGGAGGGACACAGGAGGACACAGAGGAGATCCCGTTGGGATTTCCCTGCCATTTGTTCCATTCCCTTTCCCAAACCCACCTCCTTGGCCAGGAGATGTGTCAGACTCGGGGACTGTCACCTCCTCCTCGTCCTGTGGCTGCTGTGCCACCACCCCTCTGGGCTGCCACAGCGGGCCCCGTGTCCCTCCTCTTCCTCACACCTCGCCCTCGGGGTGCTGTTGACCCCCTCGAGGACAGAGAGGCCCCCACAGAGAGACCCTGACAGATGAGGGGCTGGGAAATCACCCTCTGTGTGGAGTTTACACTGAACAGACCCAGTGTCATCCCCTCGCCTTCATCATCCCCGTGGCCTCCTCTGGACGCCCCCTTAAGAGCTTCGGATCCTTCTAAAGGAAGGATCTTTGTTGTGGCTCCCAAACTGCCCCAGGATTTGGGGGTGAGACCCCTCCCCACCAGCACGGAGCAGGACAGTCCCCTCTGGTGGGCCTGATGTCCTCCCTCGAGGAAAATTCCCAGCTGGGCCATTCCCGAGGCTCTGATGCTCTCTGGCTCTGACTCTGCCACCACCACGGACTGGCACTGCTGGCACCGCACCCCCTGGGCGGCTCCCGTGACCCGAGGGGGTCCTGCTGGACTCCCCCCAGCCCTCAATGTGTCAGTCAGAGCAGGTTTGCCCAGCGGTTCCACCGCGGGTTTCCCACAGCAGAGTTTCGGATGTCTCAGTGCACAAAACCATCGGTTCCTGGTGGGGGGGTGACACAGAAACAGCCCCAGCTGGTGCCCCTGAGAGGGGGGGCACTGAACAAAGCACCCCTGGGGCTTTTGTCCCCTGGCATTCCAAGCACTCAACTCTTCCTGCCGAGCCTTGGGCTCCTCCCGTCTCTCCCGGGGCCCCTCACCAGGCTGGCACCAGCTCTGGGTGCCCTTTGTCATGCAGAGGGCGGGCAGTTCACGCCTCTGGTCCCACCCAGAGCTCAACCTGCGGCTCAGTCCGCACCTCCAGCTGCAGACGGAGCTACTGCGCCGGAAACCCAGAATCCCTGAGGTTGGAAAGGACCTCCAGGACCACCGAGTCCCCCCTGTGCCCGATGCCCACCTTACCCCCAGCCCAGAGCACCGAGTGCCACGGCCAGGCCTTCCCTGGACACCTCCAGGGCTGGGGGGACTCCAAACCTCCCCGGGCAGCCCCTTGCAGTGTTTAACAACCCTTTCCAGGGAGAAATTCCTCCTGCCCCTCCCCTGGCACAGCCTGAGGCCGTTCCCTCTCCTCCTGTCCCTGTTCCCTGGGAGCAGAGCCCGAACCCCCCCCCCGGCTCCCCCTCCTGTCAGGGATTGCAGAGCCAGAAGGTCCCCCCTGAGCCTCCTTTTCTCCAGGCTGAGCCCCCCCCAGCTCCCTCAGCCCCTCCTGCTGTTCCAGCCCCTTCCCAGCTCCGTTCCCAGCCCCTCAGTGTCTCTCCTGTTGAGGGCACAGCCCTCGAGGGGTCTCAGCAGGGCCAGCACAGGGGGACAGTCCCTGCCCTGGGCCTGTGCCCACACCGTGGCTGGCACAGCCTTGCCCTTCCTTGGCCTCCTTGCCCAGCTGGGCTCCTGTCCAGCCTCTGTCCCCAGCACCCCCAGGGCCTTTTCCACAGCAGCCACAGGACGAGGAGGTGACAGTCCCCAAATCTCACAGGTCTCCTGGCCAAGGAGGTGGGTTTGGGAAAGGGAATGGAACAAGTGGCAGGGAAATCCCAACGGGATCTCCTCTGTGTCCCTCCTGTGTCCCTCCTGTGTCCTTCTGTGTCCCTCTTATGTCCTTCTGAGTCCCCCCCGTGTCCTTCTGTGTCCCCCTCGTGTCCCCAGGGGGCTGTGGTGCTGCCTGGGAAGGGGATTTGCAGCGATTCCCCCTTTTCCATCACCCCAGGGATGTTCCCGCTGCCCCCACAGCTCCGAGCCGGGGGCTGTTCCCGAAGGATCCTGCCTGAGGTGTGAGTGAGGAAGAGGAGGGACAGACAAGGGCCCCGCTGTGGCAGCCGGGAGGGGAGGAGGAAGGCGCGGGCGGGATGGGGAAGGGTTGTCCGGGCGCGGGACAGAGCACGCAGCGAGTCGGGGAGCTGGGAAAGAGCTTTTATTGGGAGCGCGGGCTCGGGGTGTGAGAGGCGCGGGGAGCCCCGGGGCAGGGGCCGGGCCGGGCGGGTCGGGGGCTCGGCTCAGTTCTGGGCGATGACCTGGAAGGCAGAAAGGCGGCGGCTGAGCCGGCGGGGCCGGGGCGGGGCCGGGGAGCGGCGGGGGCCGAGCCCGGGCCGGGCCTTACGCTGTTGATCCAGGAGATGTAGGCGGAGACGCGCGTGAACACGGTGGGCTTGCGGGCCACGTTGCAGCCCTGGCTGGACACGAAGCTGGTGACGCCGTGCACCTGGTACTGGCCGTTGATGGCGCAGTGGAGGGGACCGCCAGAATCGCCCTGCGGGGAGAGGGGGCTGAGCCGGGACATGAAGGGGGTGCGGGGAGCCGGGGGCACAGAGAGGGGCTGGTGATCTGCTCGGGGGTCAGAGAGAGGTGGGTGATCTGATCCGGGGGTCAGAGAGAGGGTGGGGTGAGCCAGGGTGTGGGGGATGACAGGGTGGGGCAGAGCCAGGAGGCTGAGCCAGGGGGAAAGGGGGGTTCCTGGGGGGCTCCCACCGAGGGGCCGGGTTAGAGTTACCTGGGGGGGACACAGAGAGGATGTGGGGGGAGTGAGGGTGCTGGAGGTGCCTTGGTGGGGCACAGAGAGGGGTCAGCAATAACGGGGGTGCTGGAGGATTCCAGGAGGGCACAGAGAGGGGTCAGCAATAGCGGGGGTACCGGAGTGCCCAGGGGGGCACAGAGAGGGCTTGGCCATAGGCAGAGGTGCCCGGGTGCCCGGGGGTGCCCAGCCAGGAACGGGGCCATACCTGGCAGCCGGAGCGCACGCCGTCCCCGCCGGCACAGACCATGGTGTTCTTGACGGTGGAGCCCCAGTAGGACGAGCTGGAGCAGGTCTGGTAGTCCACGGTGGGCAGGTAGGCCTGCAGCAGGACGCTGGAGAGCTGCCCGTTGGCTGCACGGAGCCGGCCAGTGCCATCAGCACAACCTCGACCGCGTCCCGCGGGCCCCCGTCACCAAAGCACGGCCCAGAGCCCCCTCCCAGCCCCTTTGCCTCCCCCAAACTCCCCCTAAAGCCCGGCACGGCCCCACCCGGCCTCTGCACGCCCGGCTGGTCACCCGCGATGCCTTTGGGACGGGGCCAAGAGCTCCCAAAGCCTTTGTCCCCATCGCCCACGATTTGGGGGCGATTTGGGGGCGATTTGGGCGATCAGCATCGGTGGGGACCCGTGACTCACTGCGGGTGCGGCCCCAGCCCGTGATGCAGCAGGGTAGTTGTTGGGCAGGATGGTGCCCTCCTGGGGCAGCACGCCAGCTGCACGTAGCTGTTGAGGGTGGCGTAGCTGCCCAGGCCAGCAGTGGCTTGATGCCGTAGCTGCCGGGGAGGCAGAGGATGCTGCAGGGACCTCCCAAAGTGGCGGGCGGGCTCCTCCCCGAGCCTCCCCTCCCGCGGGCGTTACCTCCCGCGCGCTGTTGGCTATAGTAGGTGGATGATGATCCTGCTGACGCTGAAGACCTGCTCGCGGTCAATGCTGGCGCTCATCAGCTCCCCGCCACCACGCGAAGTTCAGGCTACTGGGGCAGGTGGAAAGCCCGGGCTCAGCTCCTGACAGGGGCTGGCCTCGGTTGGGAATGACACGGCAGGGCTGGAGCGAGGAGAGGACGCTCCCGGGGACGCAACTCGGAGCCCCCACGAGTGAAGGAGCCCCAAAGGCTCCCCTACGGTGGGCAGCCGGAGTTCCTCGGGGAAGAAGGTTTTTTTGGGAGAAAAGTTTTTTTCTGAGGGGAGGAGGGCGGTGGGCACTGACCTGGTGACGCAGTGGGCTGCTGTCATCACCTGTGTTCCTCGGATGAGGGAGCCCCGAAAGGTGCCAGCTGCCCCGGAGGAATACTGAGGGAGATCTGGGACAGGGGAAGGGGACACGGAGGGGGTTGGTGGGGGGTGAGCGGTGGTCCCGGGGCCGGGAGAGCCGCCACCCTGGGCGGGGCCGGGCAGCCCTGTCAGACCCACCTGGGAGGGCCAGGGCGTGAGCGTTCGGTGCCCCTGACCACGTGGCGCTGGGTGCTGCCGGAGCCGGCTCGGAGCAGCGCCCTGGGGACAGAGGCACGGGTCAGTAGCGCCTGGGGCTGAGGCTGGGGGCCGAGGCCGAAGGCTCCTGGGGAAGGACCTACTGCAGAGGGCGAGGGGCGGCGAGGAGCAGGAGCTGCGGCAGCATCGTGGTGGTCGTGCTGGGGCGCGGCGAAGGCGGCGGAGCGGGCTTGCGCGCGCGGCCGCTTTAACGGGGCCGGCCAGGAGGGGCGGGAAGGAAAGCAGGTGCCGCGGCCCCCCCGGGCGGCCTTGGAGCCTCTGCCAGAGCACACAGGGCCCCGGGGGCAAGGCCGGGGCGGCCCGGGCTCACCCGAGGGGCTCTGGGTCCGGGGACACCCCGAGTGCCCCCCTGGGTCTGGATTCTGACACCCCGAGTGCCCCCCCAGCTCTGAATCTCTGACACCCCCTGAGTGCCCCCCAGCTCTGGGTCCGGGGACACCCCGAGTGCCTCCCTGGGTCTGGATTCTGGGACACCCCGAGTGCCCCCCGGCTCTGAATCTCTGACACCCCCCAAGTGCCCCCCCGGGCTCTGGAGTCCGAGACACCCCGAGTGCCCCCAGTTCTGGATTGTGAAACCCCCCTAGTGCCCCCCGGGTCTGCACGAGTTTGTCCCAGTCTCAGCCCCCCCATCCCTGGGATGCTCCGGCTCCAGCTCATCCATGGGCTGGATTTGGGGGGTGGTCCCAAAGGGTTGGATCCAACACCTGAAGGTGCCACGTGGGGATGGAGAAGTGGAGGCAAACAAAGGGCACGACCTTCACCCCCTCCCCAAAGCCCCCAGCAGGGCCAGGGCTGGGGCAGGGGCCGGGCAGGGCCTCTTTATTTTGGGGACAAATGAAGCCCTGAGCGGGTTTGGAATAAACCCCAGGATTTTGGGGGCCAGAGCTGTGTCATTTTCCACCCCTTCAGCTCCCAGCTGGGGCTGTTTTGGGGGGAACCTTCGGCCCCACAGGTTCCCCCGCCCCAGGCCAACAGAACCCCCGGGATCCCAAAGCAGCTGCTGCAGTTCTGCCCTTATCTCCAAGGAAAACAGGAGATTTCCCAGGGAACACGATGATCTCCCCACCAGCTGGGTTTGTTTTCTCGGCACCCGGGGAGGGGCGGGAGCAAAGGGTCCCACCCAGGGACACCCAGACCCAAATGAACCCCCCCAAAACGGGACACAAAGGGCTTTGAACCCGCTTTTGGGGCTAAAGAGGTGGGATTTGGGGATTAAGGTGGGTTTTTTGGGGGTTGTTCCTGTGCAGGGCCGGGAGTTGCAGTGGGTGATCTTTGTGGGTCCCCACTGGATGTTCCAAGATCCTGTGATCCTTGTGGGTCCCTCCTAACTCGGGATATCCCACAATTCCATGATCCCAGAGGTTGAGGGAACACTTGGACACCACCCTTGGACATTGGGATTTGGGGGGTTTTGGGGGTTTGTCCTTTGCAGAACCAAGAGTTGACCTCGATCCTTGTGGGTCCTTTGTGACTCCGGGTATCCCACAATTCCATGTGGTCAAGGAATGTTTGGATAATGTCCCCAGATGTTGGGATTTTGGGGATTGGAGGCATTTTTGGGGCTGTCCTGGTCAAGGCCAAGAGTTACACTTGACGATTTTGTGAATCCCAAAAACGCTCTGGATGTTCTGCCCCTCACAGGGACTCCCCAACCCCAAATGAACCCCCCCAACTGTGACACAAAAGGGTTTTAAACCCATTTTTGGGCTGCAAAGGGGAGTTTTCAGGGCAAGAAGAGGGAGGGAACTGAGATCAGGGGAGTGAGGGGAGCTGGGAAGAGCTGGAGATGGGATCTGTGTAAAATAAATCATCTCTTTATTTGAGGTCCCCTATCCAAGGCAGCTTTTCCCTTCCCCCTCCTCCTTTGTGTCGCTTTCCAGGAGGATTTTCCTCCCCCTCCAAATGAAATGGCAGCGACAGGAGTTGGGCTTGACAAAAAAAACCAAAAAAAACACCCAGAAATCCAGGGCTAGAGGAGATCTGAGGAGATCCGTGGTGCCATCCAGGGGAAAAACCAAAATCCTCCTCCGGATCAGCCCGAGGGGAATCGCCCCCCAGGAATCACCGTTATTATATAATAACAACAACTATAAACACCCCCAAAAATAAAAATTCAACCAGTTTTCCCTCCCTTTATCCAACGGGATTCCTAAGGCACAGATCCCAGTTCCTCCCCTTGGCCGCCTGGGGCCACCACAAGCCGCGATCGTCACCTCCCTCCTCCTCCTCCTCCTCTTCCTCCTCCTCCTCCTCCTCCCTCCTCCTCCTCCTCCTCCCGAGAGAGCATCCGCGGGGTCCATCCGAGGAGCATCCTGAGGGTCCTGAGGAGCATCCGAGGTCCCGAGGAGCATCTGAGGTCCCCGAGAGCATCCGCGGGTCCCGAGGAGCATCCACAGGTTCCGAGGAGCATCCGCGGGTCCCGAGGAGCATCTGAGGGTCCCGAGGAGCATCTGAAGGTCCCGAGGAGCATCTGAGGGTCCCGAGGAGCATCCGCAGGTCCCGAGGAGCATCCACAGGTCCCGAGGAGCATCCGCAGGTTCTGAGGAGCATCCGCAGGTTCTGAGGAGCATCTGAGGGTCCCGAGGAGCATCCGCGGGTGCCTCCACAAGTGCCACGTTCGTGGGGGTGTTCCCCGGGCTCGACTCCCTGGAATTCCCCGCTCCAAAAGGCACAGGGTTCAGTTCAAGGCAACCGGTGAAAATGCAGCATATTTAAGGCTTTTGCTTCTTAAATTAAAGCAACCCAGGAAGGTTTGGTCGGTTTTGGGAGGGGGGGTGGTTTGGTGGGTTTTTTTTGTGGTTTCTGGTTTTTCCTGAGCGTGGTCGCGGCGTGGGGGGCTCAGCCCGGGTTTAGGTGAAGGACCAGAGCTGGTGGGGGTCCGTGAGGTCGCAGGGAACCAGCGCCGGGTGCTTCCCTCGCGCCGTCAGACACGTCCCCGAGGCCAGGTTCTTAATGAGCCGGTTCTGCCCCCACCCCCCCAAAAAAACCAACAAAAAAGAGCGATCAGAGCCATTAAAACCGGTCGGGATCAAAGAGAAGGGGTGCGATGCGAGCGGAGGGGGAAGGGATGATCCCCAAGGTGGGGTGGGGGGGATTCCCGGGATGGAGCTAGGGGGTTGAAGAATTCCCGGGCTGTCCCCTCTCACCTGTGCCAGCTCCCACTCCTCGTTGGCGGCCACCCGGTCGGGCTTCCCTCGGAATTGGCACTCGCCCAGCTCGGCCGTGCCCGGCCCCGCCCGCAGGCACAGCTCCCTGCCGATGTTGTGCCGCAGCTCCCGCTGGCTCGTGTACTCGAAATACTGCGGGGGGAGAACGGGGACGCATCGCCAAAATCACCCCCTAACGCCGGGGGGATAAAGGGAGGGAATGGGGGGGCTCGGGGGGCGCCCACCTGGTTGCCCCCCAGCCCGTGGCAGGGGTACATGATGAGGGGTTTGCCCCCGTGGTTGTTCTCGCCGACGTCCAGGCAGCTCTTGGTGGCCTCGTTTTTTATCTGCTGGGAGGGAGGGAACGGATGGAAAAAGGAGGAAGAAGGGGGGGAAAAGGGGAGGAAGAAGGGGGAAAAGGGAGGAAGAAGGGGGAAAGGGAGGAAGAAGGGGGAAAAGGAGGAAGAAGGGGGAAAAGGGGGAAGAAGGGGGAAAGGGAGAGAGAAGGGAGGGAAAAGGAGGAAGAAGGGGGAAAGGGGAGGAAGAAGGGGGAAAAGGAGAGGAAGAAGGGGAAAAAGAGGAAGAAGGAGGAAAAGGAGGAAGAAGGAGGAAGGAGGAAGAAGGGGAAAGAAGAGGGAAAAGGGGAGGAAGGAAGGGAGGAAAAGGAGGAAGGAGGAAGAGGAAAAGGAGGAGGAAAAGGGGGAAAGAGGGAGGAGAAAGGGGAGGAAGAAGAGGGAAAAAGGGGAGGAAGAAGGGGGAAAAAGGAGGGAAAGGGAGGAAAAGGGGAAGAAGGGGAAAAGGGGAGGAAAAGGAGAGGAGGAAGAAGGAAGAGGAGGAAAAGGAGGAAAAGGGGAGGGAAGAAGGAGGGAAAAGGAGGAGAAGGAGGAAAGGGGAGGAAAAGGAGGAGGAAAAGGGGAGGAAGAAGGAGGGAAAGAGGGGAAGAGGAAGGGGAAAAGGGGAGGAAGAAGGGGGAAAAAGGGGAGGAAGAAGGGGGAAAAAGGGGAGGAGGAAGGGGGGAAAAGGGGAGGAAGAAGGGGGGGAAAAGGGGAGGAAGAAGGGAGGGAAAAGGGGAGGAAAAGGGAGGGAAAAGGGGAGGAGGAAGGGGGGGAAATGGGAGGAGGAGAAAAGAAGAGGAAGGAGGGAAAGAGGAGGAAGGAGGGAAAGAGGAGGAAGGGGGAGAAGGGGAGAAAGGGGAGGAAAGAGGAGGAAGAGGAGGAAGAGGGAATAAAAAGGAGGAAGAGGGAATAAAGAGGAGGAAGAGGGAGAAGGGGAAAAAGAGAGGGAAGAGAAAGAAGGGGGAAAAAGAAGAAGGGAAGAAGGAAAAAGGGGAGGAAGAAGGAGAGAAAAGCAGAGGAAGAAGGAGGGGGGAAAAGAGAGGAAGAAGAGGAAGGAGGTGGTGGGAAGAGAAGGAAGGTGGGAATAAAGAGGAGAAAAGAGAATGGGAAAGGGAGAGAAGGGGAAAGAGGGGGCAGAGAGAAGAAAAACGACGGGCTCAGAGGAGCGGGACAGGCCCCGCCCCGGGTTTGGGCTCTGGTTATCCCTGTGCAAACCCGGGCTGGGAGCGCCGGGTCCCGGATCCCGGATCCTTTCCAGGACACGAGGAACACCCGGGCCAACCCCCCGAGGCAAAGGAAAAGCCGCCCGGGCCGAGGTTCCAGGAAATAAAGGTGAATTCAAAGCTGGGCGGGAGCCAGAACCCCGGCTGTCACCTCGCTGTCACCTCTCTGTCACCTGTCCCGCGGCCCCGGCTGAGGGAGGGGGAGCAGAGCCGGGACACAACGCCCGGCTCCGGGGGAAAAGGGGATTTTTTTGGCAGCTCCGTCCTCAGGGATGGGATTGGAGCTTCATATTCTGTGTCCAGATTCCTTAGGGATGGGATTGGAGCTCCAAATCCTCTCTGTCCCCACGTTCCTTAGGGATGGGATTGGAGCTTCACATCTGCCTGTCTCCCGATTTCTTTAGGGATGGAATTGAAGCTCCTCATCCTGCCCGTTCCCAGATTCCTCAGGGATGGAGCTGGATCTCCATCCTGCCCATCCCCACATTCCTCAGCTCCATCCTGCCCATCCCCACATTCCTCAGGGATGCAGCTGGATCTCCATCCTGCCCATTCCCAAATTCCTCAGGGATGGAGCTGGATCTCCATCCTGCCCATTCCCACATTCCTCAGGGATGCAGCTGGATCTCCATCCTGCCCATTCCCACATTCCTCAGGGATGGAGCTGGATCTCCATCCTGCCCATCCCCACATTCCTCAGGGATGCAGCTGGATCTCCATCCTGCCCATTCCCAAATTCCTCAGCTCCATCCTGCCCATTCCCAAATTCCTCAGCTCCATCCTGCCCATCCCCAAATTCCTCAAGGATGCAGCTGGATCTCCATCCTGCCCATTCCCAAATTCCTCAGCTCCATCCTGCCCATTCCCACATTCCTCAGGGATGGAGCTGGATCTCCATCCTGCCCATCCCCACATTCCTCAGGGATGGAGCTGGATCTCCATCCTGCCCTTGCCCATCCCCAAATTCCTCAGGGATGCAGCTGGATCTCCATCCTGCCCATTCCCAAATTCCTCAGGGATGGAGCTGGATCTCCATCCTGCCCATTCCCAAATTCCTCAGCTCCATCCTGCCCACTCCCATTCCTCCCACCAATTCCTCAGGGATGCAGCTGGATCTCCATCCTCCCCATCCCCACATTCCTCAGGGATGGAACTGGAGCTGTCCCGCCCCCCAGCCCAATTTTCCAAGCCCACCCACCCCTCACCGTGACGTCATTCGGTGCTGGGGGAACTTTCCGTCTCATTTAACCCAAATTTACCCCAAAACCGCGTCCCCCGCGGGTTCCCCCACCCGAGAACTCCCCCAAAAAAACCTGGAATCCCCCTGCGGGATTCCAGCCCAGCCGGAGCCGGGTTTGGTGACAACCACGGGGACAACCACGGCTGTCCCCAACCCCCCCACGGGGACTTCCCGGCTTTGTTGGTCATTCCCGGCTGGAATTCTCCGCCCTTCCCGGCACTCACCGCCCCGTAGAAGGTGGGGGTGAGGTCGGGGACGAACATCTCGGGGTAAACGTTCTGCAGGTACCACGTGAAGTTCCGGCAGCGCAGCCGCTCCCGCAGCCGGAGCCGCTCGGTGATGTCACCGAACGATTTCTGTTGGGGCAGAAAATTGAGGAAAATAAACCCCACAAAAATCCTTTATCCCCCCCAAGATGAGGGTCAGCCCAGTTTCTCCATCGCCCCTCGTGGCACCCCAAGAGCTCGAGGTGTTTCGGTGTTGTAAAAACCCCATTTCTATAAAAATCCGTTCTATGGACAGCCACGGAAATAAATCAAAGCGACCCAAAACTTTCTCCACTCGTCCCTCCAGCTGTGGCACTCCAAGAGCTCAGGGGTGTTTCGGTGTTGTAAAAAAAATTTATAAAAATAATCGATGTTCTATGGACATATGTAAAAAAAATCAAGTGTTCTATGGACGGAGCCACAGGAGAAAACTTACAACCTCTTAAATTCAAGCTGAGGGTCAGCCCAGTTTCTCCATCACCCCTCGTGTTAAATTAATTAAATTAAAGTGATCTCTGAAACCAGCAAAGAAAAAAACCCCAAAACCTCTTCCCCCACCAAGCTGAGGGTCAGCCCAGTTTCTCCATCGCCCCTCGTGGCACCCCAAGGGCTCGGGGGTGTTTTGGTGTTGTAAAAAAACCCCCATTTCTATAAAAAAATCCATGTTCTATGGACGGAGCCACGGGAGAAAATTAAATTAAAGTGACCTCTGCTGCTCCCCAAGAGCTCGGAGGGGTTTTGGGACGAGAGGTTTGGTGTTGTAAAAAAAAAAAACCACAAACAAACAAAAAAACCCCACCGATTCATTTTAATGAAAAAAATCGTTGGTTTTTTTTTAACTAGAAAATGTTCCTGTCAAACATTTAAAAAAACCCAAAAAACCAAAACAAAATAAAAAAACACAACCATTTTAATGAAAAAAAAAAATCGTTGTTTTTTTTCCCGCTAGAAAACGCTCCGGCCCAACATTTTAAAATAAATAAATAAATAAATAAATAAATAAATAAATAAATAAATAAATAAGCTTTAATTAAAGCTAATTATTAAAAAAATAATTAAAAATAACTTAAAAATGATTTAAAAAAAAAGCTTTTTGGCTACCTTCAGCATGCGGGGTGGGGGGGGTTCACCCCCTCCCATCCCATCCCACCTCTCCCAGTAGAACCAGTAACCCCTCCCAGCAGAACCAGTAACCCCTCCCAGCAGAACCAGTAACCCTTCCCCAGCACCTCTCTGGCCATCTGCGCGGCCTGCTGGTTCCGGCGGTAGAAAATCTCCTTGTAATCGTCCATCCACACCTCGGCCAGGCGCACCTGGTTCCTGGAGATCACCTGCGTGCCCCGCGGGAAGCTGTGCGGGCTCTTGGAGCGGAACACGTGGCCCACCACGGAGCAGGGGATGATTTCCACCTGCCCCCCGCACTGCCAGACCTGCGGGAGACACCCCACGTCTCGAATTAATAATAATTAATAATAGTTAATTCACCCCCACATCTCTAATTAATAATAATTAATTTTTGGTTGGGCAGATTTGATGGGATAATTAATATATTGAATTATTTCCACCTGCCCCCCGCACTGCCAGACCTGCGGGAGAGACCCCACGTCTCGAATTAATAATAATTAATAATGATTAATTCACCCCCGCGTCTCTAATTAATAACAATTAATTATTGTATAGGCAGCTTTACATGGGACTTGATATATTGAATTATTTCCACCTGCCCCCCGCACTGCCAGACCTGCGGGAGGGACCCGGAGCTCGAATTAATAATGATTAATAATGATTAATTCACCCCCACCTCTCTAATTAATAATAATTAATTATTGTATAGGCAGCTTTAAATGGGATGGCTTCAATATATTGAATTATTTCCACCTGCCCCCCGCGCACTGCCAGACCTGCGGGAGGGACCCCACATCTCTAATTAATAATGATTAATAATAATTAATTCACCCCCACCTCTCTAAGTAATAATAATTAATTCTTGGTTGGGCAGATTTGATGGGATAATTAATATATTGAATTATTTCCACCTGCCCCCCGCACTGCCAGACCTGCGGGAGGGACCCCGGAGCTCGAATTAATAATGATTAATAATAATTAATTCACCCCCGCGTCTCTAATTAATCGTAATTAATTCTTGGATCGACAGCTTTAAATGGGATGGGTTCGATATATTGAATTATTTCCACCTGCCCCCCGCACTGCCAGACCTGCGGGAGGGACCCCACGTCTCTAATTAATAACAATTAATTAATAGCAATTAATATATTGAATTATCTCCACCTGCCCCCCGCACTGCCAGACCTGCGGGAGGGACCCCACGTCTCTAATTAATAGCAATTAATTAATAGCAATTAATATATTGAATTATCTCCACCTGCCCCCGCACTGCGCAGACCTTGAGGGTCAGCCCAATTTCTTCCATCGTCCCTCGTGGCACTCCAAGAGCTCGGGGGTGTTTCGGTGTTGTAAAAAATAAAAAAAAATTTATATATATATATATAAAAAAAATCGATGTTCTATGGACGGAGCCACGGGAGAAAATTAAATTAAATTAAATTAAATTAATTAAATTAAAGTGATCTCTGAAAACAGCAAAGAAAAAAACCCCAAAACCTCTTCCCCCCCAAGCTGAGGGTCAGCCCAGTTTCTCCATCGTCCCTCGCAGCACCCCAAGGGCTCGGGGGTGTTTTGGTGTTGTAAAAAAACCCCCATTTTTATAAAAAAATCGATGTTCTGTGGACGAAGCCACGGGAGAAAATTAAATTAAAGTGACCTCTGCTGCTCCCCAAGAGCTCGGAGGGGTTTTGGGACGAGAGGTTTGGTGTTGTAAAAAAAAAAAAACCACAAACAAACAAAAAAACCCCACCAATTCATTTTAATGAAAAAAATCGTTGGTTTTTTTTTAACTAGAAAATGTTCCTGTCAAACATTTAAAAAAACCCAAAAAACCAAAACAAAATAAAAAAACACAACCATTTTAATGGAAAAAAAAAAAATCGTTGTTTTTTTCCGCTAGAAAACGCTCCGGCCAAACATTAAAATAAATAAATAAATAAATAAATGAATGAATGAATAAATAAATAAATTAGCTTTAATTAAAGCTAATTATTAAAAATTAATTAAAAATAAATTAAAAATGATTTAAAAAAATAGCTTTTTGGCTACCTTCAGCATGCGGTGGGGGGGGGTTCACCCCCTCCCATCCCATCCCACCTCTCCCAGTAGAACCAGTAACCCCTCCCAGCAGAACCAGTAACCCCTCCCAGCAGAACCAGTAACCCTTCCCCAGCACCTCTCTGGCCATCTGCGCGGCCTGCTGGTTCCGGCGGTAGAAAATCTCCTTGTAATCGTCCATCCACACCTCGGCCAGGCGCACCTGGTTCCTGGAGATCACCTGCGTGCCCCGCGGGAAGCTGTGCGGGCTCTTGGAGCGGAACACGTGGCCCACCACGGAGCAGGGGATGATTTCCACCTGCCCCCCGCACTGCCAGACCTGCGGGAGACACCCGGAGCTCGAATTAATAATAATTAATAATAATTAATTCACCCCCACCTCTCTAAGTAATAATAATTAATTCTTGGTTGGGCAGATTTGATGGGATAATTAATATATTGAATTATTTCCACCTGCCCCCCGCACTGCCAGACCTGCGGGAGAGACCCCGGAGCTCGAATTAATAACAATTAATAATAATTAATTCACCTCCACGTCTCTAATTATTCGTAATTAATTATTGGATAGGCAGCTTTAAATGGGAACAATTAATATACTGAATTATCTCCACCTGCCCCCCGCACTGCCAGACCTGTGGAAGGGACCCCACGTCTCTAATTAATAGCAATTAATTAATAGCAATTAATATATTGAATTATTTCCACCTGCCCCCCGCACTGCCAGACCTGCGGGAGGGACCCCACGTCTCTAATTAATAGCAATTAATTAATAGCAATTAATATACTGAATTATCTCCACCTGCCCCCCGCACTGCCAGACCTGCGGGAGGGACCCCACGTCTCTAATTAATAACAATTAATTAATAGCAATTAATATATTGAATTATCTCCACCTGCCCCCCGCACTGCCAGACCTGCGGCACGGTAATAATCCGATTAATAATTAATTATTATTATGGGATAATTAATATATTGAATTATTTCCACCTGCCCCCCGCACTGCCAGACCTGCGGGAGGGACCCCGGAGCTCGAATTAATAATGATTAATAATGATTAATAATAATTAATTCATCCCCACGTCTCTAATTAATAATAATTAATTATTGTATAGGCAGCTTTAAATGGGATGGCTTCGATATATTGAATTATTTCCACCTGCCCCCCGCACTGCCAGACCTGCGGGAGGGACCCCACGTCTCTAATTAATAACAATTAATTAATAGCAATTAATATATTGAATTATTTCCACCTGCCCCCCGCACTGCCAGACCTGCGGGAGAGACCCCACATCTCTAATTAATAATGATTAATTCACCCCCACCTCTCTAATTAATAATAATTAATTCTTGGTTGGGCAGATTTGATGGGATAATTAATATATTGAATTATCTCCACCTGCCCCCCGCACTGCCAGACCTGCGGGAGAGACCCCGGAGCTCGAATTAATAATGATTAATAATGATTAATTCACCCCCACATCTCTAATTAATAATAATTAATTCTTGGTTGGGCAGATTTGATGGGATAATTAATATACTGAATTATTTCCACCTGCCCCCCGCACTGCCAGACCTGCGGGAGAGACCCCGGAGCTCGAATTAATAATGATTAATTCACCCCCACATCTCTAATTAATAATTATTTCTTTAAATGGGATAATTAATATACTGAATTATCCCGTCCCGTGCTGTGCCAACCGGCGGTTTTAGGGTTTATGTTTTTTGAGTAGGTGGTTCTAATTAGGATATTTGGGGTTATGGTTTGTGGTGGTAATAATGATAATAATAATAATAATAATAATAATAACAATAATAATAATAATAATAGTAATAAATATAATAGATATAAGAATAAATTGAATAAATAAATACTAATAAATATAATAAATATACTAAATAAAAAATAATTAAATATAATAAATATAAGAATAAATATAATGAATAAAAATAAATATAATAAATACACAAAAGAAATAATAAATATATGATATATAATTAAAATAAATACAATAAATAACAAATAAATTAAATAAATAAATATTAAATAAAATAAATATAATCATAAAATAAATAACGATTGTTATTTTTAAAATAATGAATTAATAATTTTTTTAATGGTTTAAAAAAATAAATCGGCTTTTGTAAATAATCTCACGCTGCCAATATTTAACAACCCACGGGGGCCAAAAGGGCTAAAATCGCTGCTCTGCGATCCCTCAAATTTAAACCCTTTAAACTCTCCCCAAACCCTCACCCTGAAGGACATTTCCACCTTCTCCCCGTCCCCAAACCCTCACCCTGAAGGACATTTCCACGTTCTCCCCTCCCCAAATCTCCATCTGGTCGTCGTAGGAGCCGATGTGCTCGAAGTAGGACCTGGAGATGGCGAAGAGGCCACCCGCGAAGGTCGGGGACCTGCGTGGGGACCCAAAAAAAGAGTTAAAATAATTAAAAAAAAAGGGCAGGAATCTGAATTTTGGGACACGGAAAATTTGGGTGTCATCCGAAAAAATTGGGGTTTGGTGGCCGGGTCAGCTGGGAGGGGACAGAGGGGACAGCAAGGCTTGGACTCGAAAGGGAAAAGGGAAAACCCTTCCCAAAAAAAAGAGGGGGAAAGGTCCGAGCTCTCTGCCCCGTCCCCTCCTCCCAAATCCCTTCGTCTTTCCCGATTAAACTCGCTTTTAATTGGGAAAAAAAAAAGAATTCCAAAGGATTTTTTGGGCTGATGGAGACGAGACAGAGCCGGGAGAGACACCAGGAGGGTAAAAAAGGGAGGAAAAAGGGACTTTATTGGGACGGGGAACCTCTCGCGGGTGGGAGAGGTGGGAAAACCACTCGGGGTTGTTTTTTTTTCTCTGCGTGTCAAACAGAGGGATAACAAGGGGGAAAACAGCGATTTTTGGGAAAAGGAGGAAAATGAAGGGGATAAAAGTCCCTCCGTGCTGGGATTCTTGATGGGAAGGTCTCATTTTTCCCCTCAAGGGGATAACTTTACTGGGAAGGGGCAGCATCACCCATCAGGAGGCACCAAAAACGAGGGGAAAACACCGATTTTTGGAAAAAGGAGCAAAATGAAGAGGATAAAACCCCCCTCCGGCGCTGCTCTCACTTGATGGGGAAGGTCTCATCCTTCCCCCAGGGGAAAACTTTACTGGGAAGGGGCAGCATCACCCACTGGGAGGCACCAAAAACGAGGGGAAAACACCGATTTTTGGGAAAAGGAGCAAACCCAAACGGATAAAAACCCCCGTCCCGTGCTGTTCTTACTTGATGGGGAATCAAGGGATGGGTCTCACCCTTCCCCCAAGGGGAAAACTTTACTGGGAAGGGGCAGCACCGCCCACAGGGAGGCACCAAAAACGAGGGGAAAACACCGATTTTTGGGAAAAGGAGGAAAACGAAGAGGATAAAAGTCCCTCCGTGCTGGGATTCTTGATGGGGAAGGTCTCATTTTTCCCCCCAAGGGGATAACTCTACTGGGAAAGGGAAGCATCGCCCACCAGGAGGCATCAAAAACGAGGGGAAAACACCGATTTTTGGGAAAAGGAGGAAAACGAAGAGGATAAAAGTCCCTCCGTGCTGGGATTGCTTGTTGGGGAAGGTTTCATCCATCCTCCAGGAGAAAACTGCACTGGGAAGGGGCAGCACCGCCCACCGGGAGGCACCAAAAACGAGGGAAAAACACCGATTTTCGGGAAAAGGAGCAAAATGAAGAGGATAAAAATCCCCCTCCGGTGCTGCTCTTACTTGATGGGGAATCAAGGGATGGGTCTCACCCTTCCCCCAGGGGAAAACTTTACTGGGAAGGGGCAGCATCACCCACCAGGAGGCACCAAAAACGAGGGAAAAACACCGATTTTTGGGAAAAGGAGCAAAACGAAGAGGATAAAGGTCCCTCCGTGCTGGGATTCTTGATGGGGAAGGTCTCATTTTTCCCCCCGAGGGGATAACTCCACTGGGAAAGGGCAGCATCACCCACCAGGAGGCACCAAAAACGAGGGGAAAACCACCGATTTTTGGGAAAAGGAGGAAAACGAAAAGGATAAAGGTCCCTCCGTGCTGGGATTCTTGATGGAGAAGGTCTCATCCTTCCCTAGGGGGAAAACTACACTGGGAAGGGGCAGCATCACCCACGGGGGAGGCACCAAAAACGAGGGGAAAAACCACCGATTTTTTGGGAAAAGGAGTAAAACGAAGCGGATAAAAATCCCCCTCCCGTTCTGCTCTCACTTGATGGGGAAGGTCTCGTCCTTCCTGCGCTGCCTCTCCCGGGCCGGCACCACCTCCCAGCCGAAGGTCAGGCTCCAGTCGAAGTTGCCGCGGCTGTGCTGCTTGCCGTTCTGCACGGGCTTGGAGAACTCGAAGGTGTTGAGGTCGATGGTGGCGATGTCCGGGCTCACCACGGCCGTGGGTTCCTCGGCGATGCGCGACAGCAGCGGCTCCAGCCACCCGTGGAAACACTCGCCTGGGAACGCGCGGGGAAAGAAAGCGGGGGGCAGAGGGGGTAACCTCATCCCTCTGCCCCCCTCTTCAGCTCCCTGGGGGTCGTGGGGTGGGTGGGCGCTCACAGTGGGCGTCCAGGAAGGTGAGGACGTCCCCGCTGGCCACGCTGGCCCCGAGGAGCCGCGCCGTGATGAGCCCCTTGCGCTCCTTCTGCCGCACCACCCGCACGATCTGCAGCTGCTCCACGTAGCGCTCCAGCTCCTCCTTCAGGTACTCTGCGGTGGGGAGGGGGGCGGGGAGGAGAGGCCGCCGTCGGAGGGGGCAGGAGGCGGGTCCTGAGTCCCACGAGCCCACCCTGCTGCCCTCATCCCGTCCCAAACCATCCCATCCCATTCCATCCCCATCTCATCCCATCCCATCCCCTCCCAAACCATCCCATCCCATCCCATCCCATCAATCCCCTCCCCTCCCATCCCATTCTATCCCTCCCATCCCCATCCCATCCCATCCCATCCCATCCCATCCCATCAATCCCATCCCATCCATCCCATCTCCATCCCATCCCATCCCATCCCATCCCATCCCATCCATCCATCCATCCCATCCCATCCCATCCCATCCCATCCCATCCCACTCTGCTGCCCCGTCCCCATCCCATCCTGCTACTCCCATCCCCATCCCATCCCTCCCATCCAATCCCATCCCATCCGCTACTCCCATCCCATCCCATCCATCCCATCCCATCCCAGCCCATCCCATCTCCATCCCAAACCATCCCATCCCACTCTGCTGCCCCATCCCCATCCCAAACCATCCCATCCCATCCCATCCCATCCCATCCCGTCCCGTCCTTCCCATCCCATCCTATCCCATCCCATCCCATCCCATCAATCCCATCCCATCCCATCCCACCCCAGGAACTGCTCAGATCCTGCTCCTGCTCCCAGGTTTGGATTTGCAGGCAGGTGGAATGTCCTTCCCCCAAACCCGGGGGTGTTTTTGGCTTTAAACCAAAACTGGTTTGGTTGAATCGAGAGTGTTTTGGGCTAAATCGAGAGTGTTTTGGGCTGAATCGAGAGTGTTTTGGGCTGAATCGAGAGTGTTTTGGGCTGAATCGAGAGTGGTTTGGGCTGAATCGAGAGTGGTTTGGGCTGAATTGAGAGTGGTTTTGGCTGAATCGAGAGTGGTTTTGGTTGAATCGAGAGTGGTTTTGGGCTGAATCGAGAGGGGGTTTGGCTGAATCGAGAGGGGTTTTGGCTGAATCGAGAGTGTTTTGGGGTAAATCGAGACTGGTTTTGGCCAAAGAGAGTTTTACAAAGGAACCACCCACCCCCTTCCCGTCTAATCCCCCTCTGGAGAGGGATCAGGGGAGGGATCAGGGGAGGGATCAGGGGAGGGATCAGGGGAGGGGGTCACGCCCCTGTGGCTGAAGCGTCACCGAGGGCAGGGACACACACGGAAACTGGGGTGTTTTTTGGCAGCCACGAGCTGGGAACGGCCAAGTGAGAGCCGGGACCCCCAGAAACCCATCCAGGGAAGGGACCCCGAGTCCCACCCGTGTCCCCAGCACGGCGGGAGCCAAACCCGAGGGCCACAAAGCCCTTCAGGCTCCTCGGGAAGGGGGAAGTTCTCTGGGACGAGGGCAGAGTCCGCTCCTCCCGCTCCCTGCCCTGCCCCCGGTGGTTAATTAATTAGCCCCGGGCGTAATTCACGGGGTTAATTAGCCCCGGGAGCGGCTGCCGAGGGTTTGAGAGTGACCGAGGTGTTTGTGGGATCTGGGTTAGGAGCGTTGCATCCCTCTGGTCCCCGAATTCCACCACAGTTCCCACTTCCCCTCACAGCTCCCACGTCCCACCATCCCTCTGACCCCAAATCCCACCATGGCTCCTGTACCCCATCACAGCTCCCACATCCCACCCTCCCTTTCACTCCACCTCCCACCAGAGCTCCTGCATCCCTCTGACCCCACATCCCTCTGACCCCACATCCCACCATCCCTCTGACCCCACATCCCTCTGACCCCACATCCCACCATCCCTCTGACCCACATCCCACCATCCCTCTGCCATCCTACATCCTCTGATCCCACATCCCATCATCCCTCTGACCCCACATCCCTCTGATCCCACATCCCACCATCCCTCTGACTCCACATCCCACCATCCCTCTGATCCCACATCCCTCTGATCCCACATCCCACCATCCCTCTGACCCACATCCCACCATCCCTCTGACTCCACATCCCACCATCCCTCTGATCCCACATCCCATCACAGCTCCTGCATCCCTCTGACCCCACATCCCACCAGGGCTCCTGCATCCCTCTGACTCCATATCCCTCTGACCCTACATCCCTCTGACTCCACATCCCACCATCCCTCTGATCCCACATCCCATCACAGCTCCCACCTCCCACCAGAGCTCCTGCATCCCTCTCACTCCACATCCCATCACAGCTCCCACCATCCCTCTGACCCCCATCCCACCAGAGTTCCTGCATCCCTCTCACCCCACATCCCTCTGACCTCACATCCCACCATCCCTCTCACCCCACATCCCCCCACAGCTCCTAAATCCCTCTGATTCCACCATCCCTTTCACCCCACATCCCACCAGAGCTCCTGCATCCCATCACATCTCCCACATCCCACCAGAGCTCCTGCATCCCTCTGACCCCACCATCCCTTTCACTCCACCTCCCACCAGAGCTCCTGCATCCCTCTGATTCCACTATCCCTTTCACCCCCCATCCCACCAGAGCTCCTGCATCCCTCTAACCCCATCACAGCTCCCACCATCCCTCTTGCCCCACATCTCACCAGAGCTCCTTCATCCCATCACACCTCCCACAACCCACCATCCCTCCACCCCACATCCCACCAGAGCTCCTGCATCCCCTCTGACCCCACATCCCACCATCCCTCTGACCCCACATCCCACCATCCCTCTGACCCCACATCCCACCATCCCTCTGACTCCACATCCCACCATCCCTCTGACCCCACATCCCACCATCCCTCTGACCCCACATCCCACCATCCCTCCGACCCCACATCCCACCACAGCTCCCACATCCCACCATCCCATCCCTCCACCCCCACATCCCACCATCCCATCCCTCCACCCCCACATCCCACCATCCCTCTGACCCCACATCCCACCACAGCTCCCACATCCCTCCATCCCCCCATCCCCCTCCCCTCCTCCCTCCTCCCCCGTTTCCCCTCCTCCCGCGCGTCCCGCTGGCGTCCCCACCGTCGGTGCTGGCGTCATCGACCAGGATGACCTCCCTGAGCAGGCTGGCGGGGGCCGAGTGCAGGACGCTGTAGACGGTCCTGAGCAGGGTGGACCAGGCCTCGTTGTGGAACACGATCACCACGCTGGTGCTGGGCAGGGGCGGGCAGCGCCTGAACTTCTGGTCGATGCACCTTGGGCACACACGGGGGGGGGTCGGTTTGGGGTTGGGGGGGGAAAGGGGAAGGACAGGAATGAGCCCTCGTGCCCCCCGACCCCTCTCGCCTCCATCTCCCTCCATCTCCTTCCATCTCCTTCCATCTCTCTCCATCTCCCTTCATCTCCTTTCATCTCCCTCCATCTCCCTCCATCTCCCTCCATCTCCTTCCATCTCCCTCCATCTCCCTCCGTCTCTCATCTCCCTCCGTCCTCCATCTCCTCCATCTCCCTCCATCTCCTTCCATCTCCTTCCATCTCTCTCCATCTCCCTCCATCTCCTTCCATCTCCTTCCATCTCCCTCCATCTCCCTCCGTCTCCCTCCATCTCCCTCCGTCTCCCTCCATCTCCCTCCATCTCCTTCCATCTCCCTCCATCTCCCTCCGTCTCCCTCCATCTCCCTCCGTCTCCCTCCATCTCCCTCCATCTCCCTCCATCTCCTTCCATCTCCCTCCATCTCCCTCCATCTCCATCTCCCCGCCCCGGCTCATCCCGGCTTTCATTCCCGTCGGTTTTGGTTGAGCGAGTCCCGCTCCCGAATTCCTCCTCTCCCTCCCTCCCTCCCTCCCTCCCTTTTGTCACCTGCCAAGCGCAGATAATCCATCCTGGGGGGGAAGGGAGGGGATCCCACACCAAGTTTGAGTTTCTCCTTCCTTTTCGAGGTTTTTCCCAGCCCGAATTCCCTCTCCCCTCCATCCCCCACCCCGGGAGAAGGCAGGGTTGTTAATCCCGCAGCGAGGAAATCCCTGGAGTTTCCCCCCTTTTCCCTCCTCCCTCCCCACCCCGCGCACCCAGCGGGGTCCGGGGCTGTTCCACTCGGCTAAGAAAAGAAAAAGTCCGATTATTGGAGCCGGCAGGAATAAAAAAGAGGGAGAGGGGAGGGAGAGGGGGGAGATCCCGGAGCCCCCGAGCAGGTACAGGAGACACAAAGAGCCCCTAAACCCGACCCCGAGGGGCCAGAATTGGGGGGAAATATTAATAAATATGTGTGGTTTTTGGGGGCTCTGTCGCTGTTCAGTCCCCTGCTGGTGCTGAGCCACCCCCTGGCCCCGGTGGGTTTTTATTTCCCCTTAAAGTTCCGGGATTAAGGGGAAAAAAAAAAATCAAAAGAGTGAGTGGATAAATTTTAAGGGATGAGGGGACAAGTTAAAGGGAATAGGGGCCAAAATCGAGGGAATAAGGGGGCCAAAATCGAGGGAATAGGGGCCAAAATCAATAATTCAAAGAAGGTTGAGGCCAAATCAAGGAACAGGGCCCAAATCGACTGAATAAAAGCCAAATTCAAGGGACTAAGGGGCCAAATCACATGACTGAATAAGGGGCCAAAATCAAGGGAACAGGGGCCCAAATCGACTGAATAAAGGGCCAAAATCAAGGGAATAAAGGGTAAAATCACAAGGGACAGAGGTAAAATCACAAGGGACAGAGGTAAAATCACAAGGGACAGAGGTAAAACCACAAGGAAAAAAGGCCAAACGGCGAGGAACGCGGGCCAGATTCCCGAGGAACGCGCTTTCCCTCTCTTTTCGGTATTTTTTTGGGTTTTTTTTGAGGGGGTTTGTTCCCTCTCTCACTCCGGCGGGCGGCTGTCGGGCCCCAGCGCTCTCTGCAGGGAGATGCGGTCGCTGGCGAAGGCGTTGAAGCAGTGCTTCTCGTAGCCCTTCTCCTTCTCCCGCTCCTCCTCGGGGCTCCAGCGCTCCTTCTTGAAGGCTTTGCCGTCGGCGCCGGGGCTGGCGGGGTCCTGGGGGGGCCTCTCGAGGAAGGGGCGCAGCTCGGCCGCGGTGTAAACGCCGGGAGGGCAGCGGGGGGAGCCGGGCAGGGGGTCCCGGGGGGGCTCCGGGGCTCCGATCTGCAGCTTGGGCATGGAGTCGCGCAGGTTGTGGACGGCGCCGAGCATCAGGTGGAGCACCTGGCCCTTGCCCTGCACGATGTTCCTCAGCCAGGGCTCCTCTCCCGCCTGGCCGCGCCCTGCAGAGTCCTTCTGGAGGATGAAGAGGAAGATGAGGAAGGCGGCGCCCGCCAGCGCCACCTTCAAAGGGCTGGAGCGGCGGCGGAAAAACCTCATTTTTGGTGTTTTTTTTAATTTTTTTTAAATTTTTTTTGGAGGGTTTTCCGTGCTGGAGGAGGGAGTTTCAGGGTCGCGTCATGGTGGGATGGTCTGCTCCGGGAAGCTGCGGGGAGGAGAAAGAGGCGAGGGTTAAATCAGGGGACAGGGTGGGCTTTGGGTGCACCCCCCCCGGGGGTTGAAATATTGTATTTATGATATAATAGAGGAATTAAAAAAATCATGTGTAAAATATAGGAATACAAGGATATGTTCTATATAAGATATAGGGATACAAGGAGGGATACAAGGATGTATTCTATATAAAATATAGGAATACAAGGATATATTTTATATAAAACATAGGGATAAAAGGATATATTCTATATAAAATATAGGAATACAAGGATATATTTTATATAAAACATAGGGATAAAAGGATATATTCTATATAAAATATAGGAATACAAGGATATACTCTATATAAAATATAGGAATACAAGGATATATTCTATATAAAATATACAAGGATATAATCTATATAAAAGAGAGGAATACAAGGATATATTCTATATAAAATAGAGGAATGCAAGGATATAGTCTATATAAGATATAGGAATACAAGGATATATTCTATATAAAATATACAAGGATATATCCTATATAAAATACAGGAATACAAGGATATATTTTATATAAAATAGAGGAATACAAGGATATATCCTATATAAAATACAGGAATACAATCAGCTCATGGAATGGTTTGAGGTGGAAAGCACCTGAAAGATCATCCAGTCCAACTCCCCTGCCACGGGCAGAGAACCTTCCACTAGACCAGCTTAAAAACACACCTAATAACACAACATCAGTGTAATATATATATTATAAATTAACAAAGATTAATATTAATATAGCAACGTACTAATGCAATACTAACAACGTGATGTCATATCAATAACGAGCGAATTTAAAGTTCACTCCCTGCGAGGCTTCACCTGCAAAATTCATTTCTCCCCCTCCTCCCCTCCCTCCCGGCCTTTCCAGCCGCTAAATCCACCCTAAAATTCAACCACCGGCAACGAGCCAGGGTGGTCAATAAAGGCTGGAAGATGTTCTGGATCCGGCCCCAAAAGTTTCTCTCCCCACTTCACCCCCCCTCGCCCTCCAGACCTAAAAACAGAGCCCCAAAATCTGCCGAAATTTTGGCCTCGGAGGGAAAAAAAAAAAAAAAAACCACCTTTCTTTCCCCGGGTGGTTTTTTTTTCCTGCCTGGGAAGGAAGGAAGGGAAACTCCTGGGAAGGAAGGAAAACTCCTGGGAAGGAAGAAGAAAACTCCCTCCTGGGAAGGAGATTCTGCCTCGCTGCGGGTCCGGCCGAGCTGGAGCAGCGGCTTCGGCCGCGCCGGCCCCCAAATTTTCCAGCGGGAAAGCTCCGAGCTTTCCCACCACCCCCTCCCCCCCCCAAAAATAAAAACCCCCTCCCGCGGCTCGTCCTTTGTGAGCCGCGGCCGCCCGAGCATGGCCGAGCACGGCGGGATCCATTCACCACCATCTCCTCCTCCTCCTCCTCCTCCTCCTCCACTTCGGGGTTCCCTCCGCCCCCCTTTCCCTTTATTCCTATTTTTTTCCCCTTTTTCTCCAGGGAAAGGGGCGGGGAGGGGCACCTGCCGCAACTTCAAGGGCGAGGAAGTTGGGGTCGAGCAGGAGGAGGAGAAGGAGAAGGAGGAGGGGAGGGGTCTCCTCCCCCCCTGGGGTCTCCCCTTTGAGCGCCGCGGGATCAAAGCCCGGGCCGGGCCACGCTCGGCTGCCAAGGGCGCCCCTTCCCCACCCGCCGGCTCCTCGGAAAAGCGGAATTAAGGGGAAAAAAAACAACCCCAAAAGCCGCATAAATCCCTTTGTGTTTTCTGCGCCGGCCTCGAAACTCGCGGTCGCCCCCGCGGCCCCACTCGGGGGGTTTCGTGGCGAGGGGGGAGAGGGGAAAAGAGAAGGATTTGGGGGAGAAAAAAACCCCAAAAAACAACAAAACCGTGTTGCCATCATCTCCGCATCCCTCCGGGTGTTCCCGCCGCGTGGCTAACGAAGCTCGTTAGGAGAGAGGTGCTAATTAAGCCCAGGGAGACGCTCAGGTGTTCAGGGAAAGGGGGGGAGGGGGGAGGGAGGGTCCCAGGTTTGGGCACAACTTGCTGGGGGTGGGGGGGCTCCAACCCCGACCCTAACCCTAACCCCGCTCCCTTCTCCGGAAGAGCCCCCAAAAAAGCAAAATATAAATTAAGAAGCCACTTCCCCCTTCCAAAAAAAAAGCCCAAGAGTTGGGGTGGATTTAGCGCAGGATTTGCACCGGGAGCTCCCGCGGATTCCCAGGGGATGCTGCTCCCTCCCATCCCGAAAACTCCGCGCTGTTGAGGGAAAAACGAGGCCCAAACGACCCCCAGGAGCCTCTCGGGTTCAGAAAAGGAGGAGGGGGGATAAAAAAAAAAAGGGTTTGGTGGGAATTTGAGGAGGGGCGGGAAGGAGGAACGGTGGGGAGAGGAGGAAATGGAGAGATCCTCGCGGGAAGGGGTGGGGGATAAAAGGGAAAATAAATAAAAAATGCGGGTAAAGGGACACGACGTGGCCACGGGCTCCACGTGGCAGCGAGACACGACGGGAGCTCGAGGGGGGGTGTGGGGGGGGATCGGGAAAAACCGGGAGCGAGCTGAGTTGGGAAGAGCCGAGAGTGGAATTTGGGAGACACGAGGAAAACAAAAAAAAAAGCCGGGATTGTTGCCGGTGTTTGTGGGAGGGGTCGGCCCCGGTGAGAGGAGAGGGAGGGGCTGGGGAGGGGAGGGTGTGAGGGGGGGTGCTGCCCTCATCCCTTGGGATGAGTCCGAAGGGTCCTGGAGCCGCTCCTGGGGTCGGGGAACCCCACGGGGTGTGGTGGGGGCTCTCCGGGGAGAGGGGCCGCGTCCTCCCACGGAGCCGCTGGGATGTCCTGGGGGCTCCATCCGACCCCCTTCCCGGGGGCTCCATCCCGGACCACCCGACCCTGCCTGGTGGAGGGGGCTCCACACTGGGACCCCTGGGACCCCTGGACCCCCTTCCCCTGGGGCGAGAGGGGGCTCCCCTTGGACCCCGAGATGAACCGGGACCCCTGGGACCCCAGACCCTCAGTGCAGAAGGGGGTCCGAAATGGGAACCCCAGACCCCTTCAGTGCAGAAGGGAGGTCCGAAATGGGGACCCCAGACCCCTTAGTGCAGAAGGGGGTCTGAAATGGGGACCCCAGACCCCTTAGTGCAGAAGGGGGTCCGAAATGGGGATCCCCAGACCCTCTTACTGTGGAGGGAGCTCCACACCGGGACCCCAGATCCCCTTCCCCGTGGACGAGGGCCCGCACCGGGACCCCCAGACCCCTTCCTACGGTGGGACGAGGGGATTCCACACCGAGACCCCTGGGACCCCTTTCTCCCGAGCCGAGGGCTCCACACCGGGACCCCTAGACCCCCAGACCCCCTTTCCCATGAGCGAGGATTCAGCACCGGGACCCTGGGACCCCAGACCCTCTCCCCGTGGGCGAGGGCTCCACACTGGGACCCCGACCCCTAGACCACCAGACCGCCTTTCCCGTGGGCGAGGGGTCCACATCAGGACACCTGGGACCCCAGACCCCCTTCCCCGTGGGCGAGGGTTCAGCACCGGACCCCAGACCCCCAAACCGCCTTCCCCGTGGGCGAGGGCTCCACACTGGGACCCCGGGACCCCCTAGACCTGCAGACCCTTTCCCCGTGGGGAGGTCCACTCAGGACTCCAGGACCCCCAGACTCCCTTTCCCCGTGGGCGAGGGTCCACTGGGACCCAGGACCCCTAGGACCCCCAGACCCCCTTCCCCTGGGCGAGGGATCCACACCAGGACCCCCGGGACCCCCAGCCCCCCTTCCCCGTGGGCGAGGGGTCCACACCGGGACCCCCCGTTCCTCACCGGCTCCACGGTGGGTGCGGGGCCTCAGGTGAGTCCGGGAGGGGCGGGGCCACCTCCGCTACCTGTCCGTCCTTCCCCCCGGTACAGGTGCAGGGGGCGGGGCCGCGGAGATCCCGGGAATGTCGCTGGGTCCTAGCGCCGCGATCCCGGGAATGTCGCCGGGTCCTAGCGCCGGCCGTGCCAGGGAACGGCGCTGGGTCCTAGTGCCGCCCGTTCCCGGGAATGTCACGGTCCTAGTGCCGCCCGTTCCCGGGAATATCGCCCGGTCCTGGTGCCAAAATCCGGGAATATCTCCCGGTTCTGGTGCTGCCCGTTCCTGGGAATATCGCCCGGTCCTGGTGCCAAAATCCCGGGAATATCGCCTGGTCCTAGTGCTGCCCGTTCCCGGGAATATCGCCCTGTCCTGGTGCCATCTGTTCCAGGGAATGTCGCCCGGTTTTAGTGCCAAAATCCCGGGAATATCGCCGGGTATTTGTGCCATCTGTTCCAGGGAATGTCGCCCGGTCCTGGTGCCAAAATCCCGAGAATATCGCTCGGTATTTGTGCCATCTGTTCCAGGGAATATAGCCCGGTCCTAGTGCCAAAATCCAGGGAAAATCGCCCGGTCCTAGTGCCAAAATCCCGGAAATATTGCCCGCTCCTGGTGCCAAAATCCCGGGAAAATCGCCCGGTCCTGCTGCCAAAATCCCGGGAATATCGCAGGGTATTTGTGCCATCTGTTCCAGGGAATATCTCCCGGTCCTAGTGCCAAAATCCCGGGAATATTGCCCGGTCCTAGTGCCAAAATCCCGGGAAAATCGCCCGGTCCTGGTGCCAAAATCCCGGGAATATCGCAGGGTATTTGTGCCATCTGTTCCCGGGAATATCGCCCGGTCTTAGTGCCAAAATCCCGGGAATATCGCCTGGTCCTAGTGCCAAAATCCCGGGAATATCGCCCGGTCCTGGTGCCGTCTGTTCCGGGGAATGTCGCCCGGTCCTAGTGCCAAAATCCCGGGAATATCGCCGGGTATTTGTACCATCTGTTCCAGGGAATATCGCCCGGTCCTAGTGCCAAAATCCAGGGAAAATCGCCCGGTCCTGGTGCCAAAATCCAGGGAAAATCGCCCGGTCCTGGTGCCAAAATCCCGGGAATATCGCCCGGTCCTAGTGCTGCCCGTTCCCGGGAATATCGCCCGGTCCTGGTGCCAAAATCCCGGGAATATCGCCTGGTCCTAGTGCCAAAATCCCGGGAATATCGCCGGGTATTTGTGCCATCTGTTCCAGGGAATGTCGCCCGGTCCTGGTGCCAAAATCCCGGGAATATCGCCCGGTGCTGGTGCCAAAATCCCGGGAATATTGCCCGGTCCTAGTGCCAAAATCCCGGGAATATCTGCCCGGTCCTAGTGCCAAAATCCAGGGAATATCGCCCGGTCCTAGTGCCAAAATCCCGGGAATATCTCCTGGTCCCGGTGCCGCCCTGGCCGTGCTGGGAGCCACAGGGACCTCTAGAGGTCATTGCACTGGGAACCAGTAAGGGACTGGCACTGGGGTGCTGGGACCAGTAAAGGCCTCTTACTGGGAGCACTGGGAACCCCATGACTATGACCCCGGGTGTGCTGGGACCAGTAAGGGCCTGGCACTGGGAGAACTGGGAGCCTCAGACACCTACAGAGGCCACAGAGTATGACAGGGTCAAACCAGTAAGGGCCTGTTACTGGGGGAACTGGGAGCCACCTGGGTGTGAGCCTGGGTATACTGGGACCAGTAAGGGCCTGGCACTGGTGAGAACTGGGAGGCTCTGCAGGCTCAGAGAAGCAGGAGGGTTTATTTTCCCCCAGGAGAGGATTTTCCTTTGGCTCTGGTACTTCCAGGAGGATTTGGGAGATTTGAGCTGGAGCAGAGCGGGGATTAATGGGGATTGTTGGGATGTGAGCTGGAATATTACCTGGATTACAGGGGGATAAAGCTCCAGGCCCGGAGCCATCAATTAAACACATCCCTATCAGGGTCTAAATTAAACCCCATCAGGGGCCAAATTAAACCCTCATCAGGGTCAGAATTAAACACACCCCTATCAGGGTCTAAATTAAACCCCCATCAGGGTCTAAATTAAACCCCCATCAGGGTCTGAATTAAACCCCCATGAGGGTCTAAATTAAACCCCCATCAGGGTCTAAATTAAACCCCCATCAGGCTCTGAATTAAACAAACCCCAATCAGGGTCCAAATTAAACCCCCATCAGGCTCTGAATTAAACAAACCCCAATCAGGGTCCAAATTAAACTCCCATCAGGGTCCAAATTAAACAAACCCCAATCAGGGTCCAAATTAAACCCCCATCAGGGTCAGAATTAAACAAACCCCGATCAGGGGCCAAATTAAACCCTCACCAGGGTCAGAATTAAACACACTCCCATCAGGGTCCAAATTTAACCCCCCATCAGGCTCCCAATTAAACAACCCCCCCATTTAGACTCCAAATTAAACAAACCCCCATCAGGGTCTGAATTAAAACCCCCTCAGGGTCTGAATTAAAACCCCTCAGGGTCTGAATTAAACCCCATAAGGGTCAAAATTAACCCCCCATCAGGGTCCAAATTTAAACCCCCACCAGTGTGCAAATAAAACAAACCCCCATCAGGGTCCAAATTAACCCCCCTCAGGCTCCCAATTAAACAACCCCCCCATTTAGACTCCAAATTAAACACATCCCCATCAGGGTCAAAATTAAACCCCCATCAGGCTCCAGATTAAACAAACCCCCATCAGACTCCGAATTAACCCCTCCAGGCTCCCAATTAAACAACCCACCCATTTAGACTCCAAATAAAACAAACCCCCATCAGGGTCCAAATTAAACCCCCATCAGGATCCAAATTAAACCCCTGTCAGGGTCAAAATTAAACCCCCACCAGTGTCCAAAATTAAGCAAACCCTGATCAGGGTCCAAATTAAACCCCCATCAGGCTCCAAATTAAACAAACCCCAATCAGGGGGTGCAAATTAAACCAACTCCCCATCACTCCAAAATTAAACAACCCTCCCTCCCCCCCCCATTTCTGCTCCCAATTAAATCCCCATCAGGCTCCAAATCAACCCAAAATCAACCAAAATCAATCCAAATAATCAACCCAATCAACCAAACCCTCCTCGAGGGCCAAATTAAAGTCGGTGGAGAAAGGGGTGGAGGGGGGAAAGGCAGCGACCCCCGCCCCCCACGAGCCCCCCCCGACCTCGGCGGGGCTTTTTTTGGGAGTTAAATTTAAATTGAAAGCCCTTTCGCTCTCACCCACTTCGTTTCCTGCCTCGGAGCTTTCGCTCTTCGCTCAAAAAAAAACCCCAAAGGGGAAATTCCCTCCCCCTCAACTCCCCCTCCAAAAAACCCTCTGCTGCCGGTGCCGGGCCCCCTTTATCTCGGCGGTAAATCTCTTTTTTTTGGGGTGGAAAAACGCGTTTTTGGTGTCCACGCGGGGCTGTGTCGTGGGTGGGATGGGGTGGAATTTTGGGGGTCCTAAACCCGCTCCCCATCCCAAGCTTCGAGTCCCGCCCGGAGCCTTGAAAATGGGATTTATTTATTTATTTTTTTTTTAATTTATTTATCAGCTCCCAAATCGCCTTTTTTTTTTAACTGGGAGATGAAAAAAAAAAAAACCCTCGTGGAGGCACCGATTTTTTTGGGTGGGAGGAGGAGGAGGAAGAGTCGAGTTCCGAAAAACCCCGCTGGGTGGGTGCGAAATCAGCCCCCAAACCCCTTCCACGACCCGATGAACGCTTAATAATTAAGGATTAATCATTAAAGATTAATAATTAAGGATTAATAATTAAGGATTTTAATCGGCGCCGTCCCACGGAGCTCCCGCGGAGTTCGCTGCTCCAGAAGGGGGAGAAAAACTTTTAGTTTGAAGATTTTAAAGGGTCGGAGGAACCCGAAAAGAGCCCAAATTGGGACGGAATTCCCACCCCGAGCAGGAAAAGCGAATTTTTTTTACCGCTCCCTCCTCGCTTTTTCCATCTCCGCCCTTCTCCATCCCCACGCGTGGAACCCGCGGGTCCCCCCACGGGAGGCTCCTCCAAAACGCCCGGATTTAAAATTTAAAATGCGAGGCCGGCAGGAAGCCGGAGCTCATTTGCATATTTAATTGACGGCTCGCGCGGCCACTTTTCGGGGATTTTTAATTTTATTTTATTTTTTTAAATGCGTGGGTTATTCCAGCGCTTTCCACGGGGCGGGAATGAGGTTCTGCTTCCGAAATAACCTTAATTAGGGGTTTTTTTTTTGGCAGGGAGTGGGTGGGGACAGCGTTGCTGCTGCCCAGGTGGGTGGGAGTTGATTTTTTTGGGAAAGATCCTTGCGGGTTCCAGGCAGGACAAGGGGAAAATGTGGATTTTTGGGGGGTTCTGATTAAGGGGAAGGGGGCTGGGGGGTTGTCCTGACACGAGAACTCTGGGAAAATGTGGATTTTTGGGGGGTTCTGATGAAGTGGAAGGGGCTGGGGGTCTGGGGGTGTCACTGGAGAGGATGATGGGGAGTCAGGGGGACATTGGGAGGCTCAGGGGATTTTGGGAGGGCTCAGGGGGTGTTGGGAGTGTCAGGAGGATTTTGGGGGGTCAGGGGGATGTTGGGAGAGTCAGAAGGATGTTGGGGGTCAGGGGATGTTGGGGGTCAGGGGATTTTGGGGGTGTCAGGGGATGTTGGGGGTCAGGGGATTTTGGGGATCAGGGGATTGCTAGGGGGCTCAGGGGGGATGTTGAGGAGGTCAGGAGGGTATTGCGGGTTCAGGGGATGTGGGGGGTCAGGGGGATTTTGGGAGGGTCAGGGGATTTTGGGGGGTCAGGGGTGTTGGGAGAGTCAGGAGGATGTTGGGGGTCAGGGGGATGTTGGGGGTTCAGGGAATTTTGGGGGTCAGGGGATTTTGGGGGGGTGAGGGGATTTGGGGGGGTCAGGGGGATTTTGGGGGTCAGGGGATACTGGGGGGGATGATGGGGGGCTGCTGGGGGGGAACTGGGGGTGATGCTGGAGGAGGCCAGGAGGGATACTGGGGGAATTCTGGGGTGATACTGGGGGGATCGTGGAGGGGGTACTGGGGGTGATACTGGGGGGATCAGGAGGATACTGGGAGGTGATACTGGGGGGGATCAGGGGGATACTGGGGGGAGGATCGAGGGGGTACTGGCAGGTGATACTGGGGGGATCAGGAGGATACTGGGAGGTGATACTGGGGGACTAGGGGATACTGGGGGATCAGGGGATACTGGAGGGGTCAGGGTGATCCTGGGGGTGATACTGGGGGATCAGGGGATACTGGGGGTGATACTGGGGGGATCAGTGGGGGATACTGGGGGGCATACTGGGGGAGGGGATCAGGGGGATACTGGGGGTGGTCAGGGGGATACTGGGGAGGATACTGGGGGTACTGGGGGTGATACTGGGGGACAGGGGATACTGGGAGGATCAGGGGATACTGGGGAGGGATCGGGATACTGGGGGTATACTGGGGTGTCAGGGGATACTGGGGGTGTCAGGGGGATACTGGGGGTGGTACTGGGGGATCAGAGGGTGATACTGGGGGACTGATCCTGGGGTGATACTGGGAGGATCAGGAGGGCTACTGGGGGATCAGGAGGATACTGGGGGGTGGGGGTACTGGGGGATCAGGGTGATACTGGGGGTGTCAGGGGGCTACTGGGGGTGGTACTGGGGGGATCAGGAGGATACTGGGGAGGGATCGGGGGGTTACTGGGGGGATACTGGGGGAGGGATCAGGGTGATACTGGGGCGGTGTCAGGGGGATACTGGGTGGGATCATGGTGATGTTGGGAGAGATCAGGGTGATATTGGGGGTGATACTGGGGTTCAGGGGTTACTGGGGGATACTGGAGGAGGATCAGGGTGATACTGGAGGGGATCAGGGGGCTACTGGGGAGGATCAGGAGGATACTGGGGAGGGATCGGGGGTACTGGGGGTGATACTGGGAGGATCAGGAGGATACTGGAGGTGATACTGGGGGGATCAGGGGATACTGGGGGGTGATACTGGGGGATCAGGGAGATACTGGGGGGGTGATGCTGGGGGATCAGGGAGGATACTGGGGGGATACTGAGGGAGGGATCAGGGTGATATTGGGGGTGATACTAGGGGGTGTCAGGGGCTACTGGGGAGGATCAGGAGGATACTGGGGGAGGATCGGGGGTACTGGGGGTGATACTGGGGGATCAGGGGATATTGGGGGATCAGGGGATATTGGGGATGATACTGGGGGTGTCAGGGGCTACTGGGGGTGGTACTGGGGGGATCAGGGTGATACTGGGGAGGAATTGGGGGATACTGGGGGTGATACTGAGGGGATCAGGGTGATACTGGAGGGGATCAGGGAGGATACTGGGGGATCAGGATGATACTGGGGGTGGTACTGGGGGATCAGGAGGATACTGGGGAGGGATCGGGGGATACTGGGAGGTGATACTGGGGGATCAGGGGATGACTGGGGACTGGGGGATACTAGGGGGGATACTGGGGGATCTGGGGATACTGGGGTCAGGAGATACTGGGGGGATCATGGAGGGTTACTGGGGGATACTGAGGAGGGATCAGGGTGATACTGAGGGGGATCAGGAGGATACTGGGGAGGGATCGGGGGTACTGGGGGTGATACTGGGGGATCTAGGGGGATACTGGGGGATCAGGATGATAGTGGGAGGTGATACTGGGGCATCAGGGGATACTGGGGAGAGGATCGGGGGTACTGGCAGGTGATACTGGGGGGATCAGGGGATACTGGGAGGGATCAGGAGGATACTGGGGAGGTGATACTGGGGGCATCAGGGGATACTGGGGGGGGATCGAGGGGGTACTGGCAGGTGATACTGGGGGATCAGGAGGATACTGGGGGTGGTACTGGGGGATCAGGAGGATACTGGGGAGGATGGGGGGGTGCTGGGGGTGATACTGGGGGATCAGGGGGATACTGGGGGGATCAGGATGATACTGGGAGGGATCGGGGGTACTGGGGGTGATGCTGGGGGTGTCAGGGGGCTACTGGGGTGGTACTGGGGGATCAGGAGGATACTGGGGAGGCATCGGGGGTACTGGGCGGTATACTGGGAGTGTCAGGGGGATACTGGGGGTGTCAGGGTGATACTGGGGGTGATACTGGGGGATCAGGATGATACTGGGGGTGATCCTGGGGGTGACGCCACCGGGTGTTGCCGAAGTGAGACCACCCCCCCGACCCCTCCCCCAATCCCTCCCCAATCCCTCCCCCAATCCCTCCTCCAATCCTCCCATCCCTCCTCCTCCTCCTCCTCCTCCTCCTCCTCCTCCTCCAGGAACGACCCCAGGAGCGCCCGGGGAAGGAAAAGGAAGGAAGGAAGGAAAAGGAAAGGAGGAATCTCGGCGGGGGAAGGGCGCGTTGGACACACCAGGAACCAGCTGAGCGAGCCAAGATTTTATTGGGATTCAGGGAAAAGCCGCAGAGGCCTCCAGGTTTTGGGGGGGAGGGGGATCCAGGGGTGCAGATTTCAGGGGGAGGGAATCACGGAATGATCACGGGAGGGGCGGATCCTGCTGGAGCTCGGGATGGGGAGCTGGGAAAGCCTCGATTGGCCCCTCAGTTGTACCTGGAAAACAAAGCCCAAAGGGCTGCAGGGAATGGAAACAGCCCCTAAAATCGGGATTGGGAGCCCGGAAAGGGATTTTCTGACAAGGAGAGGAATCGTTTTGAAGTGGGAAATATCCCTGGGGATGTGAATGATTCCAGCAGTTCTGATTCCCACCCCAAAGCTCCAATTCCCACCCCAAGGTCCTAATTCCCATCCCAAAGGTCCCATTCCCATCCCAAAGCTCCAATTCCCACCCCAAAGCTCCCATTCCCATCCCAAACATCCCATTCCCACCCCAAAGCTCCAATTCCCACCCCAAGGTCCTAATTCCCATCCCAAAGCTCCCATTCCCACCCCAAAGCTCCCATTCCCACCCCAAAGCTCCAATTCCCATCCCAGAGCTCCCATTCCCATCCCAAAGCTCCAATTCCCACCCCAAAGCTCCAATTCCCACCCCAAAGCTCCAATTCCCATTCCAAAGCTCCAATTCCCATTCCAAAGCTCCAATTCCCATTCCAAAGCTCCAATTCCCATTCCAAAGCTCCAATTCCCACCCCAAAGCTCCAATTCCTACCCCAAAGCTCCAATTCCCACCCCAAGGTCCTAATTCCCATCCCAAAGCTCCAATTCCCATCCCAAAGCTTCAATTCCCATCCCAAAGCTCCAATTCCCATCCCAAAGCTCCAATTCCCACCCTGAACTTCTGATTCCCACCCAAAGCTCTGATTCCAAAGCTCCAATTCCCATCCCAAAGCTCTGATTCCAAAGCTCCAATTCCCATCCCAAAGCTCCAATTCCCACCCCAATGTCCTAATTCCCATCCCAAAGCTCCAATTCCCACCCCAAAACTCCAATTCCCATCCCAGACCTCCAATTCCCATCCCAAAGCTCCAATTCCCACCCTGAACTTCTGATTCCCACCCAAAGCTCTGATTCCAAAGCTCCAATTCCCACCCCAAAGCTCCCATTCCCACCCCAAAAGGCCTCATTTTCCCCATCTTTTGATAACAAGACCCCAGAGAATCCCCAGGAGCCCCTCCAGGATCGGGCCCAGGGAGCTGCACCCGGCGCCAATCCCACGGATTTCATGGAATCCTGGAATGCTTTGGGTCGGGAGGGACCTCAAATCCCACCCATTCCCACCTTTCCACGGGCAGGGACCCCTCCCACCATCCCAGGGGGGATCCAGGGGTATCCCCTGGGAATTCCATCCCACCCTCCCATCCAGCAATTCCTTCCCAAAAATCCCACCTAACTTCCCCCCTTTCCCATCAGGAATCCATTCCCTGCGTGCTGTCCCTCCATCCCAAATCCCAAATCCCTCTCCAGCTCTCCTGGAGCCCCTCCAGACCCTGGAAAAGTCTCCAAAATCTCCCTGGATTTTCTCTTCTCCGGGTTTTCTTCAGTCTCCTCCTGGACCGGGATTTGCGTGGTGGGAGATCCTTTCCCAGATCGTTTCCCGGGTCGATTCCCGGTTTTTTTTCCCCTCCCCCTCCCCTTTTCCCGGCACCTCTTGGTGTTGATGAGCCAGTGCACGAAATCCTTGGCTTTCATCCTGTCCAGGTACCGAGTGAAGTCGCTGCTGAAAGTGCCCTCCGAGTGTCTCTTGGCGCTGGAAGGGAAGCTCTGGATGCTCCGCGATCCCAAGGATTTCCAGCTGGGAGGAGGGAGAAGGGAAAAAAACCCCACAACAAACACTCCCCGTCGTCTTCCCGCAGGGATTTCCCGCGGGATCGTCCCCCCGGGACACGCCCAGGGCAGGGGAAGGTCGGGAAAGGTCGGGAAACGCCTCCTCCCCCCCCCGAAAATGGGGATAAATCCAGGATGTTTGGGGGGATGGGGAAAAAAAATCGCCCAGAGCCTGGCCAGGAGGGGGATCCTGCCCTCAAATCTATCCTGGAATTAATTAATTCCCGACTCCCTCTGCTCGGATGGGGGGGTTCGACTTCCAGCCTCGTCCCAGGAATCCTGGGGGGACAATGGGAATGTCCCTGGGAGGACCCGGGAATGTTCCCGGTCTGACACAGCCCAGAAATCCTGGGGGAACAATGGGAATGTCCCTGGGGGGACACTGGGAATGTCCTGGGTTTGAGACAGCCCAGGAATCCTGGGGGACTCGGGAACGTCCCTGGGGGGACATGGGAATGTTCCCGGTCTGACACAGCCCAGAAATCCCAGGGGGACTCGGGAATGTCCCTGGGGGGACACGGGAATATCCCTGGTCTGACACAGCCCAGAAATCCCGGGAAGACTCGGGAATGTCCCTGGGGGGACACGGGAATATCCCTGGTCTGACACAGCCCAGGAATCCTGGGAAGACTCGGGAATGTCCCTGGGGGGACACGGGAATGTTCCCGGTCTGACACAGCCCAGAAATCCTGGGAAGACTCGGGAATATCCCCGCGAAGCTGGCGGAGACGGGAGCGGATTTTTCGGGATCAACACGCGGATCCAGCGGGAAGGGGGGAAGAGGGAGGAGGGAAAGGGCCGGCCATTCCATACCTGGAAGCGCCATCCAAAGGCTCGGGAAGCTCCTGGAGCCCCGGCGGGACGAGCGCGGCCAGCACGAGCCCGGACAGGTACAACCAGCGCACCATCGGCTCGTCCTGCGGGATCCCGCCGGGAATTCGCAGGGAATGAGATTCCCACCCCCCGATCCCGATCCCTGCGGGAATTCCCGAGGTAATTCCCGGTGTGATGTGCCCCCGTGCCCGTGGAATGCCACCCGAGGATGTAACGAGCCACAGGTTGCCCCCAAAACCTCCCCGTTCCCACCTTGGAATCCTCACCTGGAGGTGCTGGAAAACTTCCCATAAAAAAAGAAATTCCTGGAAAACTCTTTTTTTAATTATTATTTTTTTCCACCTCCTCATTCCTACCGGATTCCTCGGGAAATTCCAGGGAATTCCAACCCCCTCCCCCCAAAAAAATCTGATTTATTTTAATTTTTTTTTCCTCTTTTCCCTTTTCTTACCTGATTTTCTTCCTTCTGAGACTGCAGGGAGGGGAAGGGGGTAAAGGAAGGAGGAAAAGCTTCGATTCCAAGTCCTGTTTTCCTCCTTCCAGCCCTTCCCCTTCTCCTTCCCGGCTCTTTTAAGCTCCCCCAGAGCTGACAGGGGAGGTCGTGGCTGCCTCCTTGGGTCATGATTATGAATCATTTCAGCCTTTTCTGCCTGCAGGAAAATGCCCATTTTTTGTTCTTTTTTTTGACTTTAACAAAGTGGGTTTTACTTTTAATTAGCGTGGTTGTTTTTCACATATTTTTGTGTGGTTTTTGTTTTCCCCTCAGTTTTCAGAGCCAGAGGGTGACCTGGGGGTTTGTTTTCTCTCTGGGGGTGAGGAGGGGGCAGTGATTCCTCTGTGATTCCTCTGCCCTTTCCAGCACCTTTGCTGGTGCTGAAAAAACAAAACAAAACAAAACAAAACAAATCAACAAACTCACAACTTTGCTGGAGTTAAAAAACGTCAGGGGAAAAAAAAAGGGAAAAAAAAGAGTGGAAAGGGAGGGTTTGGAGGATTTCTGAGGCTTCCTGGGGTGGGAAGTCCGGGCTGAGGCTCCTTGGGGGGACAAATCCCACTGGTGAGGCAAGGTCAGGCCTTAGATCTGATCCTGATCCAGTCCTGATCCAATCCTAATCCAATCTTGATCCAAGTCTGAGCCAAGGCCAGGCCTCAGATCCAAGCCCTGATCCAATCCTGATCCAATCCTGATCCATTCCTGATCCGATCCTGATCTGATCCTGATCCAATCCTGACCCGATCCTGATCCAATCCTGATCCATTCCTGATCCAATCCTGACCCAATCCTGATCCTGTCCTGATCCATTCCTGATCCAATCTTGATCTAATCCTGATCCAATCTTGATCCGATCCTGATCCGATCCTGACCCAATCCTGATCCAATCCTGATCCATTCCTGATCCGATCCTGACCCAATCCTGATCCAATCCTGATCCAATCCTGATCCATTCCTGATCCGATCCTGACCCAATCCTGATCCAATCCTGATCCAATCCTGATCGATCCTGGCCCAATCCTGATCAATCTTGATCCAATCCTGATCCATTCCTGATCCAATCCTGATCCAATCCTGATCCAATCCTGATCCAATCCTGATCCAATCCTGATCCAAGCCTGATCCAATCCTGATCCAATCCTGATCCAAGCCTGATCCAAGCCTGATCCAATCCTGATCTGATCCTGATCCAATCCTGATCCATTCCTGATCCAATCCTGATCTGATCCTGAGCCAATCCTGATCCAAGCCTGATCTAATCCTGATCCAATCCTGATCCAAGCCTGATCCATTCCTGACCCAATCCTGATCCAATCCTGATCTGATCCTGATCCAATCCTGATCCAATATTGATCCAAGCCTGATCCAATCCTGATCCAATCCTGACCCAATCCTGATCCAATCCTGATCCAATCCTGATCCAATCCTGATCCTGTCCCAGGGCTGGTGTTTCTCAACCCCCCCCACCCCCCCCAATCCATCCAAGGCCCCCCAAAAAAGAGGCTGGAGAAGAAGAAAAACCACGGGTGGCCCTAAAAAAGTGGATTTTTTTTGGAGAGGGGGGGAGCTGGAGCCCCACGGGAGCTTCGTGGGGGGGATGGGAGGGCTCCCCTTTCCTGTTCTGATATTTTGGGGCCGCTTTGGAGACATTTTGGCCACAAATTTGGGCGTTTTGGGGGCGGGGGGATGGGACTGAAAATGCCCTTTCCCACGGGCCGTGAGAGGGCAGAGCAAACCCCTGCTCTGTCCCCTCCTCCTCCGGGAAGGGAGGACTTTTTTCCAAACCCCTCATTCCCTCTCTCTTCACCTTCCAGGACCTTCCCGCCGGGGGCCGGCTAATTAGCGCCGTCCCTCCCCCGCGGGGCCGTGGCTAATTAGTGCCCCCTGTCAGAGCTTGAGGAGCCGTTAATTAGCGCTGATGAGGGCCCGGACAGGCGGCCTGCCATCGGAGCGCGTTAATTAAGATCAATCTGCCGGGAGAAATCCGGAGTTTCCCCCCTCCCCACGCCACCCCCGGGGGGATGTTTGTCATCCACGCCGCCACGGGTGACACTTTGCGATGTCCCCCACCCGTGGGGAGGGGGAGCTCGGGGAGGGGAAGCTCCCCCCGTGTTCTGCGTGGTGGGGGAAGTGTCCCACGGGGGACACTCGCCTGTTTTTCCCGAGAATTTGGGGTTGTGGGGGGGTCTCTCCCCTTTCCAAGCGGCCCCCTGGAGCTTCCCCTTCCCACTCGCGGGGTGGGGGGATTTACTGGGGGCTCTCCCGCCCTGCAGGACCCACCCCGGGGAGCACGGGCCGGAGTTTTTGGGAGGGTGAAGAGCTGGGTTTGGTCCCGGGTTAGGAGTTGGAGGGGGTTTTTGTGGACGGCAGATGGCAGCGTTTGGCCGCAGTGCTTCATCCTTCCTCCTTCATCTCCATTCCTTCATCTCCCGTCCTTCATTTCCCGTCCTTCATCCTCCCGTCCTTCATCTCCCGTCCGTCATCGGCCCGTCCTGCGTCTCCTGTCAATCACCTGCCCATCCTTCATCCTCCTGTCTTTCATCCTCCTGTCCTTCACCACCTCCCCTTCATCCTCCTCTTCTTCCTCTACCCATCCTTCATCTCCCTGTCCATCATCTCCCTGTCCTTCATCTCCTGTCCATCATCTGCCTGTCCTTCATCCTCCTCTCCTTCATCTCCCTGTCCTTCATCTCCCTGTCCATCATCTCCCTGTCTTTCATCCTCCTCTCCTGTCCATCATCTGCCCCTCCTTCATCTCCTGTCCTTCATCCCCTTGTCCTTCATTGTCTTCTCCTTTATCCTCCTCTCCTTCATCCTCTTGTCCTTCATCCACCCTTCCCTTCCCTTCCCTTCCCTTCCCTTCCCTTCCTTCCTTCCTTCCCTTCCCTTCCCTTCCCTTCCCTTCCCTTCCTTCCTTCCTTCCCTTCCCTTCCTTCCCTTCCTTCCTTCCCTTCCCTTCCTTCCCTTCCCTTCCTTCCCTTCCTTCCCTTCCCTTCCTTCCTTCCCTTCCCTTCCCTTCCCTTCCCTTCCCTTCCCTTCCTTTCCCCAGAACTGAGATAAATAAATCCATAAATCCCCTCCAAATGGGAATCAATAAACCCATAATTCCCCCCCAAATAGGGATAAATAAATCCATAAATTTACCCCAAATAGTGATAAATAAATCCATAAATTTACCCCAAATGGGGATAAATAAACCCATAAATCCCCTCCAAATGGGGATCAATAAATCCATAAATTTACCCCAAATGGGGATAAATAAACCCATAAATCCCCTCCAAATGGGGATCAATAAATCCATAAATCCCCCCCAAAATGGGGACAAATAAACCCATAAATCCCCCCCAAATAGGGATAAATAAACCCACAAATTCCCCCCAAACAAGAGGGGGATTTTTTGGGGTCCCCTTTCCCCCAGAGCTGATTTGGGGGTGCAGAACCTCCCCCTTCCTCCTCCCCGTTTTATTTTTGGGGGGGGTTTTTTGGACCCTCCTCCCCCTCCCCCTCGATCAGGAGGGGATTTAATCCCTCTGAGTCACCCCAAAATCCCCCCGGGAGGGGCGGGGTTTTTTTTTGGGTGGCTGCAACCTCGAGTGGGAACCTCCCCGGGCAGGAACCTGGGCTGGGTCCCCCGCATTTTTTTGGGGGGCGTTTTTTGGGTTTGATTTGTTGTCGTTTCTTTGCTCCGCTGGGCTCGAGGAGCGAAGGGCGAGGCCGTTCCACGACGATGCCCCGGCTTCTCCCCAGGTATTTGGGGCACATCCCAAAGAGCTGAGCAGTCCATTTTATTTTATTTTATTTATTTTCTTTATTTTTTTTTTTTTTGGCCTCTTTTACCCTTCGTGCCCCATTTGGGTTGAATTCTTGAGTTTATTTATCCCCATTCGGGGTGAATTAATGATTTTATCCCCATTTTGGGAGAATTTAAGATTTTATCCCCATTTGGGGTGAATTTATGATTTTATTTATCCCCAATTGGGGTGAATTTATGATTTTATCCCCATCTGGGGG